GTGACATGTCTATTCAAAGGGGATAGTGGAGAATTCTCACAGTTCTCTTCATTTACACTGCAGCTCAGAACAGGCTCAGTCTCACTAAAGCTCCACGCATAAAAAGGACACAAGATTTTCTCCCATGTTCAGCCTCTGTCTGCTGTCTCCCCTCTGCCTCTTTTTAAACACACACTCACAACACGAGGGCTGTTTCTTACATTACACTGACTTCACTCCTCAACCCCAGTCACTTTTAGTGTGAAGTAATCTGAGCTCTTAGCTCTGTTGCTTTTTATTATTTAAAGGGCCCATATGACGCTATTTGCTGATCTGTGTTATAATGTTGTTTCCTCATCACAAACAGAACTGGAGTTAGGGCTGGACCATATGGGAAAAAATATTTCTCAGTTTCTATTTTCAATTCCATTTTCCATCTTATTGAAAACATAGACATGTGGACTTCAGGCATAGAGGCCAGAGTGTCAGAATCACAACAGTTTTTATTTCGTGTTGAAAGGACCAATAATTCCTGAGAAATTCACATTTAAACTGTGTGATGAGTTTGTACAATATATGAAACCTAAAAGTGTGTACATTATCTTTAACAGCAGAAACACGAGCGCGTGTGCACTGCTGCTATCAACAGAAACATGTGCGATGTCCGTGCACTAACTGTGGTCTTAAGTTTCACTCATAAATTGTGAGAAAATAGTCATTTAATTTCGTAACTTAGATGATAAAGATGAGCAGCACCAGAGGAGAGGAAGAGGAGAAAAGGTGAGGGGCTGCAGCTGGAACAGAGAGAGGGAGGAGGAGAGAGAGGCAGAGACGGAGACACTGGACTTTTAGTCACATTGTGCAGATGTATCCCCCTAGGACCTGGCGTCCATGTATGTGTGGACATACATGTCCAACACATTTTGGGTTGTTCAGACACTTAATTTGCAAATCATGATTCAGTTGTGACTTTATTCTGTTCCATTAAAATGATTAAAATATAAAATTTATATTTTATATATCATATGTGGACTTTTAAATATTAAAATATAAATATATTATAACAATATAATTCTTTATTATTGCACTCATCAGATCCCAATCAGCTCAAATAACAAAGAGAAATCAATAAACCATGCAAGAGATTGGGTCCTAGGAGGTTAAGTTAAAACTTGTGAACACGTAAGGAAACAAAGAAGAGTTGTGGCACAAGGGCACATGAATCCTCATCAGCACCACGTGCTCTTACTGCCAAAATTATTCTTACTGCCACATGATTGGATGTAGAAATGATTAAAATACACATGTCATATCATCAAGATCGACCTAAAGTAGAGCTCATGATCTATCGACCTTTCAATTCTTGGCACAGCCGTACTACGCTATTTCCTGTCCTCAGCAAAAACAGACTTAGAGTTGTGGTTAGTTTCATTCACACATGTTTGAGTAACACTTTATTATTAGTCTGTCTACATCTGCAAAACTCAAAATGCTCTGCTCCACCTTCTGATGTCGTGTAGTGGTAGAAGTTACCTTTTACCTCAGTAGAGATCAACAAATTCAGAGCTGAAATCATCAAAATGATTCTAGTGAAGGTGTGTGGAGTTTAAAAACACAGTGGAGCACATCCTGTATTACCACATGACATCACAAAGTGGAACACAGTGTTCAGTCTGAGAGAAGAACTCAACCTAAATATTCCGGGTTTGTGTGTTAAAAATGTGTGAATGAAACAAAACACAACTCCAGGTTGTTTTTTGCTGAATTAAACTGAATTGTCTGGTTTGGTCTCCATGACGATAATGCCATACTGTGAAACATTCCAGACAAAGCAATAACATCTCCATTGAAAAAAGCATTTGAAGGACCCTCCACCAGAAAGCATTCACCAACAGTGACTAACTGTGACTCTAGAAAGTGATTTTGTTGTGTCCATACTGGAAACTGGCAAATATTCTTTCAGTATAAACACACGTGTGACATCTTTTCCACTAAAGTCAAATCAGCATAAATACAAAACTGGTCACGGTGCAGGGTATACAGTACACAGTACACAGTACGCAGTACACAGTACACAGTGCGTCATTATAAGAAAATATGGGACAGAGTGTTAGGGCTGTGAGCTCTGCCAAGACACAACCCAAGAGTTTGTCCACAAGCAGAGATGAGTTCATTTGTACTGAATCTACAGCTGCTGGGCTCAGTTTAGAAGAGACAGAGACCGAGAGAGAGGAGGAGGAGAAAGAGGGAGGAGGAGAGAGACTGAGAGAGAGAAAAAGGAGAGGGGGGGTGATGGGGAGAGAGACAGGGAACAGGGTGAGAAAGCAATAGAGAGAGAAAGATGGAAGAAGAGAGAGAGGAAGAGAGTAGGAGGGAGTGAGGAGGAGAAAGTGAGGAAAATAGAAGGGAGAGAGGAGGAGAGGATGGAGAGAGAGGAGAGAAAGAGGAGAGAAAAAGAGAAAAGAAGGGGTGAGAGAGAGAGAGAGAGAGGAAGAGTAAGACTGGAAGAGAGGGAGAGAGAAGAGAGAGAAACGGGGGGTGTCAGGGGAGTGAGAGGAGGCAGACGGAGAGAGAGAAAGGAGAGAGGGGAGGGAGGAGAGCGAGAGAGGAGAGAAAGAAGAGAGAAGATAGAAGAGAAAGAGAGAAAAAGAAGAGAGGGAGTGAAAGGCAGACATGGAGAGAGAGAGAGATTTTGTGTTTTTATGCTTGTTCTGTGTGATGTCTTGACTTTGTCTTTTGTAATTGTCTGATTGGACTTTTTTTTTTCTGTCGCTAATGGAGATCCAAATAAATTCAATCATAAAGCATAATAAACATGAGAAGAGAGAGAAAACAAGAGATGAGGAGAGTGGATAGTAAGAGAGAGAGAGAAAGAGAAATCAGCACATGAGGAGAGGATGAGTGAGAGAAAGAGAGGTACTTGTATAGCAGAGGCGACTGTCTCAGTGCTGGGAAAATCTGTTGAGATCCTGAGTGAGGCTGAGAGTCGCTTCATTAAATCCAGTGAATAATGTGTAAAAATAACTCTGCTCAGGCTCCATCACATGTTCCACTTGTCTTCCTCTGCACTGTTCTCTCCACACGAGCCTGACACTCCAACACACCATGTACACTTCATCCATTTCTAAACAACACCCCATATTTTCTCATGTGCATTCATTTATTTACAACTGAGTGATTTGAAGTAGCTGGAAAAATCACACTTAAGCTGCTCGTGAGACAGACAGGATTATGAAAATATTAAAGGGAACATATGACTCTGTTTTCTGATCTGTGTTCCAATGTTGTTTCCTCATCACAAACAGAGCTGGAGTTGTGTTTTTGTTTCATTCACACATGTTTAACACACATCATTGAATCTAACACAGTTAAACGTTAACGTTTGTATTTGTGTTACCTGCACAAAGAGGACAGATTTAGTCCTTATGCAGTTAACTCCAAATAAAAACAGTGAGAGATGAGAAAGAGGTGCACGGTGTCCTGTGTGCACGAAGCAGACACTTTATGAATATTTTTATAACTATAGACAATGATGCCCCAGTGTGAACAAGACAGCTCACGAATCATACACACAAATCAAACACAGAGGACAGAGACATCCAGAGCATCCAGAGCACGTACACGCTGCTGTGTCAGGTGCTCCTCGCTCCATGGTCCAGGTGCTTTAGTCCCAAACTCCACTAAAAGCTTTTATGTGTGTTTTGTCCAATAAGTACCTAGGTTATTTCAAACATCTCCTAAACCCTGCACTTTAGTGTCAATAGTAACATAAAGGGTCATTTTAACACAATGTGCAAACAAAACCTCATGTTCACAAGGTGCTCCCCCGCAGATACCACGGCCAGCTGCAGTGACGCACCACACATTAGCCTTAATGTGCACAGGTTCAGGTCCCAGTATTTGAACCATTTGCTCAGAGCCACGTCAACATGAATTTGTTCATAGTAGAACAGTAATATTCTGCCGGGCATGTGCATGGAGCCTCATTAACATGCAAAATACAGCTACCATGGTCACATGGACCCTCATATGGTGTGACTGATCATACGGTGGTATTGCAATTGCTGTTACCACGACAGCGCTGCACACACCTTCACTAGAATCATTTGGATCATTTCAGCCCTGGATTTGCCAATCTCTACTGAACAAAAGGGAAAAGGAGCTGTTAACATGAAAACTATAACTACATGACATCACAAGGTGGAACGGAGCATTTTGAGCTTTGAAGATGTAGACTAACTAATACAGAATTACTCAAACATTTGCGAATGAAACAAACCACAACTCCGGGTGTGTTTTTAAGGAGGGAACAGCATTCTAACGTGACTAAAAGCTCAAAGAGTACACTTTGCATAATATAAGGACCTTTAACTGTGTAGCTATTTCTTTCCAGAACAATTAATCTCTTATAGTTATATAGTCCACCACCCTCATCTTAAAGCTGCACTGCGTAACTTTTCTGGGTGCGCTACCTGCTTACCTCCATGGAGATGTTATTGCTTTCTGTGGCATTTTCCATGTAGCATTTATTCATTACAAGTGTTTGTATTGCTCAAAAATACAATAATTCCTTCTGTCAATAGCGGCGCCTCTCCACAGATCTGACCTGTAATGTAATGCCGTCAAATACTTTTCTTTTTCTTTTTTTTTTTTGAGATGTTATTGCTTTGTCTGGAATGTTTCACAGTATGGCATTAAACCTTTCTGTTTTCATGGAGACCAAACCAGACCAAGTCACAGGTCACATCTGTGGAGAGGCGACCCCTCTCACAGTCAGAATGCTTGTTCTTCTAAGTATTTTTGAGCTCTAAATCTACTTGTGATTGAATAAATGTAAAGTAGATCTGTTTAATGTCACAGTGTGGAACATTCCAGACAGAGCAATGACATCTCCATGGAAATAAGAAGATGATTGATCCTCACCAAAACATTAGATGATGCACCTTTTGAATGATGTCATGAGTTTGTCCAGAGTCATAACTCCAGCGTGTCCTGTGTGTGTCTGTGTGTATTTCGCTCAGGGTTCAGACGACTGCCTGGTGAAGATCTGGGCCACAGACGACGGGCGTCTCCTGGCCACTCTCCGGGGTCACGCGGCCGAGATCTCGGACATGGCCGTGAGTCATGAGAACACTATGATCGCCGCCGGATCCTGCGATAAAACCATCCGAGTCTGGTGTCTGCAGACGTGCGCTCCCCTGGCCGTGCTGGAGGGACACGCCGCCTCCATCACATCACTACAGGTCAGAGAGGCGCCCGCTTTGTTTACGGTCTCTAGGGAGATGTTTTATTTATTTATTTATTGTATTTTTGTGGTGGATTTGATCTAGTCCATAAAAAGGATTACATCAGGTTAGGAAGAACGTTTTAAATGGCCCGTGTTACGCTGTTAGATTTAGGGAGTGAGGACAGAGGAGAAGAGAGAAAAAGAGAAGAGGGAGATTGAGAAGGAGGGGAGGTGGTGGAGAGAGAAGGAGGTGGAAGTGTGAGAGAGAAAAGGAAGGAGGAAAAGAGAGAGAAGAGAGAAGGAGGAGAGGGGAAGAGAAAGAGGGGAGGTGGCGGGGAGAGGAGAGAGAGAAGAAGGGGAGAGGGTGAGAGAAAAAAGGAGGGAGGACAAGAGAGAGAGGAAGAGCAAGAGGCAGAGAGAGAGAGTGAAGAGAGAAAGAGTAGAGGGAAAGAGAAAGAGCAGAAGTGGCAGGGAGAGAAGAGAGAGAGAGGAGGGAGGAAAAGAGAGAGAGGAAGAGCAAGAGGGGGAGAGAGAGGAAGGTGTGGAAGAGAGAGAGAGAGAGGGGAGAGAGAGGAAAAGCAAGAGGGAGAGGAAAGAGGTGAGGGACAGAGAGAAGGAGGGAGAAAAAAGGAGAAGAAGAGCATGAGGTGGAGAGAGAGAGAGGAGGAGAAAGGGGGAGAGAAGAGAAAAAGACGAGAGGGAAAGAGAGAGAGGGGAGAGAAGGAGGGGAGAGGGAGAATGAGAGGCAAGGGTGAGAGAAAGAGATCAAGAGAAGTAGGGAGGGGGAGAGAGAAAAGAAGAGCAAGAGGGGGTATGAGAAAAAAGGAGAGAGGGGGAGAGGAAAGAGAAGGAGGAGAGGGAGAGAAAGGGGGTGGCAGGGAGAGACGAGAGAGAGGAGGGGAGGGGGTGAGAGAAAGAGAGAAGGAGGGAGGACGAGAGAGAGAAAGAGCAAGAGGCAGAGAGAGAGTGAAGAGAGAAAGAGGAGAGGGAAAGAGAAAGAGAGGAGGTGGCGGGGAGGGGATGAGAGAGAGAGAGAGAAGGCGGGAGAAAAAGAGAGAAGAAGAGCAAGGGGTGGAGAGAGAGGTCGAGAGAAGAGAGAAAGAGGGGAGGTGGCTGGGAGAGAGGATAGAGAGAAGGAGGGGAGAGGGTGAGGGAGAGAGAGAAGGTGGGAGAAAAAGAAGAAGAGCAAGAGGTGGAGAGAGAGCGGGAGAGAAGAGAAAAAGAGAGGGAAAGAGAAAGAGGGGAGGTGGCTGGGAGAGAGGAGAGAGAGAAGGAGGGGAGAGGGTGAGAGAAAGAGATCAAGAGAAGTAGGGAGGGGGAGAGAGAGAGGAAGAGCAAGAGGGGTGTGAGAAAGAGGAGGAGAGAGGAAGAGAGGAAAAGAGAAGGAGGAGAGGGAGTGAAAGCCAGATACGAGAGAGAGGATTTTTTGTTTTCTAATCTCTGTTCTAATATAGTTTCTTCATCACAAACAGACCTGGAGTTGTGTTTTTGTTTCATTCACACATGTTTAACACACAAACTCTGCACATTGAGACTCTGTTCCACCTTGCGATGTCACGTGATAAAACAGGAAGTGCTCCACATTGTTCTTAAAGTCCAAACACCTTCACTAGAATCATGTGGATAATTTCAGCCCTCGAAGTAAAAGTTTACCTCCGGCCCTGCAGCCTGGTGTTTGAATCAGAAACACCTGGTTGTGATCAGGGTCAGTCTTGTGTAATGTCACATAGAACTTGAAATTGCCAAATTGGACTTAGAACAGTAGAAAATGCTCTTAACACACCATACACATTTTAGTAGCGAAAAAGTTGATTCAGCGTTTAGTTCCATTTTAGCTAATGGTAATAAACACATACTGCAGTTAGATTTTTGTTCATGCTTCTTTATTTTTCATGGTTTATTCTGCATGACTGCATTCAGCAACTATTTAACCATTAACATTTTTTTCCTCCCTTAATCGTTTTTTGTATCATATGGATGTTATTAGAAATGATCAGAACACGGTCAGTCCCTCCGCAGTAACTACTTCCTCTGATTTCAACAGTCTGTGAAACTATTAACTGCTGTGCTGGAATGTGGCAAAGTAAACGCAGTTAAACATAAAAAAAAAAAGGTATCTGTACATTTTAAAGGTGATACTTTTTACCCTTGCTTAACTACATTTGAGAGCAGGTATCTGTACTTTCTACTCCACTACATTTTTGAACAGGACTGGAAAGTATTTTGAAAAAGCCGAGGGTTTATTTATTTTTTATCAAGGTCATAGTTTGAGCAAATTAAATAATTAAATATACAAATACAAATGTATCTGTTGAACAAAATTCAGCACAAATCTGTATGAAAAGCTTTATTAGACCTCATACTTTACACTACGCACCTTACTTTTGACTCTTTAAATACATTTTTAAACAGGTACTTTAATACTTTTGCTTAAAGGTGCATTGTGTAACTTTTCTGGTGGAGGGTCCGCAACCTGCTTTTCTCCATGGAGATGTTATTGCTTTGTCAAAAATGTTTCAGTGTGTGCTTTAAACCTTTCTATCGTCACTGACACCAAGCCACGGCAGGTTACAGGTCAGATCTGTGGAGAGGCGACCCTGCTCACAGTTAGAATGTTTGTTTTTCTAGGTATTTTTAAGCTGTAAAACCACCTGGAATTGAATAAATGTTTAACGTCACACTGTGGAACATTCCAGGCAGAGGAATGACATCTCCATAGAAACAAGAAGCTGACGGACTGCAAACCAAAAAGTTGCATAGTTACACCTTTTAAGTAGATTTTTTTCAAGCAATACTTTTACTTTTATTTGAGTATTTTTTTTGCTTTGGTATCTGTACTTTAAATTAACAAAATTGAATACTTCTTCCACCTCTGATGTATTATAAAATCTGTAAAAGCGCTCGAGATGAATTATGGTTGGCCTATTTGTACAATATTTTTTGACAGAAGTAGGTTTCGAACGGAGGTGATCTTGACCCATTTAACTTGACCACAAAGTGAACAGCGGCCAAACTAAGAATCAATATCCTTTCTATAATCCTGATACTCTTACACATGATCCACACATGCAAACACAGAACAGCTCTTTGTGTTTGTGTTTCAGTTTTCTCCCCTGTGCAGCGGCTCAAAGCGCTTTCTCTCCTCCACCGGAGCAGACGGCACCATCTGTTTTTGGCAGTGGGACTCTCGCTCGCTCAAGTTTGGGTGAGGCTCAGTCCATTCCTCTCCTCTCTCTTCTCTCTGTTCATACTTCTGACACTGCGCACTAGGGAGGTAACAATAACCAAAATATCCTATCGTCAAATGTCTCAATAATATCGGAGGACATTTCTTTACTTATTTAATTAATACTTATCATGATTCTATTGTCTTCCTTTGTTATTCTAATGTATTTTTTATTCTGTAAAGCACAGAATCACTTTGTGTGTACTTTGTCTTGCCATGGTGCAGCAGTACTGTATTTTCTGGAGTATAAGTCGCACAATCCAAAAAATGCGCAATGAAGAAGAAAAAAACATATATAAGTCACACTGGACTATAAGACGCTCTTTTTGGGGAAATGTATTTTATAAAATCAGAGACCAGGAACCGACATTTTATCATGAAAGGTGAGTTATAGTAAAAACAATAAAATAAAGAACAACAGACTGAATAGGCTTTAATATGTTAACGTAACATATTAACAGTTATTCAGATAATTATACCATAAACAACAGAACATAAGTTTACCAAACTCACAATCTCACTCCAAATCGCTAAATCCATTCAATTCTTCATTGTCTGTGTCGCTTCTGCGCGACCTCCAGAGATAAACCATAGATCCATGATGTAAACAGAGCGTCGCTTCCTCTTCTGTGTCGCTGTCGTCAGACTCAGCATCAGTTCCAGTTAGAATTTTTTGGGCCTTTCTGAATCCCGACAGGATGGTTTCGATTGTCATTGAAGTTCAGGCTTTGTGGATTCATCCAGTGGCTGTCTTCTTATCCCCTGCTTTCCGCCAGTCCCTCACAAGTTTCTCGCTCACTCCAAACTTTCTGCTGCTTGATTACTGTTTTCAGCTGCAGATTTCACTATTTGCAGCAAGACAGCGGCTTTTTCTACAGGTGTCAGGCCCAGTAGAGTGTGAAGTGACAGTGGTACAGGAGTAATAGTAGTACTAGATACTGACACACGAGCCTAGAGCCTCTCGCGGCTGTCAGTCTGAAAATGTTAATATATAAGTCACACCGGAGTATAAGTCGCAGGAAACACCCAAACCATGAAAAAAAGTGCGACTTATAGGCCGAAAAATACGGTATCTAAAAAACAGAGGGAACTACATAGACCATGATCCTTTGCTGTTGTCAGTGCAGAGTTCATGAAGAAATAACTTTTAATAAGCACTTTTAAATCTTAATTCTTCATTTGAAAACAGGACCAAAGGCTTTTCCAAGGCTTTTAAAAAGAAAAAAGTAGTATTCACTATTTTGTAAACCTGCACAAAATATCTCAATAATATATCTATATCGTGAAAATATTGTTTTTTGATATTGTTACATCCCTACTGCGCATGTTTTATATGAATGTGTGTTGATAAAAATACAAATGATGCAGTATTTCCCTAAGATTTCTACTAACACTATGTGCTCCATATTTGAGTTGTTTTGATTTAATGTAACACATAAAATATTGGTGTGTAAATGTTGCTGAAGTTTGGGTGAGACTCAGTCCATTCCTCTCCTCTCCCTCCTCTGTTCACACCTCTGACTCGGTGCATCTGTTTTGGATGGATATGTGTGGATAAAGATACAAACAGATGATGTCTTGATGCCTCTGCTGTCATATGTGATTCTCATGTAAACCAGGGATTAGAGATAGACGGATGTACCGGCCAACATTAAATCTCCAGCACAAGCCAATATTCTGTTTTGCCCTACCGAAAAAATACACATAAAGCTTTATTTTAACACTTTAAGCTAAGTTTTTGCATAATATAAGACCTTTGAAGTAATGTTTATGTCCGTTTTATATTTTGCAGTCAGAGGCCCAGTAAGTTCACAGAGCGCTCCAGACCTGGAGTCCAGATGATCTGCTCCTCCTTCAGCGCAGGTAACGTCTGAGAACTGGAATAGTCAGTGTTTGATTGTACAAGGGCTTGTAGAGAGAAAGATCCTGCACACCGTCCTGCTTGTAAATCATGAATTTTATTGGGACTTCAATGACACTTCGGCACTAGGTCTTCATCAGTGTGACGGATGATGTCCGAGTTTTGTTTGGCCTTGTCTCCACCCACCTCAGATCCTCCCCTCTGTTCAGCCTCACCTGGCTCCCTTGATCAGCGGGGGTATAAAAGCCACAAGAAGAGTGACCAGTGGGTCCACCGCTGCAGCTATCTTAGTTGTTTGTTTTTATGTTATTGTTATATGATTTTTGTACATCTTTTTTAGCACTTTTGTTTTGTAATAAATATTCTTCCTTTTATTCACCTCGCCACACTTCCAGTTTTTGTTCCATACCCGGTTTATTTTAACATCTTTTTCAGTTACCGTGCCACCCCCTAACACCTGTGGCACGTAACAATCAGGCAAATGAGACCTGTTTGCCTGATGAAGATCTAGTGCCAAAATATTATTGATAGTTATTGCCCAAAACTATAGAGACCTCAGCCCTGGACCCCCATATGACCCTCATAGGACCCCACTGTAACTGGATTATGTGTGTGTGTTCAGGTGGGATGTTTCTGGCGACTGGGAGCACAGACCACATCATCAGAGTGTATTACTTTGGCTCAGGGCAGCCCGAGAAGATCTCTGAGCTGGAATCACACACAGTAAGTTTGATACTTTTTTATTTATGTTGACAAATAACAAAAGTATTCATATATGTTTTAGGGTATCCATTTGTTTCCAAGATTTTCTGAAATGGCAACAGTTTTTTTTTTAATCTATTCTTATAAATCATGACTTTTATTTTGTAGTCTATTTCAGTTTGTGAAACATAAGAGCAAAATGAATGAAAGTGGTGAATTAATAATTATTCAGATCACAAACCGTTTTAAGAACTAAAACATAATTATTGTGTCCATTTTAGAGAAAAAAATAAAACATCTCAAGGCAATCCATAGTCAAAAAAGTACCTAAAAAAAAAAAAAACAACCAAAACCTAAAGTCACAATAACTTTATTTATCACCAAATCAGATTTCTTGAAGCTGGTCACTTACTAGAGGACTGACAACCTATTGGAACTGTGAATGTAAGGATTTCACTGTTGCCAGGTCAATAATAGTGAATAATTATTAAATCATGACTGCACTTATTTTTTATAACATGTTGAATTTAAAACTGCATTGTGTAACTTTTCTGGTGGAGGGTCTGTCGAATGCTTTTCTCCATGGAGACGTTATTGCTTTATCTGGAATGTTTCACAGTATGGCATTAAAGCCTTCTATCTTCATGAACACCAAACCAGACCAAGTTACAGGTCAGATCTGTGGAGAGGCGACCCCGCTCACAGTCTGAATGTTTTTCTGGGTATTTTTGAGTTATAAAATTGAATAAATGTAAAGTAGATCTGTTTAATGTCACACTGTGGAACACTGAGCAATAACATCTCCATAGAAACAAACAGGTGACAGCACCCATCCAAAAAGTTACATGGTGCAACTTTAAAGTAATAATTTGTTTGTAATTTTCCAGGACAAGGTCGACAGCATCCAGTTCTCCCACTGCAGTGACAGGTGAGTTTTATGTTTGATAGTGTCATCATTACTTTTCAGGATGCACTGATCTGTTACTGGTGTTGGATATCGGCATAGATACTGAAAAATTAGCTGGATCAGATATCGGCTTCCTAATATCGGTTCAGACGATATCCTATAGTAGTTGGACCTGAACGTGTCATTTTTCATGTATACAAAGCCGCTCTGTGGTGCTCTGTGAGAGATAAGTAACAGCTACATAACACATTTTAATCAGCTTTGTCCTATTTAATTTTAGTTTTAAAGGCTCTTATTAAGTATGTGCAATTAATTAAGTTTTGATTGCGATTTCAATTTGTGTGTCAAACAATCTCCAAACTCGTATAAACGAGTTGAAACAGTTTAAAGCTTAACAAAGTTTATGTTAGGATATTTTTATATAAATAAGTATTTTATGTTTTAAATATAGAGATTGTAGAACAGCTGGATATATAGTTTACTTTGGATACATTTGTTTTTGGATACATTTGTTTTTATGCCTTATTTCATGTTTATTTTATTCATTTTATGCTTTATACATCGCAAAACTGCTCTAAGGTTCATATTTGTAGCCTATATTTATTTTTAATTTGAAAGTTTTGCATAAATTATTAAAAGTGTTTTTTGAGAGAGAGAATAAATGCATCGTGTGACAAAAAAATAATCGTTTGAATAATCGTGATTTCAATATTGACTAAAATAATCGTGATAATGATTTTGTCCATAATTGAGCAGCCCTCGCCCATATTACACTATTTTCTGATCTGTTACAATGTTGTTTCTTCATCACAAACATGGAAGTCGTATTTTGTTTCATTCACACAAGTTTAACACACAAACCCTGTATATTTAGTTCACACACCTTCACTAGAATCATTATTTGGATGATTTCAGCCCTGGAACTGTCAATCTCTTCTGAACTAAAGGTAAAAAGGTACTGTAGCTGTCAACTCGAAGACTACTGCTTCATGACATCAAAGCTATGTGAAAGAAACAAAACACAACTCCAGGTCTGTTTTTGATAAAGTAACAACATTATAACCTGGTTTAAAGCTCACAAGACTCAATTTTGTATGTACCGTATTGTCCGGGCTATAGGGCGCGCTCTTAAGCCTCCAACCCCATCAAAAAACGATTGAATCCAGAGCGCCCTATACACGAATCCACTCTGGTGTCCCTGCACGACTTCAGTAAACTACAAAGCCGCAGCACCCGCAGAACACGCAAACACACACGGAGCAGACAGCGACCGCACAGCCAAAAACACCCACAGACACACTCATCACTCCACGCCGACGAGGAACGGAACGGAGGAACGAACCGAAAAAGCGAGCGCAATGTGCCGCTTCTAGACACAACTGAACAACTGAGTCACTGCGAACACACCGACAATCCGTTGGTCCCAGACAGCACCCTCCCTACACGCCACAACTGAACAAAGCCCAGAGTCACCGTGAACGCCACAAACAAACAAAACCACTCACCCATCCAACTGCTGTGTTTCCTTTAAAGTCCAGTGCGGTTTATTTGTGAAAAAAAGTTAGAAAATAGACCATTTAATGACAGTGCGTCTTATAATCCAGAGCGCCTAATAGCCCGGAAAATACAGTAATAGTTTCAATAATCGTTATAATGATTTTGTCCATAACTGAGCAGCCCTGGCCCATATTATACTACTATTATACTATATACAATTTTCTGATATGTTACAACCTGTTTCCTCATCGCATACATGGAGTCGTGTTTTGTTTCTTTCACACAAACCCTGCATATTTAGTCCACACACCTTCACTAGAAACATTTGGATGATTTCAACCCTGGAACTGTCCATTTCTACGGAACTAAAGGTAAATGTACTGTAGCTGTCAACTCGAAAAATACTGCTTCGTGACATCACAAGGTGGAACAGAACATTTAGAGATTTGGAGATGTAGACAGACTAATAATAAAGGGTTACTCAAACGTGTGAAAGAAACAAAACACAACTCCAGTTCTGTTTTTGAAGAGGTAACAACATTAGAACACGGCTTAAAGCTCACGAGAGTCAGTTTAAAGTTCTAGTATCAGTATCTGTATCCTAACTGAAAAAGCTCGATCAGTGCATCCTTATAATTCTCTATATCTTAATGTGTTTGCTACATGATAATTGTTGTTTTAATTATGTAGATTGGCTCAGCTGTTTGTGTGGCGATAACCTCAGGGTGCTGTGTATCTGTGGAGTCATTCCGTTCACACACACTCTCTGTGCACCATAGTGTCTGTCTCTGTAGACTCAATACGAGCTCCGAGTTTGCACAAAAACATCCGTGTAAAGTCCCCAGGGAGAGACCGTGTGAGGTGGTATCCAGGCAATTATACTCCACGTTATCCTAGAAAATGTCACGCAGAACTACAATGTAAAATGTAGATAATGTGTTATGCAAAAAGCCCATAATAAGCGGGTAATATTAACATTACGTTTCTGAAATTCATATTGTTAAGGTCATCCAGGCAATACTGGCAGACTCAAAATGTGCTCACATACTTTTGAGAACACTGTCATTATATAATCATTTTTAAGTACAGTAGCTTTTTATTTAGTTTACTTTTTTTTTTAAAGGTGCACTATGTAACTTTTTGTTAGAGGGTTCGTCACCTTCATTGTATCTATGGATATATCATCCCTCTGTGTGGAATGTACCGCACACTTACACTTTACATTTATTCAATTAGAAGTGGTTTTATAGCTCAAAAATACCTAGAAAAACAGACATTGTGACTGTGAGCGGGGTTGCCTCTCCACAGATCTGACCTGTAACTTGGTCTGGCTTGGTCTCCATTAAGATAGAAAGGTTTAATGCCATACTGTGGAACATTCCAGACAAACCAATAACATCTCCATGAGTCAAAGCATTTGACGGACCCTGGACCAGAAAAGTCAATACAGCTTTAATGTTTTAATGTTTATTTTATTTTATTATAATTTTTTTTTAACACATGATTCAATCATTTTCATTTCCCTTAAATTCATAGTCCTACTTTAAATAATATAAAAGCTTTTTATTGTGGTTTGGATGTAGTAATTATCTTAACTCCTCATATTTAAGCCACAGTTTGGTCGTGGTTTATTCTTTAAAATTGACTGGAAAAAAAGACTTCACATTGTTATTTTCATCTAAATCAGAGGTGCACAGAGTTTTTTCCTCTGTGTCCCAAAATGAATGCACATCTTTGGGTCGAGGGACATACCTAATGACACTTTGCACGTAAAAATGTTCTTCTGCAGAGAAATGTATGATTAAATTGACTAAGATATTAGGAAATAGGACTGGCCCCGTTCCATCTCCTGACAGTCTTTGCAATACAAAACAGAATTAAAATACATTCTTCTTAAAACCTCAGAGCCCCACATTGGGCACCCCTGATCTAAATTAACTTCAGTTTTTTTCAAAATTCTAGTATGGCAACATTAATCATAGTTATCGTCTCCTTACAACATAAAAAAAAAAAGTTGATCTGTGTCCCTTTAAGGAGCACAAAGTGTGGACTCTGAAGCTCTGTGTGGGACTGTGCTATTAATCAAGATTTAATCAAGAGCCAGATTCAGACAAAGGCAAAGATTAAAACTGTGAATTGTTTAATGTTCAAGAAATCAATGCTGAAAGCCATTTTAATTTGTTTCATAAGACAAATAAACATCAAATTTGAAATAAAGATCGATCAATACACGGCAAAATACCTCCCCTCCCTCCCCTCTCTCTCTGCACATGAGTTTTCTTAGCAAATATGTCTTTATTTTGTTTTTATTTTAATAGTTTCTGTTTTGTGTGGCTGCAGGTTCGTCAGTGGCAGCAGAGACGGGACAGCTCGGATCTGGCAGCTGCAACCACAGGGCTGGAAGAGCATCCTGCTGGACATGCAAACCAAACTGCCCGGGTATGTGTGTGTGTAGGGGTGTATGTGTGTGTATGTATGTATGTGTGTGTATGTGTATGTATGCGTATGTATGCGTGTGTGTGTGTGCGCATCTATATGTGCGTGTGTGTATGTGTATGTGTGCGTGTGTATATGTGTGTATGCATGTGTGCATCTATATGTGCATGTGTGTGCATCTATATGTGCGTGTGTGTATGCATGTGTGTGTGTGTATGCATGCGTGTGTGTATGCGTGTGTGTATATGTATGCATGTGTGTGTATGTATGCGTGTGTGTGTGTGTATGTATGCATGTGTGTATGTATGCGTGTGTGTGTGTGTGTATGTATGCATGTATGTGTGTATGCGTGTGTGTGTGTATATGTGCGTGTGTTATGCATGTGTGTGTGTGTATGCATGTGTGTGTGCGTGTGTGTGTATTTCCGTATGCGTGTGTGTGTATGTGCTGTGTGTGTATGTGTATCTGTATGTATGCGTGTGTGTGTGTGTGCTTGTGTGTGTGTGTATGTATGCGTGTGTGTGTGTGTATGTATGTGTATGTGTGTATGCGTGTGTGTGTATGTATGTGCGTGTGTATGCATGTGTGTGTGTGTATGTATGCGTGTGTGTGTGTATGTATGTGTGCGTGTGTGTATGCATGGTGTGTGTGTATGCGTGTGCGTGTATATGTATGCGTGTGTGTATGTTTGCGTGTGGGTGTATGTGTGTGTGTATGTATGCGTGTGTGTATGTATGCGTGTGTGTGTGTATATGTATGCATGTGTGTGTATGTATGCGTGTGTGTGTATGTATGTATGCGTGTGTGTGTGTGTATGTATGCGTGTGTGTGTATGTATGCATGTGTGTGTATGTATGCGTGTGTGTGCGTCTATATGTGTATGTGTGTATGTGTATGTATGCGTATGTATGTGTGTATGTGTATGTATGCGTGTATGTGTATGTATGCGTGTGTGTGTGTGTGCGTCTATATGTGTGTGTGTGTGTGTGTGTATGAGACAGGGTTAAAGGTGCACTGTGGAACATTTCTAGTGAATTGTACACCGCCAACTGCTTGTCTCCATTGAAATATTACTGCTTTGTCTAGAATGTTCCACAGTATAAATTAAACCTATGCTATCTATCACGAGGAAGACGAGCAAGTTACATTACAGGTCAGATCTGTGGAGAGTCGCCCCTGTTCACAGGAGGAATTATTGTATTTTTAGCAACAGAAACACATGTAATTAATAAATATTAGGCATATATATGTTTAAAGTCATACCATGGAACATTCCAGGCAAAGCAATAACATCTCCAGGGAGACAAGTAGATAGAGGACCCTCTACTAGAAAAGATGCTCAAAATGCTCTGTTCCTCCTTGTGATGTCATGTAGTGGTAGTTTTCAAGTTAACTCCTTTTACCTTTAATGCATTGGAGATCGACAATTCTAGTGAAGGTGTGTGGAGTTTAAAAACACGGTGGAGCACCTCCTGAGTGTTTTCTGTTTGAGAACTCAGCCTGAGTACAAAGAAACACAACTCCAGCTCTGTTTGTGATGAGGAAGCAACATTAGAACAGAGATCAGAAAATAATGTGATATGGGCCTTTTAACTTACATTTAAAGGTTTATGTTGCTTTACAAGACACTTGAGTTTTATTTTGTTCACTCACCCCTGTCCTGGGGGGGGCACTGTCATTAAAGTCAGCTACAAACTCTCCACTCTCTGTGCAGGTATGACAAGACAAAAGATTCATTACACATAGTTTTAAATAAGCAGACTTTTATTACAACTTCCTACAACTTAGCAGATGTTCTATACACCTACCTCTGTACAGCTGTATGAATGTAGAATAAACATAAGGCAAGTTTCATAAATAATGTATGGAAAAGCACCACTTTAACACCTGTGACTGTGATGGAGTCAGTGTTAGACTTCTCATCTCTCTCTCTGAATTGTTTTACACATAGAGTTGATAAGACATAATTATCCAAAGCAACAGTAGGTAACTTTTTGCCTCAAACAGTAGAGTATAGATTCATTTTTGTTGTTATTTGTTATGATTATTGTGCTGGAAAACATGCGTCCATACTGTGAGCGGGCTTGCATCTCCACAAACCTGACCTAACCAGAAAGTTACACACTGAACCATCACAGGGCCTACTCTATATTATGATATTTTCTGATCTGTGTTATAAAACAGTTGTTTTGTTTCATTTACACGTTTAACACACAAACCCTGCAGATTTAGATGTTCTTTTTCACAAACAAAACACTCCAACACCACCTTGTGATGTCATCTGGTAATACAGGAAGTTCTCCACTGTGTTTTTTAAGATCTGTACACCTTCACTAGAATAATATGGATGATTTCAGTCCTGGAACTGCCAATGAACTACTGAACTCAAGGTAAAAGGAGCTGTTAACATGACAACTACCACTACATGACATCACAAGGTGGAACAGAGCATTTGGAGCCTCAGAGATTTACACAGACTAATAATAGAAGGTTACTCTAACATGTGTGAATGAAACAAAACACAACTCCAGGTCTGTTTTTGATGAGGTAACAACATTAGAACACGACTTGAATCTCAAGAGTCAATTTTGTGAAACGTACTTTAAAGTCTAAAATCTATGGAGTAGATCAGATTATGCTTTTGTAATCCTTTAGAAATAAACAATAATTGCCCTGCAAATGTTTTATTGTAGATTTTATATGTACATTTGATTTTGCAATAAAAGGCAAAGTATTTTCCAACCTAATTCAGTGACTTTGAAAACCTGTGCGTGATTAAAAAAGAAAGAAAACAAAAAATTAATGAAAATATCTTAATCTCAAATTCATTTGTGTTTATCTTTTTCAGGAAGTACAACCCACCACCACTTGAGGATAAAGTTACCAAATTAAAGGTTACCATGGTAGCCTGGGATCGTCATGACAGCACCGTAATCACCGCCGCCAACAACCTGACTCTCAAAGTGTGGAACTCCACCAACGGAAACCTGGTGCATGTTCTGATGGTATGGAAGATTTAATTCTACACATAAAATGCACAATATCATAATAAACTACTGTAATACTGTATAATTTTTGAACATTATAGTATCGATAAGGTCCATATAGTATATAGAATCTGTGTAATCATATTATTTTAGTCCAGGTTTTTCCTCTCATAGCATGTGTTTCATTAAAGCCCCAGTAAATACTTTTTGAGACTAAAAACAGGCTAAAATAAATGCATGTTTCTATTTCAGTTTGGTTGTTTTTATTGCACAAAAAACCCCCAAAAACAAACAAACAAAAACTTTAATCTTAAGGATTGGAAGTGTTGTTTTCATCTAGTTATACTTAAAAATATGACTATAGCAATATTCAGCATACAGTAGTTATTATTATATATTTTTTGGTACTTTGAAGCTGATGTCATCAACATTCGCTGGGGGTGTGATGCTAATTGGAAGCACTACTCTGTCTGATCACAGGCTCCTGAAAATGTGTTGTTTAAATCCATTTCATAAAAAAAAAGTCTTGATTTTTCAAACAATCTCAGAATGTATTTGCTTATATGTGCATTAACTGGTCAACATATTGCCCATACACATACATGTAGAACATCATCACTGCAAAGGATCAGTATTATGCAGCCCACCAACAAGTTTATTTTTGTAGCATCTCTTTCTGAGTTTAAGTATTTTCTGTGATACTTCGTCAGGGTCATGAAGACGAGGTGTTTGTCCTGGAGCCACACCCCTTTGATCCCAGAATCCTTTTCTCCGCTGGACACGACGGGAACTGCATCGTGTGGGACCTGGCGCGAGGAGTGAAGATACGCTCCTACTTCAACATGGTGAGTTCACTCTCTGCTCTCAGTCTGCTTCAGCTACTCTTATCTAGACTAGTGTGTTTATTCATCGTCTGTATGACCTTTATCTAATCTATTCTGTGGTAGCTTATCTGTGGATTTTGTAGGATATTTGTACCTTAAAAGGGCAGTATTTTCTATGCTATAATATTTTTCCTCATCACAAACATTACCTCCTGAAAAACAGACCTGGAGTTGTGTTTTGTTTTATTTTTACACACGTTTAAACACACAAACCTGCACATTTAGGCTGAGTTTTTCTCTCAAACTGAAAACTGTGATGTCATGTGTTAATACAGGAAGCTCCACCAGACTTTTTTAGAATCATCTGGAAAATTTCAGCCACAGAATTGCCAGTCACTACTAAACAAAAGGGAAAAGGAGCTGTTAATTTGAAAACTATTGCTTCAGGACATCACACGGTGGAACAGAGGATTCAGAGATGGAGACAGACGAATAATGCAGGATTACTCAAATATGTGAATGAAACAAAACACAACTCCAGGTCTGTTTTTGAGGAGGGAACAATATTAGAACATGATTTAAAGTTCACAAGAGTCGGTTTTGTGTAATATTAACAGAAAAATGCATTGTGTCGCTACTTTATTGACTAATGTGACAACAAGCTGATATAATTTATTCTTTTTACATTTCAAAACATGAATACAACCTTCTGTATCATACATTTCTCGTCTCCATGGAAACGCATATTAAAAGTCTAGGTTGTCCGTTTTGTATCGAGTCTTATGTGGCAGCGAGCGCGGCGCTTATTAACAATGCAAAAGGTGTAGTGTAGAGCTTCTGGTGAAGAAAGAGAAATCTGCCTGAAACGGAGAGATCGTCCAGGAACAAAAAACAGCAGCAGCCCACGTACGCCATAATTGACTTTCCTCCGTCACTTTGAACCCTCCTTTTGTGAACGATTGTGCCTATATTTCATCATTTGTTCCGCAATGAAAGGAGAATGGTACAACAGAAAGAGATATGACTTTCTTTGTCTCCTGTGAAGTCATTTGGTTTGTGTGTTTTGCTTTCAGATGCCCTCTTTTCATTAGCTCTTGACTCACACAATCTGTTTACATTGCGTGCACTGTATGTTACAATTAAAATATAGAACAAAAATAGAGAATTGGCTCACTACAATTTTAGACATTCTTTACTTCCTCTGAATTAAAATCCTGTTTTGGTGTTTTGTAAAAATAAAAATGACAAGTGGGTAATTTAGTTCCTTGTTTTAGAAAATCTGTTACATAACTATATGTTTCTTAGCAGATGTTGTAGTTGGTCTTATGTTATTTTTCAAAAACAACTGGAAAGCATTTAGTTTAAACACTGTTAAAATATAAAATAAGAGTACAGCTGTGCAAAAGATCCACATTTTTACATTAAAATGGCCCATATTATGATATTGTCTGGTCTGTTTTATAATGTTGTTTCTTCACCAAAACCAAACGTGGAGTTGTGTTTTGTTTCATTCACATGTTTATCATATTTAGGCATGACATCACAAGGTGGAACAGAGCATCTTGAGCTTGATGTAGACAAATAATAAAGGGTTACTAAAACGTCTGTGAATGAAACAAAACACAACTCCAGTTCTTTTTTGAAGAGGTAACAGTGTCATAACATGACTTAAAGCTCACAAGAGTCAATTTTGTGTAATATAGGACCTTTAATTGAATCAAAAACAATGTAGGTAAATACAGGTAATACTGGGTACATTATATATATTTTTTCCTGACTGTACAGCTAAGCCTTTTTGAAGCTATTCTTTATTTGTTGTGAACATTCTTTGTTTAGACGTCATTTCGAAGTGGTTTATTTTACTGTCTATGTAACAGTTCTGGCCTTGAGTTAGATTTTTTTTCGCAGCTTGCTTGTCTTGGTTTTGTCCAGTTTTGTACAAGTGAAGAAGTTGTTCTACAGATGATGTGATGCTACCGCTTCAGAATTTGGGAAAAAATATTGAAACAATTTTTCTGATCAACATTGTGATTGTGATTAGATTTGCAGTGTTTTAGAATTCTGTTCAAAGTTCAAATTATAAACACATCCAGAAGAGGGTACATTTCAGAGCATGTTTGTACAGATCTAAACTACGGGTAGTTAGTTAGTAGTTTTATGCAGAATAAGTCAGGGTAGTTACTGTTTGTGTAAAATATTTTATTCACAAAGTGGTGTTAAAGGTCCTATATTACACAAAACTGACTCTTGTGAGCATTTAGTCATGTTATAACTTGTCAAAAATATAACCAGAGTTGTGTTTTTGTTGATTCACACGTTTTATTAACCCTTTATTATTAGACTGTCTACATCTCCTACACTCAAAATGCTCTGTTCCACCTTGTGATGTCATGAAACCATAGTTTGCTAAATAAAAACTACCCTTTACCTTTAGTTCAGTAGAGATTGGCTGAAATTATTCAAATTATCCAAGTGAAAGTGTATAAAGTTTAAAAACAGTGGAGCACTTCCTGTGTTACCACATGACATCACAATGTGGAACAGCGTGTTTTCTGCTTGAGCAAAAAACTCATCCTAAATAGGCAACATTTGTGTGTTAGACGTGTGTAAATGAAACAAAACACAACTCCAGGTTTGTGATGAGGAAACAACATTCGAACATAGATCAGAAAAGCGTGTAATATGGCTCGTGTAAATGATCTGTGCTCGCTCACATCTGTTTATTCCAAGTCTATTCACATGTGCTGAGAATCATTTCTGTGTTTATTCTCATGTCTCTCACACTCTGTTGTGTTTGTGCAGATCGAGGGCCAGGGCCACGGCGCTCTCTTTGACTGTAAGTGCAGTCCAGACGGGCAGCACTTTGCAGCCACAGACTCTCACGGACACCTGCTCATCTTCGGCTTCGGCTCCAGCAGCAAATACGACAAGGTGAACCAGATCTCAGTGTCTGCAGCCCAAAGCAGTGTGACTGTTCATGTGTATTTTTACTACTTTCTTAAATAGTTATTATTGTGTTCTTTATTGTTTATTCAATACGAAAAAATATATAATAATTGTAAAAAGTAAAAAGAAAGTACTTGGAATTAAAAATGTAAAAATAACTCTTTCTTAGTAAACTTATGACTGTATTAGTTTCTAGAAACGCCCACACAGGCTGTTGTTGGAAATGAAAAAAAAAAAAAAAAAACACTTCATGCTTAAGACACAGTGGTGTAATGATACGAAAATAGCAAACTTTGATTTCATGGTACTATTTTTATTTATATTTTTGATGATACTGTGGTAACAAACAGACTTACCTAAAAACATGCACCAGGGACTTGAGGTGGAAATGAGCTCTAGTGCTACAACCTGGCACAAAACATCTCTCCTGTTAAGGTTAATGTATATTGTGCACGGTCCCTGTCTCATAAATAAATAAAATAAATAAATAAACTTCGGTATATTTTAGCATCAGTACAGACTGTTTAGAAGGTAAGATCTTTGTGCATTTGTGAACAGGGGAGATGCTTTTTTTCTCAACTGGATTTAACTAAAGTTTGATTTTTCCGCTTGCTCTGCTGTTGTGACGCTTCGACCAGTCAGATTTGTCATTTCCGCCTTCAGTGAGAGCCGTCCCAGATTGATAATGTGTAGAACTCACTTCAGAGTGACTACATAAAAAGTACTATTCTGTGTCTTATTTCAGTTCAAATTGATTGTATGTATGGTAACTTTGTCGAGGTAGAAAGTCAACTGCGTGATTCCATGATTTTGTAGTGTATGGATAAATAGTTTTGGCACAGAATCTTATTTATACTTTTGCAATGAGATTTTATTTTTTTTTTAAGATATTCAAACAAATTCAATTATTTCCTCATAAAATATTATTCATCTTTAAAAGTCCATTGTGTAATTTTTCTGGTGGACGGTTTGTCAAATTGTTTTATTCATGGAGATGTTGCTTTGTCCAGAATGTTCCACAGTATGGCATTAAACCTTTTCATCTTCATGGAAACCAAACCAGACCAAGTTACAGGTCAGATCTGTGGAGAGGCAACCCACTCACAGTCAGAATGCCTGTTTTTGTGGGTATTTTTGAGCTATAAAACCACCTGTAATCAAATAAATATAAGGTAGAGCTGTTTAATGTCACACTGTGGGACATTCCATATAAAGCAATGACATCTCCATAGAAACAAGCAAGTGACAGACCCCCAATTAAAAAAGTTACACAGTGCACGTTTAACTGACTTTTTCTACTAATAATACCCTTTGAACACAAAATATCCAGCTTTTACCGACTTACATGAAGTGGATACAAAAGTCAATAATTTTACTTAAGTTTAAATTTGACATTTCTTTGATATGGAAAACTATTGTACAGCTACTCTTTTTTAAACACAAATAGCACTGCCAGTTGATAAAAGCACATACACAAACACACACACACACACACACACACTTTTGAAATCTGATTATCTTTGCCCTTCCTAATTAAAAACAAAGTGTACCTGAGTGAGTGTAGCTCATTACTTCCCCTCGTGTGTTGTGTCTTCAGATCGCAGACCAGATGTTCTTCCACACAGACTACAGGCCTCTGATCCGAGACGCCAACAACTACGTGCTGGACGAGCAGACGCAGCAGGCCCCTCACCTCATGCCCCCTCCCTTCCTGGTGGACGTGGACGGTAACCCCCACCCGCCCCGTTACCAGAGGCTTGTCCCCGGACGAGAGGGCTGCAGGGAGGAGCAGCTCATCCCGCAGATGGGGGTCACATCCTCAGGTATTCAAAACAGGCATTGAAGGAAGTTTTACTACATTATGTACATACTTTTGAATCATTACAGCATATAAGCAATAATAACAACTGCTTATATTTTTATTTTTAACCATCTAGAAGTACTGAGTTGTGTTTAAAGGTTCTATATTATGCAACATTGACACTTGTGAGCTTTTAGCCATGTTATAATGTTGTTACCTCCTCAAAAACAGACCTGGAGTTGTGTTTTGTTTCATTCACCCATGTTTGAGTAACTCTTTATTATTAGTTTGCTCTGTTCCACCTTGTGATGTCATGAAGCGGTAGTTTTCAAGTTACAGCTACCTTTTACCTTTAGTTCAGTAGACTTTGGCAAGTTCAGTAATTATCCAAATCCAAATGATTCTAGTGAAATTGTGCAGAGTTTAAAAACACAGTGGAACACTTCCTGTATTACATCAGAGAAGAACTCAACCTAATAATACAGAATTTGTGTTAAACATGTGAATGAAACAAAACACAACTCCAGGTCTGTTTGTGATGAGCAAACTAAAATAATACCTAAAATGTTTACATCCCAGTTCAATTACACAGCACATTTTGAAACTTAAACCTCAGTTATTCCTGGTTATATATAAATAGCCATTAAATAAATAATATACTGTGACATTGTATTTAAGCTGGTCCTTCCTGTGATGGTCAGGTTTGAACCAGGTGGTGAGTGAGCAGGCTGTAGACGGACCTTCTCCTCTGGACACGATGATCCAGAGGCTGCAGCAGGAGCAGGACCAGAGACGAGGAGCCAACGATCCAGTGAACTCTGCAGCTTCTACTTCTGCAAACACAGCCGCCCCCATCAACACCAGGTCCAGCAGAGGTGGGCTTCAGTTTATTCTACTGCGCTGAATCTCTGTCCCACTCTTCACCCCCATTTCACACTCAATATCTTGTCTGAAAAAAAAAAAAAAAAAGTCCATGAGCAAAAAACAAAGCCATAGTTGTGTCTTAAAGGTACTCTATGTAACTTTTGGTAACAGATCCATAAATAATCTATAAATGTGTTAATGCTTTGCCTGGAATGTTCCACAGTACGGCATTAAACTATATCTAGCATTTAATTCATTAGGGGTGTTATCTTGAAAAATTCTAATCTTACTTAGAATCAAGCGGTTTCGACTCCCATCTAAGCATCATTTTCACTTTTTTTCTTCGACATGAATGTAAACAACGGTGTTTAAAGGTCCTATATTACGCAAAATATACTCTTGTGTCTTGTGCCATGTTGTTACCTCTTCAAAAACAGACCTGGAGTTTGTTTTGTTTCATTCACACATGTTTGAATAACCTTTTATTATAAAGCCGCTTTCAGACCGCGGCGTCAAAAATGTGCTGGACGCCTCTAGTTGGACGCCTTTGCATTTGAATTCAGACGCCCCCGGTTCACTATTTGGACGCCGTGGACGAACAGAAGAAAAATACTTGACGCGTGTCCAGGACATCCGCTGCTGTCGGCGAGTCCCTTGTTTTCCCAGTCTCTCGACCAGGAAAACAAGGGACTCTCAGGGGTCTTTAGAATATTTATTACATAAAACCAGTGGAGATGATTGGTTCGGCGCTTGCGGCGTATATATATTTCTACTCTGCTAATGACACGGTGTAGATTTCTTGTTATGGTGTTTGTGGCGCGTGAGTCTTTCTCTTTCTTCTTTTCTTCTTTCTTCTGGGTAATAACGTCGCTACATCACTGGAAAGTCGTCTCTGATTAGTTGACGTGGCGCCGAAAGTTGAGCTTTTTCAGCTTCTGACGCCAGAGTCTTGCCACTCTGACGCCTGAAGACACGCAGCAAAAACACAGGATGCCCTAGACGTGCATCCACATAATCTTTTCATGTAAACTGGACGCCTTGACACGCGGTCTGAACGCAGCTTTAGTCTGTCTACATCTCCAAAGCTCAAAATGCTCTGTTCTGCCTTGTGATGTCATGCAGTGGTAGTTCTAAGATTAACAGAGCTACTTTTACCTTTTGTCCAGTAAAGGCAATTCTAGGTCTGAAATTATCCAAATGATTCTAGTGAAGGTGTATGGAGTTTCAAAACACAGTGGAGCACTTCCTGTATTGCCACATACATACATACATACATACATACATACATACATACATAGCACATCACAAGGTGGAACAGAGTGTTTTCTTTTGAAGAGAACTCAGTCTAAATGTGCAGGTTTGTGTGTTAAACATGTGAATGAAACAAAACACAACTCCAGATCTGTTTGTGATGAAGAAATGACTTTAGAACGCAGATCAGAAAATAGAGTTACACAGTTTTACCTGTTTCAAGAGTTTAAATCCGTCTCTCGTCCCCAGGCTCAGTTGGTTCCCCCACAGAGGTTCACTCTCCTCCAAACGTGGGCCTTCGTCGCAGCGGGCAGATCGAGGGCGTGCGGCAGATGCACAGTAACGCCCCCCGCAGTCAGATGGCGACGGAGGGAGACCTGGTCGCCTGGAGCCGCAGGGTCCTGGTGCCCGAGTTAGAGGACGCCACTGTCAGGTAGAGCACACTGTTTTTTTTTTGTTTTGTTTTTTTTATCTTTACGCAGGCACATGACAAGACACATCACAGGGGCCACCTCTAATATAAATGAATAAGAAGAGGGTCAAATTCCCCCTTCCCTAAGACCCTGGGGCCCCGGTCAACAGACCCCTTTGCCCCCTCCCTGTCAACGCCCCTGTCTTTAGGTCTATATTTATTTAGTTATTTGAAATAGAACCGTGCGTCTTACTTTGTTTCTGTCTTCTTCATCTTTCTTCTTCCCACTCCTTTTGAGAAATGTGCTTTTCTGTTGTTTACAATGTGTATATTGTATGTATATGATTATTGTTTCTCTCTGGGCACAAACTTGAAATAAAAAACGAATCAATCTGCAAACTGTCAGCTAGAAGATTCAACATAGTTAAGCCGGAGTTCAATTTCACAACGGATACATTTCATCTTTTCTAAGTAGGATTGTCAAAAAAAGGGCTCAGATGACACCGTTTTCTGATCTATGTTATAATGTTTCTTCATCACAAACAGATCTGGAGTTGTGTTTTGTTTCATTCACACGTTGCTGAATTCTTTCTCAAATGGAAAACCACCTTGTGATGTCACGTGGTAATGCAAGAAGTGCTCCACTGTGTTTTTAAACTCCACACACCTTCACTAGAATCATGATTTCAGCTCTGGAACTTCCAATCTCTACTGAACAAAAGTTAAAAGATAAATACTAACATGACAACTACCACTTCATGACATCACAAGGTGGAACAGAGCATTTGGAGCTTTGGAGATGTAGACAGACTAATAATACAGAATTACTCAAACATGTGTAAATGAAACAAAACACAACTCCTGGTCTGTTTTTGACGAGATAACAACATTTTAACATGGCTTAAATCTCCGTAAGAATCAATTTAGTGTAATATAGGACATTTAAATACTAATTAATACTAACATTTGTACCAAAACTGAAAAAAAAAAACAAAAAAATCACTTAAACAAGAACAAAACTTGACGTCTTCTGAATAGCTACAAAATGTTCAGACTTACTAACTCTTTGTACATCAAATGTGTTTAACTCGGCTGCAGTCCCTTATCTGTATCGTATTGATGTGACGGTGTATTTGTTTAAACCTCGTTATTATATTTCCTCATTGTGCAGACGGCAGGTGAACTGGAGAGAGGCGAAAGGAGACGAAGAGATCAATATCTATCAGTCCGAACGCAGGAGACGTACAGTCCACTCAGCGCCCAAAGAAAACAAAGTAAGTCACTCAAACTCAGGTCCACGGAGCGAAATTTGGCGAGAAAAATCTGAAACTAAAACTTATGACTCAGCCTTTTCATACTTACATTGAAAAGGAGCAGTGTTTTTTCCACAGTCACTGATGATTCACTTTACAATTTGCAACACCCAGATTTGCAGCATTTTATTCTACATATATACAAAAAATAACATATTCATTTTTGCATTTTAAGGTCCTATATTACATAGAATTGACTCTTTAAAAATTGAGCTTTAAGCCATGTTATTATGTTTTTACCTCCTCAAAAACACACCTGGACTTGTTTTGTTTCATTCACACATATTAGAGTAACTATTTATTATTAGTTTTTCTACATCTCCAAAGCTCAAAATGCTCTATTCCACCTTGTGATGTCATGATGCGGTAGTTGTCCAGTTAACAGCTATATTTTACTTTTTGTTGAGTAGAGATTGGCAATTCCAGGACTGAAATTATCCAAATGATTCTAGTCAAAGTGTATGGAACACAAAAGGAGCACTTCTTGTATTAATAAAAAAATATAAAAATGAGCAGATCAGCCAATTTAAGAATTAGTAATAAATAAAAAGACTATGTCAAACAAGCAGATGACCTAGAGAATCACAGACTAATAAAAATGTACCCAGGCGTTATTTAAAATATTCTGCTCAAGGAAAAGACGTTGAAAACATCCTAAGAAATCACTGGTACATCGTGAACACAGATCCATCACTGCAAAATGTGTTCAAGGAGCCTCCTCAAGTCGTGCACAAACGTCCTCCAAACTTCAGACAAACGCTGGTTACGTCTGATCTGATTCCAACCAGAAGCAGAACATTTTTAGACCCTCCACCAGCAAACGATCGCTCCAGGTCATGTACACAGTGTCATTTTACTTATTAACTTACACACACCCCACCACAGGGAAGATTATGAAAATCAAAGGGACAATTACATGCTACCAAAAATGTAATTTAGATGTTTTTCCTATATAACCAAGACTTGAAAAGCCGAACATAGGAGCAACTTTAGAATTGGAGACTTAAGAAACCCCGTATCTGTTCATTTTACTGAAGAACAGCCCCATCTCCTCCCTTAAATATACTGGGATAGAGCAGGTGAAACTCCCAAGAAGAGGAGGGGATATTAACAGGCTGCTCCTACCAAGAGAACGTTTTGATATTTATTCCTTTAAAACGCTTGCCCCGGTGTCCTGAATCAAGAATATGAAATTAAACACTTCATATAATTTAATATTTATATATCTAATGTAATTTACTTGACCGATGATGATTGATGGACTCAGGTAATGGCTTATGTTATATGATGTACAGTGTATATTGGATTATGTGGGCATCTCCTGTGTCACTTTTGGACTGAACCAATCAGTAGGCAGAAGGTGTATATGAGTAGAGCTGCTTGACTATGGAAAAAATAATTATCACAGTTATTTTGGTCAATATTGAAATCACTATTACTCAAGAGATTATTTTTACACAATGCATTTATTCAGCATTTCTCTCTCAAAACAAAACAAAAAAAATGTTATTGATAATTTATGCAAAACTTTCAAATTGAAAATAAATATAGGCTACAAATATGAGCCTTAGAGCAGTTTTGTGATGTGTAAAACATAAAATGAATAAAATGTCCTTAACATATAATAACATGAAATGAAGCAGAAAAACATACATGTATCCAAAATAAACTGTATGTCCAGCTGTTCTACAATCTCTAGATTTCAAAAATAAAATAAATATACTTTGAAATCGTGATCAAAATTCGATTAATTGCACAGACTTGTATATGAGAGTTGCACACAGAGAGAACCATGAGCTGACGAAGATATTCTGATCCAAACAATGTTATTTAAAGCAGTTTGGGAGTGCGTATGCAGCTTTGTCTCACTTCTATGTTCACTGCAGTAGCCTTGCACCAGTGTTGTGCATGTACATACAGTATATCTTTTATGAGCTCTTCCTCTGTTATCACATGACATCACAAGGTGGAACAGGTGGAACCCCGCCCAAAACTGCAGGGTGTGTGTGTTAAACATGTGTGAATAAAACAAAACACAACTCCAGGTAAGTTTTTGATGATGATAGTTCATAAAACAGTGTAAAAGGGGCCCAAATGCCTGATACAGTTTACAGGGAAAAAGTTGAAATTAAAAGTAAATATCTTGTGCAGGTCCATCCTCCTGAGTGTGTGCCTGACGAGGGGAGGCGGAGTCAGGGTAACCACGGCTACCAAACCCGCGCCGCCATGGAGGAGACGAGCCGACAGAGCGCCAACGACGATGATGACAGCACGTCTGAGGTAACCCCGCTCCCACCAACGCGTACAGTCCAGGAAACAAAGAATTCTGCTTCAGTGGTTGGTTTCAGTATTTTAGTTTATTTTCTATATGTACTTCACACACGTTTAATTGTGATAGGCCTAGTAATAGCTCCAGGTTGAGACTATACTACTGTACTATATTTCAGGCAGTCAATACTATGTAAAGTATGAATCCAAGCTATTATTTATTTTATTGTATTTGTGTTATTATTATTAGCTTTTAACTTAAAGGTTGTATAGAGGATTTTCCAAGGAACGAGAAATCCAGCGACTGTTTGTCCTTTTTCAAATGTTGCGCATGCGTGAAACCACCCCCCCCCCCCCTCCCCTACAGCTCCTACGTAGAAACGCCTCCTCCCGCCTCCTCTTTACGCCAGAAACAGGTTTGTTTACAGCCGGTGCGCTGCACATGACTTGTAAACAACGAACTACAGTGTTGGTTAGGCAAGACGGAGAAGTGAGGAGCAGGGAGAAGAGCGGAGCAGGGAGAGGAGAGAGGAGAGGGAGCGGAGATTCCGTGCCCGGAGAAGTGAGGAGCAGGGAGAAGAGCGGAGCAGGGAGCAGGGAGAGGAGAGAGGAGAGGAGAGAGGAGAGGGGAGCGGAGATTCCGTGCCCGGAGAAGTGAGGAGCAGGGGGAAGAGCGGAACGGGCAGCGGGGAGAGGAGCAGGAAAGGGGTGCAGAGAAGAGTGCGCGGAGATTCAGTGCGAATGAACTAGCTACAACACGCAGCAGCAGCAAGCGGACTCTTTCTTTGCCTTGAAAATTACGTTTTCAGACATAGGATATCGCTTTCGTGTCCTGAAAAACGTTTGTGTAGCTCTTGGAAATAAAGTACGTTTTCATAATAAGCAGAAGTGACCTGTCCAGGAGTAATTTGGCGACCAGTGCGTCAGTCTTTAGACCCTGCGTCTGCTTCAGTCGCGCCATCGCTGGAATGAATCTATAAGAATCACCTTAGTTTGGCTTCGCTGCTTTTCCCCTTGTCTTCTTCTTTCAGCGACCTCAAAAACTGACTTTCTTTTGCGGCTAACTGCTCCTGGATTCTTGTCGCCATTGCAACAAACTTTGTGTGAACTGCGAGGAAGATATAGGTCAAAAAAAGCCGCTAAGAACTGTTGCGTTGGTGGAGTAAACAGCGTCTGTGCGGCTTGCGTCTGTGGACTGTGTGACAGTCGTACGTAAACCACGTACAGGCGGCGCGCAGGCAAGTCAGTTACGCTAGAAACGTAGGGAGATTGATTGACAGCCTGTCAGCTAACAGATAACGAGGCAGTGTCGTTATCTATTGGCAAATGTTTAGCCCCACCACGTCCAGAGTTGATGAATTTTTATTCTCTTTTTTTTGGTCATCATAATTACAAGGCTACTGCATCTCTATAATGCTATCATTGACAACTTGAAACAAAAAAAAATCCTCCATACAACCTTTAAAAGGATGTTATGTTTTAACAATAAGATGTTCTGTTTTCAGGCTGAAGTAGATGTCCGACAGGTGAACGGTCACTCCTCTGAAGACGAGAAGGAAGAAGAGTCAAAGGAGCCATGGCCTGATGACCACAGCAGCTCAAGGTGAACATTCACTATATGTATATATATATTTTTAATCAGTTAACTGCTCTGACTTAAAGGTCCTATATTAAACAAAATTTACTCTTGTGAACTTTTGTCATAATGTTATAGTTGTTATAATGTTGTTGCTTCCTCAAAAACAGACCTGGAGTTGTGGTTTGTTTCATTCACATGTTTGAGTAATCCTTTATGATTATTAGTCTGTCTTCATCTCCAAAGCTCAAAAAAAAAAAGTTCAAAAGAAATTATGTCATTTTGTGGTTAACGTTTTGTTCACGAGAGAAAGGCACTTCCTGTTTCAGCATATGACATCACAGGGTGAAACAGATTGCTGTCAGTTTGAGAGAAGAACTCAGCCTAAATATGCAGAGTTTGTGTGTTTAAGATGTTTAAAGCTCAAGTAAAGTTGCTTAATCACTATCTACATATTCATTGAGTTCTTAACTCTTCATCCAATCAGAATACGGTGCCATTTTATATCTTTGTGGGTTCAGAAAGGAGCAGAGTACCAGTTTAATGCCGTACTATAAAACATTCCAGACAAAACAATAACATAACCACAGTAAAGTTCTGTGGTGCATCTTTAACGGACACTTTATCCTTTTTGATCCTGTTTTGCTCAGTGAATGCTCCAGTGATTACTCAGACTGGACGGCCGACGCAGGGATCAACCTTGAACCTCCCAAAAAGAGCGTCAAAGTGAAGAAGAAGAGCTCTGAGGAGGAACGAGAGAAGAAGAAAGAGGAGAGAAAGAAAGAGAAGAAGAAGGAGAAGGCGGACAAAGACGGCACTTTACCAAAGAAGAGCAAACCCCCCAAGGAGAAGACCAAGGTCTGAGCACACACTGTTTCTTTGGGAGGGATTATACTGGAGCACTTATAGAAATGTTGTGTAACAGAAACAACACTATCGCAATACTGTTTAGATAAGAAAAAACAAACAAAAAAAATAGCACTAATCATAGAATTGTACACATATATTTGTCTTATTTGGTGCACTGTATAACTTTTCTCGTGAAGGGTCAGTTACCATACCTACGTGTCTCCATGGAGATGTTATTGCTTTGCCTAGAATGTTCCGCAGTGAACACTAAACTCCTGTATCTCCTTGAAGATAATCAAAAACAAAACTAGGCCAAGTCACAGGTCAGATCTATGGAGAGGCAGCTCAGTGTATCGTAAGAATAGAAACACCTGTAATGGAATAAATGCAAAATAGACAAGTTTAAAACTGTATTGTGGAACATTCCAGGAAAAACAACCACATCCCCATGGAGACAAGCAGGTGGTGAGCCCTCTAAAGGAAAAGTTACACAATGTACATTTAAGTTATAGATGTTTTGGATTTGGCAGTTTTACAATAGATTGGATCTAGTTCCGTATGAGCAATGTGTGTGCTGGTGTTGTAAAATATGTTTCATTCACTTAAGCCATCCTAATTAAAAGTATAATCGACTTATTATGATTATTGCTTAATACATTTATTAGTATTAATTATAAGAGATGGACCGATCTGTGTATTTCCATGGCCGATGCTGATACCAGTTGTTTAGAATCCAGAGCAACTGATGACTGATAAACTCTGCTGACATTTTTGCTTCGATATGTAGCACCAATTTAGATTTTACACAAATTTGGTCATTTATATTTATGACAAACTCACTTTTTTACCATAAAACTTTAAGAGAGCTGTGTAGTCACATTCTGTGCAGCTGTCTCTTTGTATTAAAGTGTTCAAATAAAGCTTTGTGTGTATTTGTATTCAGCAGATCGACCAAAACAAAACTAAAAAGTCCAAATATCGCCCCGATATGTAGGCCAAACTATATATCACTCTATCTCTATTAATTATTATTAAGCAGTAGGCCTAGTAGTAGTAGTAGTAACACCATTCTTTTTTTATCTATTTGCTTATTTATTGTTAATAGCTAAACTCTATCTTTATTTGAGTGCTTACACATTTTATTGTGTATTCAGAGCATAGACTGTATAGATCGGGGTGGGCAAACTGCGGCCCAGGGACCGTATGCGGCCCTTTAATCTTTTTAACCTGGCCCGCCAAACTTTAATATATTATAATATTTTATGGTACGGCCTGATATGCAAAGAGACTGTAGCGGTTTTTAAAGAATATAATATCAACCGTCACTTTGCCACAAAACACGCTGACTATGCTGGCAGGCAGTCAGAGAAAGTCATATCCCATGTTATTATGTCTCTTATGAGGTAGATTACCAAAAAAAACTCCATCCATCTGCTCCTGGTCCGGCCCTTCTGTCAAATTTTAGAACTCTTTGTGGCCCACGAGTCAAAAAGTTTGCCCAGCCCTGGTATAGATAAATGGTCATAGTTAACCCACTCGTCACTGCATTCTCAAGAGGAAGTGAGCATCGGGGCGCTTCCAATTGGTTCCAATTGACTTTACATTGAAAAATGACTCTCCCTCTCTCTGTAACTGCTGCTGATCTTGCTGCTGACACTATGATCTTGGTGTTTTTATTTCTTTATTTTGTATGTTAATAAATTCCTGTTCCTATGAAACTCTGCTCCATATTCGCCCCTATAATTTATAGCTCCTGTGAGCTTCATTTGACTGGAGCCAAAAGCTATGAGTGACAGCCCAGTCCCTTAGTCCTCTTCTTTATACAGTCTGTGGTTCTGAGCTGCTTTAATGGGTACGTGTCTTCACTGTGTAACGTCTCATCTTGTCTCTTGTTGTTTAAAAGCAAAGGGCCCAGTTGCAGGAGCAGGGCCTGACTCTGGAGGAGTGGCTGCCCTCGGCCTGGATCACAGACACCGTCCCGCGCAGGTGTCCCTACATCCCCCAGATGGGAGACGAGGTACGCCCCCCCCACCCGTGGCCTCGGTGACCTCTGCACGTGTTTACATGTGTGAATAATAATCAGCACCAGAGAAGTTACATAGTTCACCTTCAGTTCATGTTTATGTCAAGGAACGTTCACAATACACTGACCAAAAAAACAGAAGGTTAAAGGGCCCATATTATGCTTTTTTTCAATCTTTGTTATCATGTAGTTTCCTTATCACAAACAGACATGGAGTTTTGTTTTGTTTCATTCACACATGTGCAGTGTTGGGAAGGTGACTTTTAAAATCCCCTACAGATTACAGATTACACACCCCAAAATATAGTTTGTAACGTAATCCATTAAATTACTTAAAGTGAGTAATGTAATCTGAATACTTTGGATTACTTGATTTGCTGTAGAGAAGCAAAGACGAGGAAATCTTCACATAAAATGTTTTGTTTCCTAAAAGACAATAAAAAAGCCCAGACTTTACTGAACTGTATTAAAAATATTATTGATAGAAGAGGAGGAGACACGTCCACGCAGCATTATTTAGTCTTCTTAAATCCTATTTTAGACCTGGTTTAGAACTGGTTTTAGACCTGGTTTAATCCTGATTTACTCCTGGTTTAGTCCTGATTTAGTCCTGGTTTAGTCCTGGTTTAGTCCTGATTTAGACCTGGTTTAGACCTGGTTTAGTCCTGATTTAGTCCTTGTTTAGACCTGGTTTGGACCTGCTTTAGTCCTGGTTTGGACCTGCTTTAGACCTGGTTTTAGACCTGGTTTTAGACCTGGCTTTAGACCTAGTTTTAGACCTGGTTTTAGACCTGGTTTTAGACCTGGTTTTGGACCTGGTTTAGACCTGGTTTGGACCTGGTTTAGTGTCCGGCAATGAGTGGAATTACCGAGGGGGGAAAAAAAAAAAAGGCTATAGCCCGAAATATGAAAACAGGAAAATACCGCCATGTAATCCATTTACTTCAACAAAGTAACTGTAATCCAATTACCACTCATTAAAACAGTAACTGTAACCGGATACAGTTACTCATAATTTGTACTCTGATTACGTAACTCTGTTATTCTGTTACTCCCCAACACTGCACATGTGAGCTTTGGAAATGTAGACAGGGTAATAAACTAGGATTACTCAAACATGTGTGAATGAAACAAAAACACAACTCCAGGACTATTTTTGAGGAGGTAACACTCACAAGTTAGTTTTCTGTAATATAGGACCTTTAAACTAAAAATAAAGAGACTGTACCAGGTTATAACTAGTTGCTAGATCAAAGTTTTTACCTGAATGTGGGCAGGGTAATTGGGTGCATTTTCTATTTCTGTTATATTCTATTTTCTATAAGCTGTACTATTTAAATGCATTTACTATGTTTAAATCTTGTTTTGCAGGTGTATTACTTCAGACAGGGCCATGAGGCGTATGTGGAAATGGCAAAACAAAAGAAGATTTTCAGCATCAATCCTAAGAAGCAGCCCTGGCACAAGATGGAGCTGAGGGTAAAGACAAATAGACTATATAAACTATACTGAAAGATTGTATTGAATTTCAGACTGTAACATGTATTATTGATTTGAACTGGGCCACACAATGTTGTTTATCATGTTGTGGGGACTAAAGTCTCTATACACACTCAATTCATGTGGCTGTAATTTAAAAGATATTGGTTAAATAGGGTAAAGTTTGGGTTTAGGTTAGGGCTAGGTGATACAGGGAAAAAATAATCACAATTTTGATCATATATTGATCGATCTCTATTTTTGAATCGATCTTCTTCCATTTTATTGAAAATATAGACATATGTACTTCAGGTATAGATTGTAGGATGTCAGGATCACTACTTTTATTTATTTTGTGTTGATAGGACCAGTCATTCTGGAGAAATCCACTTTTAAAAACCAAATGTTTGAAATGCTTAAATAATATATTGAGCCTAAAAGCATGTGCATGTTACCATAAACGGCAGAAACTCGTGATGTCTGTGCTCTAAATGACGTTTCACTCATAAACTGTGAGAAAATAGTTGTTTGCTTTCTGTAACTTGGATTATAAAGATGAAAAACACAGGAGGAGAGAAGAAGGAGAAAAACTGCGGAGCTGCGGCTGCATCAGAGAAAGGGAGGGCGGATAGAGGGTAGATGCACAGTATAGACTGTATAAGCAAGTGGACTAAGCGAGTGTGGCGTCACCCACAGCTTCAGCTCCAGTCAAATGAAGCTCGCGATGCTCACGGTTACAGGGCCGAATATGGAGTCAGGCTCTTGTATTATGAATAGGATTTTCTAATGGAGAAAATAGCAGAAAAAAATACCAAGGTCATGTAGAGTGGGTTATTACGAGCATTTTAAGACCAGAATAACCAGTCTCACTGCAGCAGTCATTCCAATGTAAGTCAATGGGAGCCAGGATCAGTAGGAGCCCGAAGAACTTCCTATTTGGAACTCTGCAGCTAGTGGGTTAGCAGACGGACACACACAGAGACAGAGGGAGAGAGAGACTGGACTTTTAGTGAAATTGTGAAGATTTAAGTCAAAACTTGTGAAATGTGAGAACACGTGAGGAGACATAAAGAGACGTACTGTGGCTTTAATCTAAACAAGAGAGCAGTGCACCACTGCTCTTCCTGACTAGGTGTGTGCAAAAATATTGAAATATCGATATATTGTATCATTTAATGTGATGATACAGTATCAATATCGTGGGCTGCTGTATCGATATATTCCCGATAGTATTTTTTGATTTATTACTGAATTATTTTGTTACAGCACCAGAGTTTTGTTGCTTGTTTAGTGGAAGGAAACTCTTTCGACATTTTCACTGTTTTGATGATTAAAATGTTTGTGTTTCATATGAACTTTGCACAAGAAGTGGTTTAACAAAGACTTTTAGTATCACAGCCATGATTTAACCTTTATCTTTTATTGAACTGTATTGAATCCATTTGAAATATATTGTATCGAATTGAAAGTGCATATGTATCGCATCGTGGCCTATGTATCGAGGTATGTATCATATGGGCAACTTCTTAATGATACCCAGCCCTATTCCTGACACATGATTGGCCGTAGAGCTGTCGATTAAAAAGCGCTTGCCTTATCATTGAATTATCGTTTATATTGCAGTCGACTGATCTTTGGCACAGCCCTCGTTCAGGTTATGCTTAAACCAACTAGTGACTATAGTTAAGGTTAAGATCAGTGTTCAGTAAATAAATATTACTCAATATAATGCCACCAAAAAGCATGAAAACCTGTATGTGCTTTTGCTTCTAATCTACTATTCTAACTTGACAAAAGAATCAAACCTAGGCCCTACTGTATGTGAAACATGTCTGAACTCAAAGTGGTCAGTAAAAACACACACGCTCCTCCACATATTTAAATCCAGTGTGTTATTTTGTTTCCAGGAGCAGGAGCTGATGAAGATCGTTGGACTGAAGTATGAAGTCGGTTTACCCACATTGTGCTGTCTCAAACTGGCCTTTTTGGATCCAGACACCGGAAAACTCACCGGAGGATCCTTTTCTATGAAGTACGTGCTCAACATTTCACCAATATTGCTGGGTTTTAGATGACATCACAGCGTCCTATAGGCCAATATTATTGAACACAGATGGGGACAGCTAAAAAACTAAATAATCTTCAACTGCAGATTTTGGGTCAGTTCAATAATAGAAATGATCATTTTCCAGATTCGGGAATTTATATTTCCAATATTTTGCGGCAAAGTACAATGTAATTAACAGGAAAAAAAAACATCTTATTTCCATCAAATTTATTGCATATATACTGGATTTTCCGGGCTATTAGATGCGCTCTTAAGTCTCTAACCCCATCAAAAAACGACCGCGTGCCCCACAATCCAGAGCGCCCTATACACGAATCCACTCGGGTGTCCCAGCACGACTTCAGTAAACTAAAAAGCTGCACCACCTGCAGCGCACGCAAACACACACGGAGCAGACAGCAACCGCACAGCGAAACACACCTGCAGACACACTCATCACTCCACGTCGACGAGGAACGGAACGGAGGAATGAACCGAAAAAGCGAGTGCAATGTGCCACTTCTAGACACAACTGAACAACTGAGTCACTGCGAACACGTCGACAATCCGACTATTGTGTTTCCTTTAAAGTCCGGTGCGGTTTATTTGTGAAAAAAGTTTGAACATTCTGTGACAGTGCGCCTTATAATCCAGAGCCCTATAGCCTGGAAAAATACGGTAAATACAAATTTTTATGAACATATATAGAAGAAAACAGATAAACAATATACACAAAGATTATGAGGCATAGTTCTAGTTAAATGATTCAGATTGATCATTTCAGTTCATTATAAATTGATAACGTGTAGTAAGTTTGTTTATTTGGAAGCTTTTCTAATGATTTAAAATAATATTATAAATTGTATTAATAGGAAAAACTGGCTCTTGCCCCCCATCTGGAAATATGACATCATCACATTCTTATTAAGATTTTAAAATCCATAACTGCAAACAATTTTATTCTGGGAGTTGATTTCACTGTCGGATGGTACAAAATGAAAAGGCCGTTTGTGCAGAGGCAGAAGACACACAAGTCATATTTTTTGCCTAATTGCTCTATTACCATTTTTAGTCTGTTCAAAAATAAGAAATCGGATGCACTGAGTGTCACGATTTAAAAGGATAGGACCCAAAACGCAGGACTTGCACTGCACAGTTGTTTAATGTAACGAGAACAAAAACCAGGAGAAACCAAAATAGAAACTTACAGCAGACATGACGCTGACAATGGACCAACAAAGGGCAGAGGAGAACGAACACAGGGTTTATATGCACTCAGGAGACTCAGGTGACACACATAAAACTCATAAACATTAGGAAGTAAAACTCAAAAACTAAAGTTGGATGGGACAAATGTCAAAATAAAACACCAAGGGCATAAAACACTAAAGGAATAAGACATCAGTATATGGAAAAACAATGAAGACAAAGCATGAACTATGATATTGAGGACAAAGTAGTAATGTCACATGGGCACACAGAGACTGAGGAAGAATATTGATGCCAAATATCCGTTAAATTTTCAGCTGACACCAATATCTGGGGAGACTGATTAGTCCTGGTTTATCACCCGTCCCTAAGGCTGGGCAATTAATACAATAAGCTCTATTCACGCATACCGGAAGAGGTTAGGAAGCTTGTGGATGAGATGGTGTAGTTCCCGGCACTGGGCATGTGATGATAAAACCATAGATTCAGCAGCAGCATCTTCACGACCTGCCAGAACTTTCCATGGACGTGACTCTAATCACATCGATGTCACTTACAGACGGCTGGATGTAACTGTTGATCTGCAGAACATAACAGAACTTTTTAAAATAGTATTATTAAGTTCGACAAATTATAATACACAAATTAATCGGCAATTTATAAAAGGAAAATAAGAATACAATGACATCTAGATGAAGAAAACCCGGGGCATTTTTCCAGTTTTCCCAGATTTTGTCAGAGTTACTATCGCCAACAGAGCCCAAAGGAAGTCATCATCCACATGTTTACAAATGTCTTCTGGGTTTGTGACATCACTGTGAATAGAGCCCATTATAAAACAGTTTTACTCCTGACTTTCTTACTTGCAAAGCCGCGTTATTGTGCAATTGATGCTATTACTGCTACTGTTTCATTGTTTAATGTTTTGAGTGTTTGTTTTATTGGAAAGAGTTTTGTAAAGGGCTCTATAAATAAAGTTTGATAACACTATTAACAAAAAGTCCCATTCAAATTTAAAGTATTAAAATTTTATTAGGTATCTATATAAATGTAATTGAAGACAGTCTATATTTTCTTAAATAATAGGAGATGATAAGAATGAAAATGTAAAGAAAGACTAGCTTTTCTCTGACTATGATTAAAATCAATCATAATCGTGTGTGGGGGAAAAAAAAAGAGAGATTATCTTTTGGCCATATCTCCCAGCTCTACCCATCCCTACAAGAAAATTATCTCCAGAACCATAACTGACCCAATAGTGAATGAATAAGTTATGAAGGGCTAAAACGTAGACTTGGCAAATAGGTCAAGTCATTAAACTACTACTAGGGATGTAACAATAACTGAAATATCATAATATCGTATCATCGAAAGTGTCACAATAATATCGTGGGCCATCACAATATATAACAAGATAGCAGCGGGGTCTTAAAAGTCTTCAAAAGGTCTTAAATTTCATGTTTCTAAAGGCCTTAAAAAGTCTTAAATTCCGTCTACACTGCCCAAGATGCAAAACTCTGGTCAGATACATCACCACCTTGAGTCACCACCGAGCCGCCTGACATGCATAACCAATCCAGTTCCACACACTTTTGCGTCATCCTATGGGTCACCCGAAAACGCTTGTCTAAACGCGGAATAAAAAGTGAAGACGGGACGCCAATTTTGTGTCTTCTGTTAGGACCGTCATCATATAAACGTAGCCTTAGATTCTAGATATACTGTAGTACCGTTATTTGGTTGGTCATTATTAGAATTAGTCTTGGTGTTTTTTGCCCGCATATGGGTGCGATGTTGGTCTTAATTTTCATTTAAGTGGTCTTCAAAGGTCTTTAAAAAGTCTTTAATTTGGGGTAGTCAAACCTGGGGATACCCTGTATAATGAATAGTTATAGTGCAGCAATAGCTAAAAAAAAAAAAAAGGGTACTGCATAGACCATGATCTTTTGCTTTGTTTCAGTCCAATTTACACAATGAAATCACTTTTTAAGCATTTTAAATCTTAACTCTTTGGTTTATGGCAGAACCAAAGGCATGTTAAGGCATTTTAAAGGAAAAAAGCAGTATTTCATAATTTTGTTAGCCTCTACAAAATATTGTAGCGTGAGATGCATATCTTGAAAATATCTTAGAGAAATTTGGATATCATTACATCTCTAGTACTGCATAGACCATGATCCTTTGCTCTGTTTCAGTGCAGACTAATTAGGCACTTTAGGCACTCTTAATTCTTTGGATCATGACAGAACCAAAGTATTGTCAAAGAATTTTAAAAGGTTATAGCAGCATATTCACAATTCTGTTATGTAGCAGGGTCCGGTCAAGTGGTAACGGAGGGAAACGGGCAGATTTTTTACATTCAAATGTCTCTTATTCAGAAACTAGAGGAACTATTGAAATAAGTAAAGTATCAGAATGTAGGAAAGAGTTACACTCCAACAGGGTAAAGTTAAACCTGTGATATTCTTTCAAGTTGTTGACAAAAAATTTAAAAACTCATGTTGGTAACGGAGGGAATGAAATATGCAGCAGTTTTTGGGCAATAAATCCAAACAGTGATAACTCTTGGTTCTCACTTACATATCCTTAACAAACTGGTTTGAATATTTGCTTCATATAGTTTTCTACCATATGGTACAAGATTAGGTTGAAAAACCTCTTACTTTTTGAGATTTTTTTTTATTAAGAAAGGTCATGGTAACGGAGGGAAAAGTAACGGAGGGAAAATTGTGCAAAGCAAGTAGAAGGTGCATGATTTTACATAATATGTCAACTTTTTTCTTCTGAATACTTTAATATTACTTCAAAATGAAAAGTAACTATTTCTATAAAATAAGTCAGTCCTTCCAAGAAAATTTTTATCATTTTAAATACATTTTTTTTGAAAAATCATGTACCTTCATCAACAGTTCAAAGATGGAATAACACAAGATATGATGAAATACATCCATTTATTGACATGATTTGCAGGTCTTTGAAATTTGGAAAACAATTTTTGTTCCATGTTTCATACATGGTCTGTTTAAAACGTATGGAACTTTAGAACCAAAAATGGTGCAGAAAAAAGGTCAACAGTTTCATAAACTAGAGTACATATGTATCTGTTGAATACATGTTTATATCAGATGCATTAACTTGAATTTTTGGCCTTGTGTTTACTTCTGCTTGACCGGGCCCAAATACTGTACAGTGAGATGTATATCGTGAAAATATCATACAGAGATTTGGGCATAGTTACATCTCTAACTACTAATATAAAAAATATCACACAAAGTTACTTCGTTCTTCTTCAAGTTGTATTTATTCTGTATCCTGTTTCAGATACCACGACATGCCTGATGTGATCGACTTCCTGGTTTTGCGACAGCAGTTTGAAAACGCCCGACGAAGACAGTGGAGTATAGGTTTGTTTACAACTGATTCTAAAAGTCCTTTATTACACAAAATTGACTCTTTTGAGCTTTGAGACGTGTTATGATTTTGTTACCTCATCAAAAACAGACCTGACTTTGTTTTGTTTCATTCACACGTTTGAGTAATTCTTTATTATGAGTCTGTCTACATCTCCAAAGCTCAAAATGCTCTGTTCCACCTTGTGATGTCATGAAGCGACAGTTTTCACGTTAGCAGCTACTTTTTATTCTTTGTTCAGTAGAGATTAGGAATTCCAGGTCTGAAATCATCCAGTTGTTTTATGTATCATGTATTACCACATGACATCACAAGGTGGAACAGGGTGTTTTCAGTTTGAGAGATGAAAGAAGAAGAAGAATCTGCAGGCTTTGTGTGGTAAACATGTGTGATTGAAACAAAACACAACTCCAGCCATGTTTGTGATGAGGAAACAACATTATAACAGAGATCAGCAAACAGAGTAATATGGGCCCTGAAAGACGCGGCGATCTGTTTATTTGGTCTGAACTTGAGTTGTGGTGTTTTTACAGGAGACAGGTTTCGGTCGGTGATTGATGACGCCTGGTGGTTTGGGACCATAGAGAGTCAGGAGCCGTACCAGCCCCAGTATCCTGACAGCCTGTTCCTCTGCTACAGCGTCTGGTAGGTTTTCAACAGATACTTTGCAGAGTGCTGATAATAATCACGTTAAAGTTGGTAGTAATAATAATAATATTAATAGTAATAATAATGATGTTTCTGTTTTCTTATTTTTTTCTTATTGTTTATTTATTTATTTAGATTTTTTTTCCATTTTCCATTTTTTATTCTTTTTTTTTTTTTTTCATTTTCTGTAAATTTTTTATTAGATTTATTATTACCGTATTTTCCGCACTATAGGGCGCTGGATTATAAGGCGTCATTGAATGTTCTATTTTCGAACTTTTTTCACAAATAAACTGCACCGGACTTTAAAGGAAACCCAACAGTGTGATGGGTGAGTGGTTTTGTTTGTGGTTTTGTTTGTTTGTGGCGTTCACGGTGACTCTGGGCTTTGTTCAGTTGTGGCGTGTAGGGAGGGTGCTGTCTGGGACCGCTGGATTGTCGGCGTGTTTGCAGTGACTCAGTTGTTCAGTTGTGTCTAGAAGTGGCACATTGCACTCGCTTTTTCGGTTCGTTCCTCCGTTCCGTTCCTCGTCGACGTGGAGTGATGAGTGTGTCTGTGGGTGTTTTTGTCTGCTCCGTGTGTGTTTGCGTGTTCTGCGGGTGGTGCAGCTTTGTAGTTTACTGAAGTCGTGCTGAGACACCCGAGTGGATTGCAGTCATTTTTTGATGAGGTTTGAGGCTTATGAGTGCACCCAATAGCCCGGAAAATATGGTATTTATTTATTTTTATTTTATTTGTTTATTGTAAATGAAGAGCACTATGCACATTGGTTCAGGGTGCATCTGTGTGTGTATGTATGTGTGTGTGCGTGTGTGTGTTTGTGTGTGGCTGAGTGGGTGTGAATGGAAGAGAGTGGGTGTGTGTGTGCTTTGTTTTAATATAGCTCATTTTTATTTTCCCACTGGAAGTCGGCATCCAAAATATGAATAAATAAACTTTGCAGCTGATGTCATCAACATTCATCAACATTCTAACAGAAGACACTGCTCTGTCTGAGGCTTTATTACTCAAGTTATATTTTAATCTGAGCTATTTCTGTCTCTCTCTCTCTCTGTTACTTGGCTTGGTAGTGCCACCCTCTTGTGCGCATAAAGATGGATACATTTAATGCTGTATGATATTCTTAGTTGTTTAATCCGCTTATACCACGCTCCCACCAACTGAAAATCGTTCACTTTTAAATCTAACAACCGTTTGACTGTCCATGAATGTTCAGGGGAAAAGATGGTGAGTCTGTTTTAGTTGAAGTTGAGTAGTTCATTTGTGTACCTGTTGCTATGGTGATAAAGAACAGTGACTAACTGTGGCCGGAACTACCTGTGCAGTTATACAAAAATAATGAACGTTAGAATTCTCTTGACTGTGGTTTTCAGATTCTAGAATGTCATGATGTCTTACTGCCATGGACAGTTTTCTCGATTGAATACTTTGTACTTTGCCAGAAAATATAATAATAATAATAATAATCATAATTTCACAAATGTTGAAGCAGATTATTTATATTTGTGACTAGGCCCAAGAACTCACTGTTATCACCACATTAATTTTAGCTGCCCCATCTGTATTAAACATGTTTGACTTGTGAATGTTGTGATGTCATTTGAAACCCGGCATTTGATACTGTGCAGTGACTTCACGATGGGCAGTGATATCACACCGGGAGTGTCCTTCATGTATCTGTCTCTGATGGAATGTTACCATGGTGACACAATGTGTACATTAGCAGACACTGGCCAAAAAAATCACCTGTTGTAGTTGTATTTCTTTGTGGTCAGAATTGCCATGTTTACACGAAAGCTTTAATAATAAAATAAGAATAAAAACAATTTAAGTCTGAATAAAAATTAATCCCGCTTTAAAAGTATCATGTAAATACTAGGGGTGGCACAATTCACAAAATTCACGGTTCGGTTCGTATTGCGGTTTAAGGTCACGGTTTTCGGTTCTGTATGGTTCTTGTTGACATTTTTTCTTCTTAATCTTTAATATCCAGAAATATACTTCAGCATATGCTATGTTAGCTTAATTATCCACAATTTAGGATATAGCAATAATCATTATGAATTAAGTGTTTACATGGTCTTTTTAAAGCAGAATATATATATATATATTTTTTTTCGGAATTAAATTATTTTTAATCGGAATTAAAGCTCTCATGTAAACGGGGCAACTCTCCAAAAAAACACCTGGTGTAGTTGTATTTCTTTATGGTCAGAATTGCCATGTTTATATGAGAGCTTTAATAATAAAATAAGAATAAAAATAATTTTATTCTGAATAAAAAATTTTCCGCTTTAAAAATACCATGTAAATACGTACTCCCTAATGAAAATGTTTAAGTAATGATGAAGTAAATGGGTGGTTTGTTCTGATTTTAAAGTCAAATAAATTTATTTCTTGATCATGTAAACGTTTATTCTTCTTAAATATAATTTGAGTCGTTCAGCGCTTGCTTGTTGGGTCATCACTTAAAGCATGATGCGGGAATTATTATTTAATTGTTTAATTATCATCAGAATGACTGTGAAAAAGTTTGTATCATGTGTTTGTGTCTGTGGCGTAATGGTAAACCAAGGTGACAAAAAAGCTGGTACCATCTGAAGTGTGTGTTTTCTTCCAGTCGACAGAAATACATTTGTGTCCCTGTCTTATCAGAACCCTTCCCAACCCCCTGACGGAATTAAATGAAGGTGATTTATTTTGAGCTTTCTACCTTCTAAGAGTGATGTGTGGGCCTTGTATATGTCGCGCAAGTGGTTTTTAGATTGATTCTGAGTTTTTAATAAATTGCAGCGTATTTCTGCCACCCTCCCACGTGACAACGAACTAAAGCTGCTACAACGATGACGCGGCAGCTACACCTATGACGCGTTTGACGTAGCAGAAAGTGCTTTGCACCTCCCCCACTCCACCGCCTCGGCCCCGTCTCCACCCCGCATCGTCTGACAATTCCCACATGAACACCTAAACAAAAGCGACAGCATAAGCTCATTGTTCTCCACTGCAGTGAACACAATATAAAAAGTTTATCTACTAGTGTTTATTAATACTTTACCAATCAGTAATGTTCAGTTGATGTGGACGCGGTGCTTGTGCTTCGTGCTCCTCAAAGTCCTCGTCCGATTCCGGGTCCAACACATGCGGTTGAACGCGCTGTATCTCCATGATGAATAAAAGTTTATTCCTACCACTATCAGGGTGCACACCTGTCTCCCCCTCCCTCCCTGAGATGGCGGAGGAAGGGCGGCTCACTCGTCGCCTACGTCACGTTTGGAGGGTGGAGCCTGTGCTTTCTCAGGACGGGCGGGGGGGATGAGCAATAGTCGGCCTTTCGTAGTTCCTGGTCTGTGATTGTGTCCAAGAAATTTCATAACTATTGTGTAATGGATGTTCCAAAACCCAAATTGTGCTTGTTTCTGTGCAGAAGATACAATGTGAAAAGAGTGATTTTGCATCAGATGAACCCTTTAACACGTTTTCCATGTAAAACTCAGTTCGGAATTATTATTTCTATGTAAACTTGAAGGATTCCAAAGTATTTCATTCAGAACAAATAATTCAGAATTAAGAGAACATAATGTAATAGTGGCCAATGAGTTAAAATAAGGATCAAATTTCTAACTTGAGTAACAGAGCTTGTAACAGAGCAGTGCTTACAGTTAGCTTCACGCCTCCAGAGAATGTGGACACCAACACCATCACCTGCAAAGTGTCAATACATTTTGTTCATTAAGGTGTGATTCACTGTGGTTCAATTGGCTTAGATTACATTGATACTGAGCCTTGATTTTCATTTGTGTCTAAACGGCATTGATGTGAGCCACCAGCCACTCTCTCCATTCACTGGACATTAATTGAGTCATATTTGAATGTTAAATTGCCTCGGAAACAAGATGGACCATAATTCTACAAAGCGTTTGAAGAAATGTTTTCCTCACAATTTTCAAGCCATTTAAATCAGGTACAAGAAGGTCAGCAACGGAAAATAGAGCAAATGTGATCGTGCAAATGAGTCATAACACTTTAATCCAGGCTCAGAATCTCTTCAGTATCTATTCAGACTTTCAGAGTGACTTTCAGCGCTCAGGAATGCAGTAATACTACCCACACTATATTACACTATTTCCTGATCTGTTTTGATGTTTCCTCATCACAAACAGACCCAGAGTTGCATTCACCGTATTTTCCGCACTATAGGGCACTCTGGATTATAAGACGCACTGTCATAGAATGGTCTATTTTCAAACTTTTTTAACAAATAAACCGCACGGGACTTTAAAGTAAACACAACAGTGTGATGGGTGAGTGGTTTTGTTTGTTTGTGGCGTTCACGGTGACTCTGGGCTTTGTTCAGTTGTGGCGTGTAGGGAGGGTGCTGTCTGGGACCGCTGGGATTGTCAGCGTGTTCGCAGTGACTCAGTTGTTCAGTTGTGTCTAGAAGTGGCACATTGCACTCGCTTTTTTGATTCATTCCTCCGTTCCGTTCCTCGTCGGCGTGGAGTGATGAGTGTGTCTGTGGGTGTTTTTGGCTGTGCGGTCGCTGTCTGCTCCGTGTGTGTTTGCGTGTTCTGCGGGTGCTGCGGCTTTGTAGTTTACTGAAGTCGTGCTGGGACACCCGAGTGGATTCGTGTATGGGGCGCTCTGGATTGTGGGGTGCACGGTCGTTTTTTGATGGGGTTGGTAAGAGCGCGCCCTATAACCCGGAAAATACGGTAGTTCCATTCCCATATGTTTAACCTCTGTTTTACGCTCGAACAGAAAACACTGTTCCACTTTGTGATGTCATGTACAAGAATTGCTCCACAGTGTATTTAAACTCTGTACAACTTAACTAGGGATGATTTCAGCCCTGGAATTGTCAATCTCTACTGAACAAAAAGTAAAAGGAGCTGTTCACTTGAAAACTACTGCTTCATGACATCACAAGGTGGAACAGAGTTGTAAACAGACTAATAATAAAGGATTACTCAAACACGTGTGAAAGAAACAAAGCACAGCTCCAGTCATATTTTCTATGTTACTTTATTAATGTTCTAACATTACTTAAAACTCAGTGACAATGACATCTCCATAGAAACAAGAAAATAATCAAAACGTTATGCCTGTTTTTATAGACTTAGACTTAGACAAACTTTATTGATCCACAAGGGAAATCATCTGGACACTGTAGCTCATCACAGTATAATTCTAAATAAGTAGCAAAAAAGAGCAAGAGACAAGTGCCAAATAAGACTTAATTATATAAATGTAAATGTACAAGTCAAAATAAAATGGAAATATAAGTCATAAAATCTCAACTTTATACAAGAGCTCATAGGAAGAACAAGCAACAATGATATGATGACTGACATGACACAGGGTTATCTATTACATAAGGGTGTAGGGAGTATTATCTGTCACATAAGGGTGAGTTATATTGATATATTGTGCACTTTGGTCACCTTGTGTGTTGTAAAGGGTTGTATAAAAAAGTCTGAATGTCTGATTGAACTGTTTTCAGCTGGGACAATGGAGACACAGAGAGGATGAGCCCCTGGGACATGGAGCCAGTGCCCGACGATGGTGAGTACTTTGAACACATTTTTAAGCGTTATTTGGAGCACCTGCTGTTAGGTTTTATTCCCAAACTTATTTATGTTTATTTCCAAATTTCCTCTCCTGTGTACTAGGTCCTTGGTTTAATGGTTTTTAACATAGCCCACTTCTTCATACAGTCTAAGGGAGTGTGACATCACCCACAGTGTTCAGCTCTAGTCAAATGAAGCTCACAAGGCCAGCAGTTATATATGCATCACGAATTTCAGATTTCTGGTCATTGCACAATGCATACTGGGAAGGATTTTCTGGAAAAGTGAGCATCAAAACAGCCATGTTTGTTTTCCCAGGGACACGTCTATTGACAAAAACGATCTTTTCAAGTCTTTTGAACCATATCACTTTTGTTTCTGGTTCTGATATTGTCATATTTTAGTTTTGGGATTCGGGCATCGTAATTGTGTGGTTGTTGGATCCTAACAGCGGAAAACGGCTCGAGAAATTTGTTCGCGAACTCCATGAATGCAAAAGGGAATCAGATGTGTGTGACTGCAAACCTCTGTTCAAACTGTTTCCCTTCCCAACGAAATTGCAGTTATGGAATTCGCAAACTTCCGAAGGCCATTTCTCGAGCCGTTTTCCGCTGTTAGGATCTAACAAAAACACAATTACGATGCCCGAATCCCAAAACTAAAATATGACAATATCAGAACCAGATACAGAAGTGATATGGTTCAAAGACTTGAAAAGATCGACTTTGTCAATAGACACATCCCACTGGGAAAACAAACATGGCAGTTTGATGCTCACTTTTTCGGAAAATCCCTCCCAGTATGCATTGCGCAATGACCAGAAGTCTGAAATTCATGATGCATGTATTGGTGGTTTTCAGACTCTAAAATGTGATGATGTTATACTCCCAGTTGGCAAGATCCAGAGTTCCCTATTGATTACATTTCACTTTATTATTAAATATCTAAAAAGCAAATTTACAAATGTTGAACCTGATCATTTCTATTATTTACTAAACCCGAGAACTCACTGTTTTACAAGACAAATCTGCATTTTAACAATGAACATTTTAGCTGCTCCCAGGTCTGTATTAAAAATTATTGTCCAGGGCATGAAAACTCACATGGGTCCCTCTCTAATATTAATTAATAAGAAGCAGGTCTACACTGTGTACACAATTATTAGGCAAGTGGGTATTTTGACCATTTTTATGCAAATTCTTCAACTCCAACCTGTATAAACTTGAATTCTTATTGGATTTAAGCATATCTGGTGACGTGTATTTGTCTAATGAGGGAGGGTGTGGCTTAAGGAGATCAACCCCCTATATCAAGGTGTGCAGAAGTATTAGGCAGCTTCTTTTCCTCAGGCAAAATTGGCCAAAAAATAGATTTAACTGACTCTAAACAGTCAAAAATTGCTAAAAGTCTTTCAGAAGGATGGCACACTCTTGAAACTGCAAAGATATTGGGCGTGATCACAGAACCATCAAACATTTTGTTACTAATAGTCAACAGTGTCACAAGAAACGTGTTGAGAAAAAAAGACGCAAATTAACTGCAAGAGATTTGAGAAGAATCAAACATGAAGTTATCAGGAACCCGTTGTCCTCCAGAGCTGTCATAATCCAGAAGTGCAACCTACCTGGAGAGCCCAGAAGTACAAGGTGTTCAGAGGTCAGAGACGGGGCCAAAGTGAGGAAGACTGAAACCCGACCATTACTGAACATGAAACATGAGCTGAAACATCAAGACTGGGCCAAGAAATATCTTAAGACAGATTTTTCAAAGGTTTTATGGACTGATGAGATGAGAGTGAGTCTTGACAGAGCAGATGGATGGACTCGTGTCTGGATCAGTAATGGGCAAGGTGGATGCGGGGTACTGTTATGGGCTGGTATTAATAAAGATGAGCTTGTTGGACCTTTTTGGGTTGAAGATGAACTCAAAATGAACTCCAAAACCTACTGCTATTTTTAGAAGACACTTTGTTCAAATAGTGGTACAAGGAAAAAGTCTCCATCTTTCAAGAGGACCATGATTTTTAGGCAGGACAATACTCCATCACATGCATTGAAGTACTCCACTGTGTCTGCCAGTAAAGGCTTTAAAGATGAAAAAATAATGACATGGCCCTCTTCCTCACCCAAACTAAACCCTATTGAGAACTTGGTGGCCCTTCTTAAACAGGAGATTTACAGTGAAGGAAAACAGTCCACCTCTCTGAACAGCGTCTGGAGACTGTGGTTGCTGCTGCACAAAAAGTTGATCGTCAACAGATCAAGAAACTGACAGACTCCATGAATAGAAGGTTTATAACCATTATTGAGAAGAAGGGTGACTATCTTGGTCACTTTTGTTTTTTTTAATGTCAGAAATGTTTATTTGCACGGTTTGAGTTGTTTATTATTTTGGCAGGTGAAAAGAAACAAGTGAGAATGGAAAATGTTCATTTTTCATGTAGTTGCGTAATAATTCTGCACATTAATAGTTTCTCAATAATAGAGCACACAGAGATTTTCCAAAACTTCACTTTTACTTTCTTAAATATTCAGGTTTGCGGTTTATTAACATTTTGGATAGACCCAGAGCACTGTAGTTGTTCAATTATAAAATGAATCCTCAGAAATATAACTTTAATTATGCACACAGTGTAATTCTAGGCCTCTAAAACCCTGCGGCCCGGGACAGCAGAGCCCTTTGTGCCCCCGTCTACTGCCCTGAGTAGTATTAATAAATGCGTAATGTTTCTCCTCAGCGTCCTTCCCTGATGAGCTGGGTCTGAGTGTGCCTCTGTCGGAGGACGAGCACCGGGAGCTGCTCTACGTGCCTGTGGAGGGAGAGTGGGGCTGCAGACCACGAGCTGAAGAGTGTGATCGAATTATTAAAGCCATCGACCAGCTCTGCACTCTGGGTATGAACACAACAAACTACTCGCTCTTATATGCTAGCTGTAAGCACTGCTCTGTCTGAGGCTTATTAAGACTGTAATCTGAGTTAAGTGAACTGATTTCTCCTGTTAAACAACTCTCAAATAACTTTACAATCACAAGTAGGGATGTAACTATAACCCAAATATCGTGATATTGTAACGTCAAAAGTCTCACAATAATATCATGGGCTGGAGCAATATACCAAATCACAAGTTTCTTTGCTTAAGTGCATGGTTTTACAGTAGAAATAGCAAATTAACATCTGGAACTACATATCGCATGAGTCATTTCAGTGCAGACAACATGAAGGAATATGTTTTTAGGTGAATTCTTGGGATTCTGACAAGAATAATTCACACAAAAATCTTGTCAAGGTATTTTAAAAGCAAAAAGGCATCTTATCTAAAATTATATCAGCCTCTCTAAAATATCGCAGTAAATATCGTACCATGAGATGCATATCGTGATAATATCATACTGAGAGATAAGTAAGCATAAGCTTTCTAGCATTAGCCAACAGTTTCTCAGTTAGTATCTCATATTTTTGGTTAAAAATCAGACACCTAAACAGGACTTATTGCAATATTTCGTGGAATCTAAAAAAACTGTGAATATGCTACTTTTTCCTCTTAAAATGTTTTGACAAGACTTAACCCAAAGAACTAAGACTTAAAAGTGCTTATAAAAGTTATTTTCATGTAGTCTGCACTGAAACAGAGCAAAGCATCATGGTCTATGTAGTTCCCTATGTTTTTAGCTATAGTTGCACCAAAACAATTCATTTGAATGAATGAATGAATGAACATTTATTCGGACAGTAATACATAGAACATGCGTAGAGAACATAAATACGTAGATATAACACATAAAGTAAATATTTCTTTTCTGTAATAATAAGCGAAAATAAATGTCAGGCAGATTTTACTTGTGTCCGAAAAAGGAGTGGGATTTAAGTGAAGACACTTGCCATTTGATATATTGTGATGGCCCACGATATTATTGTGAGACCTCTGATGATACGATATTACAATATTTCTGTTATTGTTAAATCCCTAGTAATTGATGAACATACACACACACGTAGAACACCCCGAGCATGACGTCACCACAGACTTTTAATTTGTCAACTCTGCATTGAACACTCTGGGTATGAAGTAGAACTGAACTCAGCAATATTGTCAAAATGTGATTAAATATGTGATTCAGGGTTTAATTGTAGGTTCTAGTCAAAGGGCACCTTTTAAAACTGTGAAAATATGAAGTGTAAAACTCAAAATAAAAGTCCCATGTGTTTTAGAACATAGATACACAATAAAGATACACAAAGTTACACAGTGCACTGTGTAACTTTGTGGTTGGGGGTCTGTCTCTGGCTTGTTTCTATGGAGATGCCATTGTTCTGCCTGGAATATTCCACAGTATGACATTAAACAGCTCTATCTTACTTTTTTTTTTAATTACAGATGGTTTTATAGCTCAAAAATCCCTGCAAAAAGAGATCTGTTCTGTAACTTGGTCTGGTTTGGTCTTCACGAAGATAGAAAGGTTTAATGCCATAAAGTGAAACATTCCAGACAAAGCAATAACATCTCCAGGGGGGAAAAGCATTTGACGGACCCTCGACCAGAAAAGTTAGACAATGTACCTTTAAGGGTTAGCTAGTTTTATTTCATACCTTTTGTTCCTTTTAAACCTTGCAGCTACAGAATGTACCGAACTCTTGTGATCTTTATGTTAGTCACCAAAGTAATCTTACTGAACAGGTGAATGAAGTCAGTTGTTTCCTGTACAAAGCTCTGACTCACTGCTCTGCTGTTATGAGTCAGACCTTGCTTAGTCCTGAATTGGTTCTGGTTTAGACCTGGTTTAGTCTTGGAAAAGGGTTTTGTTATGGTTTAGTGTAGACCTGCTTTAATCTTGGTTCAGAATCTGTTGAATCTTAATATAGTAATTTAGTAAAGATGCACAATTTTGAAAAAAACCCCAAAAAGAATAATTGCATTTTTTTCTGATAATTATTACGGTTGCAATTTGATTTGTAATACATGTTTAAAAAGTAGGATTCTGTGCACATTGTAAACAACTCAAGGGGCATTAAAGGTGCACTGTGTAAGTTTTCTGGTGTAGGGTCCTCTACCAGTTTGTCTCCATGGAAATGTAATTTTTTTGCCCGAAATGTTCCACACTCTGTCCGTCTGAAGTGACCCAAATCCGATTTTTTGGCTTCTACGTGACCTGTATCTGATCTTTTAATGACAGTCTGAACAACACAGATCCGATTTTTTCAAATGCGACCCAGGACACTTCGAAATGTGCTCCTGAAACCGATACATATCTGATCTTTTGACATGCGACTTCAATGTGAACGGTCAAAGCGCATTCATCTGACCTACGCATTATCAGCAAGCCACAAACGTCACTATTCTGCGCTGAAGTAGGCGAAAATTGTTAATAAACTCCGTGTCACTGAAGTGAAGCACATCACCACTCACCACTCTTGGCTACGTCTCCACATCCACACGTTCCTTTCAACGGACGTCGCTGCCGCTGCCCCACAAAACACCACGGCCAAAAACCTCGTCCTTCTCAATCTCCTCCTTAAAACAAGTAAGTTGTTCATGTTCTGTCTCCGGTACGAGAGGATCTTTAAAATCTCCAGGTGCTCAATGCTCGCGTCCATGTTTGGACAACTTCCGTAACACAGAGCACGCTCGCTGTTGACATCGTTGTGTCTCCAGTGCACATGTGGGACACTTTTGGGCCATTTAATGTTCACACTGGAGTCACATACAAGTCACATTTAATTGGAAATGTGAACGACCTCGCAAAAATATCGGATTTCATAAAAAAATCGGAATTGAGCGTTAAGCCCTGCAGTCTGAACGTAGCCTTAGTCTTGCATTTATACAATTACAGGTGTTTTTATTGTTTAAACCTTGAAAAAAAAAAAAAAAACATGCATTCTTGTTATGGGGAGGTCACTTCTCCACATATCTGACCTGCAACTTGACCTGACAGTTGTCTCTGACTGTGGAACTAACCAGGCAAAGCAATAGCATCTCCATGGAGACAAGCAGGTGACAGATCCTCTACCAGAAAAGTTCCTCGTTGCACCTTGAACATACGAGAGAATACAAGACTCCGATACATTTCCGAACATGTTTAAAGGACTGGTACAACATTTTCTATAACAAGACAAGTGTTTTCTTTGTCTATTATCTAAATAATTGCTGCCTTTTACAATTTTATAATTGCCCCATCATTTAGTTTTGTTTTAGTCCTGGTTTAGATCAGGTTTAGAACTGGTTTGTGTTTAGTCATGAGTTCATCCATGTTCAGTAGGGGTGTAACGATATCCAAGTCTCACGATACGATATCATCACGGTATGATCATGGGAAAGCTCACGATATGGTGGGGAGGCTCACGATTAGAGATGCAACAATATCCAAATCTCTCGGTACGATATTATCATGATATACATCTCACAGTACAATGTTTATTGTGATATTTTGTGGAGGCTAATATGCCACTTTTTCCTCTTAAAATCCATCCATCCATCCATTTTCTTCCGCTTATCCAAGGTCGGGTCGCGGGGGCAACAGTCTGAGGAGGGCCTCCCAGACTTCCCTCTCCACACACACTTCCTCCAGCTCTTCCAGGGGGATCCCGAGACGTTCCCAGGCCAGCTGAGAGACATAGTCCCTCCAGCGTGTCCTGGGTCTTCCCCGTGTCCTCCTCCCAGTGGGACATGCCCAGAACACCTCCCAAGGGAGGCGTCCAGGAGGCATCCGAAACAGATGCCCGAGCCACCTCAACTGGCTCCTCCCAACGTGGAGGAGCAGCGGCTCTACTCCAAGCTCCTCCCGCGTGACTGAGCTCCTCACCCTATCTCTAAGGGAGCGCCCAGCCACCCTGCGGAGGAAACTCATTTCGACCGCTTGTATCCGCGATCTTGTCCTTTCGGTCATTACCCAGAGCTCATGACCATAGGTGAGGGGAGGAACGTAGATTGACCGGTAAATCGAGAGCTTCGCCTTTCGACTCAGCTCTCTCTTCACCACAACGGTCCGATACAGCGACCGCATCACTGCCGACGCTGCACCGATCCGCCTGTCAATCTCACGCTCCATCCTCCCCTCACCCGTGAACAAGACTCCGAGATACTTGAACTCCTCCACTTGAGGCAAGGACTCTCCACCCACCCGGACAGGACAAGCCACCTTTTTCTGGTCGAGGACCATGGCCTCTTAAAATGCCTTAACAAAACTTAATCCAAAGAACTAAAACTTAAAAGTGTTAGAACAGTTATTTCTTCTTGTAGTCTGTACTGAAATGGAGCAAAGGATCATGGTCGATGTAGTTCCCTTTGTCTTTTTTAGCTATTGCTGCACCATAACTTTTAATTTAAGCAAAGACACTTGTAATTCAATATATTGTGATGGTCCACGATATTATTGTGAGAACTGATGATACAATATCATGATATTTTGGTTATTGTTACATCCCTAATGTTTAGTGGTGGATCAGTGGGCAGAGCAGAAGGTTCACTAATCAACTTGGCTGTTCAAAGACTGCTGTTATTGTGTCCTTGGGCAGCACACTTCCTTCCATTCACCTTTGTATTGCTTGTAAAGTGCATTGTAAACTTCAATATATAGTCTAAGAGTTGGTGTAAAAGATTTGAGAGTTGTCGTGCTTAAAGGTGCGTTTTTCTGGTGGAGAGTTTGTCACTTGCTTTTTCTCCATGGTGATGTTATTGCTTTGTCTGGAATGTTTCACAGTATGGCTTTAAACCTTTCTGTCTTCATGGAGACCAGACCAAACCAAGCTACAGGTCAGATCTGTGGAGAGGTGACCCCGCTCACAGTCAGAACGTCTAGTAGAGCTGTTAAATGTCACACTGTGGAACATTCCAGGCAGAGCAATGACCTCTCCATAGAAAGGAGCAGGTGACGGACACAGTGCACCTTTTACGCTGCAGACGCACTGAGCCAAAGATGGAGACGCTTGTTCAAATTCCTGTTAAAAATGATGTCATTGTCACAACAAATTCAGACATAGGATCTGCAACGTGCTGTGGAAAGACGGGCAGGAGCTCCCTCTAGTGACAGCACAGGGTCTTGTCACGTGTTAAAGTAAATAAGCACTCAAGTCTTTTTTAACCTAACATTACTCCCACACATATGCTTCACTGGATTTTAGCTGAACTCTTTGTGACTGTGGTACACTGAAATGCTGTAGCTATAGAGATTCAAGAAAAATTATAGATGATAATGCAAGGAACACAGGTTTTGTCAAAATTAGAGGTCCAAAAAAGCAATAATTACTCCTGTGAGCTTTAAGCCATTTTCTAATACTGTTACCTCCTCGAAAACAAACCCAGAGTTGTGTTTTGTTTTATTCACACATGTTTAACACACTAACATGATTTCTTCTCTCAAATATGATAACTCTCTGTTCCACCTTGTGATGTCATGTGCTAATACAGGAAGCGCTCCACTGTGTTTTTAAACTCTATACACCTTCACGAGAATCATTTGGATGATTTCAGACCTGGAATTGCCAATCTCTACAACACAAAAGGTTAAAGGAGCTGTTAACTTGAAAACTACTACATGACATCACAATTTTGAACTTTGGAGATGTAAGACTAAAAATAAAGGGTTACTCATACAAAACATAGCTTTGGGTATGTTTTTGAGTAACATGAGTTATAATTTCCATTTTGTGTAATACTGAATATTTTTGTATATATTTTAAGATGTTTATTTTCTTTTTTCCATCTTTAATCTCCAGATGTAGCAGCTCCGTTTGCCTTTCCCGTGGACCTCCAAGCTTATCCCACGTACTGCACAGTGGTGGCTTATGTCACGGACCTCAGCACCATACGCCAAAGGCTGGTCAACCGCTTCTACAGGTAAAACTCCACTGCATTTGAATTTTAAGTTACACAAAATGTACACTTACAAGCTTGAAGTCATGTTATAATTAGTGCTGTCATGCGATTAAAAAAAATTGAGAGATTAATTAATTATGATCTGTAATTAATTAATCTAATTAATCTCTTTTTCATCTCACCTAAAAATTGTTGAGAAAAGCTTCAACTTGAGGTATTTTCATTTAAATTCATTATTACATTATTGTGGCAGATCAAAAGACTGATATAGAACAAAAAAAAGTGACTTTATAAAGTCATTTATTGTTTAACAAATCTCTCCAAATTGTCTGTTGAGCCCAAGTCTCCATGAATAAGAAACTGTTTGCTGTAAAGTAGCAAAGACGAGGAAATCTGAACATAATAACTTTTGTCGACTTAAAGACAATAAAAAGTCCAGTCTTTCCTTAACCATATTAAAAATATTATTGACAGAGAAATGCTTTATATATGAGATCACTGGTTTTAGTCCTTGTTTTAGTCCTGGTTTAGACCTGCTTTAGTCCTACTTTAGTCCTAGTTTAGTCCTGGAATGGGTTAGTCTTGGTTTTAGTCCTGGTGTAGATCTGGTTTAGACCTGGTTTTAGTTCTAGTTTTAGTTCTGGTTTAGTCCTGGTTTAGTCCTGGTTTAGACCTGGTTTTAGTCCTGGTTTAGTCCTGGTTTAGTCCTGGACTGGGTTAGTCCCGGTTTTAGTCTTGGTGTTAGTTCTGGTTTAGAGGCGCACAGAAGGAAGCGCGGTTTACGCAGCGTACGCGAGAAAACGTAAGCGCCACACGGGAGCACGTCGGTGTCCGCGCAGTAACTACGGAAAGAAACGTGGTCCGCGCATTCTCAGGTTAATGACGATGATGAAGGTGTATGTTTGTGTTTGTGTGTGTTTGTGTTTGTGTGTGTTTGTGTGCGTGTCCCCTCATGTGGCAGGTCACTATAGGACAGTAGTGCAGACATCATGAGTCTATGCAGGTTGTTTTCACCAGTGACATTTAAGTTGTAGGCGATTTTATATTTGTTATTTTCTTTTATATTTCACGTCGGGAGAATAATTTCCAAGACACGAATGTGTTTTTACCTGTGCACTGCTGCCTCTGTTCTACTGGCTGTTCGACCTCGTCCATTGTGCGACTGACGCCGTAAACGTTAACATGACGTTTACATCGCTCTTACTGCGCGCGTTCTGTGTGGGTTTCCGGCAATGAGTGGAATTACCGAAATAAAAAAAATATATAAATGTGTTTTTTTGTGTGTGTGTTGTTGTCCCAACAACACATAAAAACAGATTTTATAATAAAGCAACTCGCATACAGAAACAGTAAAGTTATAGATTAAAAATGAGATTAACGCGATTAAAAAACATAACGCGCTAAATATGACTGTAATTAATTAATCGCAATTAACGCGATAATGTGACACCCCTAGTTATAATGTTGTTACCTCCTCAACAACAGACCTGGAGTTGTGTTTTGTTTCATTCATACATGTTTGAGTAACTCTTTATTATAAGTCTGTCTATATCTCCAAAGCTCCAAATGCTCTGTTCCACCTTGAGATGTCAAGAAGCGGTAGTTTTCAAGTGAACAGCTCGTTTTACCTTTAGTTCACTAGAGATTGGCATTTCCAGGTCTGAAATCAACCCATGAGAGAAGAACTCAGTCTAGATATACAGGGTTTGTGTGTTGAACATGTGTGAATGAAAAAAAACACAACTCTAGGTCTGTTTGGATGATGTAATCGTTTCTTTCAGGCGGCTGTCTTCTCTGATGTGGGAGGTGCGTTACATTGAACACAACGCACAAACCTTCAATGAACCGGGGGCTTTTATAGTGACCACTGCCAAGTTTGTCTCCGACCTCATGCTTCAGTTTATCAAGTAAGTCAAAGAAACAGAAAAAATAACATTAAACACTCGTATTTGTCCTATATTCATTAAGGATAGTTCCAGTCCTTATATTTACACAAACGGCTGAATGCAGTGCACCTTTAACCTTCAATATAATGTTCATATACGTACAAACATTTCAGACTTGGCTATAGGAGTGTTTTTTTCTGATTTCTGCATTTCTTTCTTCTTTCAGAGACCAAAGTTTGACAGACCTCATGCCTCTTTACAAAACTATGAAGAAGGCGACTTTCTCTGACTCTGAAGATTCTGTACGTTCATCTCTGCATTTTTAAAACACTGTTACCAGATCATTTTTTACACAAAATCGTTGCATTTATTTATCTTTTTTCTTTTTAGGATGATGAGGAGGAAGATGAAGACACTAATACACCTGGAACATCCACAAGAAACCAGGTGAGTGTTTGTCCACTGATCCGAAGGTTTGTGGTTCCAATCCCGCTCTCAGCATACACACCATGGGTCAAGCAGTCAAATCCACTGACCCACAGGTTGGCGGTGCAATTCCAGCCCCCACAGCTGTCATTGTGTCCTCGGGCAAGTGGTTCCTAGATGTTTTGATTGCCTTGAAGGTGGAAGCGATATATAAACTAGGGATGGGCATGATTAATCGATTAATAGATAATTGATCATTAAGAATTTCATCGATTACGTTAATTTTAATCGACAAACCGAATGTAGGTTGCTGTGCGTAGCGTGACCAAACAGGGTCTGTACATGTGTCTCTCTGCACTCAGAAGGAGCGAGCAAACACAAACATTCGGTCAGTCTGCAGCGTACCGAAGCACAAATGTGTATTTAACGATGATTTGTACAAGAAATTCTACGCTTTCCGTTGCGTTCGGGACAAGTGGGAGTCCATGTGCACAGTGTATAAAGCAGGAACATATGTTTCGGTGTCCAGTGGGAAAAAGCTTTGCCAGGTGAGAGTCGCGCAATGTCGATGACGAGTCCCCACCTTCCACCCCCTGTACGGTGTCCTGGTTTTGACAAACGCAAATATGGTCACACTAACCTGTATTCCACTGAGTCATGTCTTTTAATCCAACAGAAATTGAACCACATCAGCGACACAAGAGCTGTAGTTTTATCTTCGCCGAGTTTATGCAAATTAGCGATGCGGTTTTAAGTTTCGTTTCTGTGAGAGTTGCACAAAACTGCATTAAACACATTATAATGTCAAACGGCTGATGTGACTCTAGAGTCATTATGGTTTATATGTCGTAAAGTTGAATTTATTTATGCAGATTAGTAGTGCAGATAGTAATAATAATGATGATCATTTTAATATAAAAACGTTAATGATTAATCGATAATCGACCGTTAATTCTTCCGACGACGATCGATTAAGAAAATTTCATCGAATGCCCATCCCTAATATAAACATGTGACCATTTACCATGTAATGTGTTAGAAAGGCATTCAGTATGTACAGTGTAGGATTACAGTTGAAGTAGTCAAAGCAGCAGTGGTAGTTGTAATAACAGTAGAACTAAGGGCTGCACCATGTGGGAAAGCAATTAGCAATTTGATTTGTGATTTCAAATCGTAGGAGTTCACGTAAGTTTTACGTACATTTAAAATTTGGAGAAGAATTGTCAGAAAAAAAAGAAATTTGACAAACTAATCCAAGAATCAGTAGCAGCTGTAGTAGTAGTAGTAGGAGTAGAAGTAGGAGTAAGAGTAGTAGGAGGAGAAGGAGGAGGAATAGAAGTAACAGCAGTAGGAGGAGTTGTAGTAGTAGAAGTAACAGCAGTAGGAGGAGTTTAGTAGTAGTAGAAGTAACAGCAGTAGGAGGAGGAATTGTAGTAGTAGTAGTAGTAGAAGTAACAGCAGCAGTAGGAGGAGGAGTTGTAATAGTAGTTGTAGTATTTGTAGCAACTGTAGTAGTAGCAGTATTTGTAGTAGTTGCAGCTACAGCAGTAGTAGTGGCAGTAGCAGCAGTAGTAGTACCAGGTTTGCTAGACTTTTACTCTGAGCAGTAGTAGTAGTAGCAGAAGTAGTAGTAGTAGTAGTAGTACCAGGGTTGCTAGACTTTTACTCCGAGCAGTAGTAGTAGTAGTAGTAGTAGTAGTAGTAGTAGTAGTAGTAGTAGTAGTAGTAGTAGTAGTAGTAGTAGTAGTAGTAGTAGTACCAGGGTTGCTCGACTTTTACTCTGAGCAGTAGTAGTAGTAGCAGCAGTAGTAATAGTAGTAGTAGTAGTAGCAGTATTATCATGTGTTTTTGTATATGTCTCAGGGTCGCCGGGCAACACAAAGGCAGCTTCGAAACAGGAACTCGTCGTATGACCCTCACTCATGGAAGAGCCGCTGTAAAGAGCTGCTGGACCTGATCTTCCAGTGTGAAGACTCGGAGCCCTTCAGAGAACCAGTGGACCTGCAGGAGTACCCGGTAACACTGCAAAACTCACACATTCTATACTATTCTATACATCTAATTTAAAGGTGCACTGTGTAACCTTTCTGGTGAAGGGTCTGTCAGATGCTTTTCTCCATGGAGATGTTATTGCTTTGTCTGGAATGTATTACAGTGTGACATTAAACCTTTCTATCTTCATGGAGACCAAACCAGACCAAGTTACAGGTCAGATCTGTGGAGATGTGACTCCACTCACGGTCAGAATGCTGCTATTTCTGGGTATTTTTTTATTACATGTAATAGAATAAATCGGGTTCCCATGGTTCTGGAATAGTCATGGAAATTGAAACTGTAATTTTCTAGGCATGGAAAAGTTATGGATTTTTGTAAATTCAATGGAAGTTTTAGAAAAGTCATGAAATTTTAGTATTACTTTCATGCAACTCCAGTGTTCTGTTAAATTCTCATGAGTCTATTCTGATTATTTCTGAACGTCTGCACCTTTTGTTTAAAAGAGACGAGAATAAATGCACTGATAGGATTTTGAATGTTCAAAAACTATAATGAGTGAGTGAAAGAGTTCACATTTCATATGTAGCCCTAAAAGTCTGATGAATTATACACATGTAGGTGCTGTAAAGTCATGGAAAATTCAATTTAGGTCATGAAAAAGTCATGGAAAAGTTTAGAAATTTTGTCAGTGAAAAAGAGTGGGAACCCTGAACTGTAAGGAAGAACTGTTTAATGTCACACTGTGGAACATTCCAGGCAGAGCAATGCCGTATCCATAGAAACGAGCAGGTGACGGACCCCCAACAAATACGTTACATAGTGCACCCTTTAATACGTTTCGGGGGATTTTGCATTTTAAAAACAATAAAAGGTAACATGAGGATCTAAATATGTTACGTGTTTGCAGTTAATAAACTCCTTAAAAGTAAAATACTGCCTCTTTTAAAGCTGCTTTTTCCAGTATTATTGAAATATGTAACTTACACTACAAACTATACAGAAAATATTACAGTTGTTTATGTATAATATTCGTCTTATCAATTAATAGAAATGCTAGAGGTTGAGGAGGCTGATGGTTTTACTGCTGCGAGGTAAATGATAAACGGTTGAGAGGCAAAGATATTGAGCTGTGATTGGCTGATTACTACAGACGGATGACACTGAAAGTAAATACACAGTCTTCAAATAAAGGCTCTGTTTGATTATTTGGATAGTATATTGGAAGATCAAATGTGTAGTCTTCCAGGTTTTATGCTTCAGCTTGATTGCATAGAGGATTTGTTTGGTTTTTTTAGGATTATCTGGAAATCGTAGACTCACCCATGGACTTTGGCACAGTCCTGAAAACACTGACGGAGGGGAAATACCAGTCTCCCATTGAACTGTGCAAAGACGTACGACAGATCTTCAGCAACTCCAAAGCCTACACTCCCAGCAAAAAGTCCAGGGTAAGTCAACGACAACCACACATTTCAAATAACGCTTTTATTCTTTTTTTAAAGGTGCTGTACTTGATTTTTAAAACACGAAAAACAGAACTAGTTCATTTTAAGTGGTTTGTCAGAGTCCAAACTTACTCTTCATTTCCAAATTATTCACTGCTATGAGTTTATATGAATTCTTGACAACTTTTAAAGACCAAGTTTTGTCGTCATGGTTATACTAGAACAACTAGCATTACTTCCTAGTTTTTTATTTTACTTAAATGGCCCAGATTATACTGTTTTCTGATCTATGTTCTAATGTTGTTTCCTCATCACAAACAAACCTAGAGTTGTGTTTTGTTTCATTCACACAAACACACACACAAACCATGCAAATTTAGTTCTTAGTTCTAGTTAAAGTTCTTCTCAAACTGAAAATACTCTGTTCCACCTTGTGATGTCATGTGGTAATACAGGAAGTATTTGACTGTGTTTTTAAACTGCACACACCTTCACTAGAATCATCTGGATGACTTCAGCCCTGGAATTGTTCTCTACTGAACTAAATACAGTGTTGTGGAGTAACAGATTACATGTACCGGAGTTACATAATCAGAGTACAAATGTAACTGTATTCAGTTACAGTTACTGTTTCAGTGAGTGGTAATTGGATTACAGTTACTTTGTTAAAATAAGTGGATTACACGGTGGTATTTTCCTGTTTTTACATTTTATTCTTTATCCCCCCCCCTTTTTTTCCCCCCGTAATTCCACTCATTGCCGGACACTAAACCAGGTCTAAACCCGGACTAAAACCAGGTCTAAACCAGGTCTAAACCAGGACTTAAACCAGGTCTAAACCAGGTCTAAACCAGGACTTAAACCAGGTCTAAACCCAGGTCTAAACTAGGGCTAAACTAGGACTAAAACCAGGACTAAAACCAGGACTAAAACCAGGACTAAAAACCAGGTCTAAACCCTAAACCAGGTCTAAAACCAGGTCTAAAACCAGGTCTAAACCAGGACTAAACCCAGGACTAAACCCAGGACTAAACCAGGTCTAAAACCAGGTCTAAAACCAGGACTAAAACCAGGACTAAACCCAGGACTAAACCCAGGACTAAATCAGGTCTAAACCAGGACTAAAACCAGGACTAAAACCAGGTCTAAAACCAGGTCTAAACCAGGAATAAATCAGGTCTAAACTAGGTCTAAACTCAGGTCTAAACCAGGACTAAAACGAGGTCTAAACCAGGTCTAAACCAGGTCTAAAACCAGGTCTAAAACCAGGTCTAAAACAGGATTCAACAGGACTAAATGCTGCGTGGACGTGTCTCCTCTTCTTCTATCAATAATATTTTTAATTTGGTTCAGTAAAGTCTGGGCTTTTTATTTTCTTTTATCAGACAAAACATTTTATGTGAAGATTTCCTCAGCTTTGCTTCTCTACAACAAATCAAGTAATCCAAAGTATTCAGATTACGTTACACCCCTTAAGTAATTTAATGGATTATGTTACAAACTACATTTTGGGGTATGTAATCTGTAATCTGTAGGGGAATACATTTTAAAAGTCACCTTCCCAACACTGACTAAAGATAGAAGGAACTGTTAACAAACACTTTGACATCACAAGGTGGAACAGAGCATTTTGAGCTTTGGAAATGTAGACAGACTAATAATAAAGAGTTACTCAAACATGTGGGAATAAAACAAAACACAACTCCCAGGTCTGTTTTTGAGGACAACAACATTTTAACATGACTTAAAAACTAGAGTAAATTTTGCCTAATCTAGAAATAAATTACAGGAATAAAACTGGTACAGCCCTTTTAATGTTTTATTCACTGTGTTCCCATATTATTTGGTTATTGCTTTTTGTCAGTTTTAATATCAGTTCTATAAAGCATCTTTGATTGTTCTGAAAAGCGCTATATAAATAAAAAGTATTATTTTGTTATAATATTGTATTGTTGTTGTGTTTGCAGATCTACAGCATGAGTTTGAGACTGTCTGCTCTGTTCGAGGAGCACATCAGTCCCATCCTGGCAGATTATAAAGCCATCCACGGTCTGACGGACAGGTTAACGAGACAAGGCTCAGACCGCCAAACCAGACTCAACTCGGACCGCCAAACTCGCCACGCCATGAAGAGGAGGAGGAGGAGGAGCGACTCTGCCAGCTCCACGGCCTCCAGGTAAACTGCACTTTTGATTTTTGATTTTTTTTATTAAGGACAATAGAATAAAACAACAACAACAATATAACATAGATTAGAACATAGCGTAATATTGGCCCTTTAACAGTTAATTGTAAAGTTGATCCTACGTTTCTAATCGTGTCAGTGGGTGAAAGTTGAGCATCTTCAAAATTTGATGAGTGTTAAATCTAAAACTTATTAAAACTGTATGGTAATGGTGTTATGACTCAGCTAGTTGGGGTCAGGGAAGTAACAAAAAACCAAGATGGATAAAATGGAATAAACTAAATAATGTTTAACAGGGATGTAAAAGGTAAAATAACAAAACAGACTAAAACATATACAGAAAATAACCTAAACTAAGAAACGAAACAACGGAATTAACATACACAAGTTTTGTTATTGTGCCACAAAATGGGTCATGCAGGCTTACACAAACACACAAAACAAGTGCCCCAAAGTAAAACCACATAAACCCACAAACAGAATTGAGTGACCTAATTTAAAAAGCACAAAACAGAACTAAACTACAGAACTCAACACATACAAACTCAAAATAGCAGACTGGCCACGAAGACCAGCAGCCCCAAACCGGTGCTGGTGATCTCCTTAAATAGGAGGAGGAGGCTGCAGGTGAGGCAGGATTGGCCAGGTGAAGATGTGCTCCACCAATCACAGAGCAGGGCTCCCACAGCAGGATTCAGGACAGACAGCAAACTCATTTAAAGCACACAGAACAAATTACAACTGAAGGCATATTCACGTATTTTAAAGGTGCGTTGTGTAACTTTACTGTTGGAGGGTTTATCAAATGCTTTTCTCCATGGAGATGTTTTTACTTTGTCTGGAATGTTTCACAGTATGGCATTAACAGGGCAGCCGCGGGGTCTTAAAAGTCTTAAAAAGGTCTTAAATTTCACGTTCCAAAATTAAGGCCTTAAAAAGTCTTAAATTATGTTTTCCAAGTCTTATTTTTTCACAAAGGTCTTAAATTTCATTAACCTATTTTTTTGTTTACTCATCCGGGCTGCAGTGCAAATGTTAAATGGAGGGAGGAAAGAAAACAACAACGTGAAGCTGAAGTTGTGTAATAAAAGTACAAAAATGCATCTGTATTTGTCACAATGTGCGATTGGTAAATGTGCAGAGGCTAAATCCCACTGCAAAACCAGCAAGAACATGTAACTCCAGTTTGGAATTTGAAAAAAAAAAAAAAAAAAAAAACAGGTTTAAAAATCCTACCCACTGTCTTCACTTTTTTCACAGTTTTGTGCAAAGTGCCAGGGGAAATTCTCTTAAAGAAGAGCTTCTCAAACTGTGGGTGAGGGTCCAAAACAGAGGTTCAGTGTGTTTCAGTGCAGCACAGTTTACTTGGCTTTGCAGTCAATAGATTATTTTGACTTTTATTTTATATATTTCATTTTATAAGTAGCTCACATGCTGAAAAAGTGTGGGCAAACCTGTTCTAGATACAGTAGTTTGTTGGTCTTTATTATTCAAATTGGATCAGGTGTTTTTCGCCCACATAATGGGTGCGATGTTGGTCTTAATTTTCATTTAAATGGTCTTAAAAAGGTCTTTAAAACGTCTTACATTTAGGGCAGTCAAACCTGGGGATACCCTGATTAAACCTTTCTATTATCATGGAGACCAAATCAGGCCACGTTACAGGTCAGATCTGTGGAGAGGCGACCCTGCTCACGGTTAGAATGTCTGTTTTTCTTTGTATTTTTGAGTTATAAAACCACATGTAATGGAACAGTTGTAAAGTAGAGCAGTTTAATGTCACACTGTGGAACATTCAAAGCAGAGCAATGACGTATATCCATAGAAACCCCCAACCGAAAAATCACAACAACTTTTAATACACCTTATACTTTTAACATCAGCATTTTTATTACATTTCAACTCTTATTTCTGTCTTTAGTCCGGAGAGGAAGAGACGTGTTTCCACCCGGGTTGTTGCCAAACGAGAGCCATCGCCGCCGCACACCAGACCTCCCTTTTTGAGACAGAACATCCCTCCCAAACAGCCCCCCACGGTGGTGAAACAGCCCCCCCCTCTGGTCAACGGGAAAACAGAGGCAGTGACTCCAGGCCGGACTCGCAGCTCTGCACGGCACCCAGCCCACTCCCCTCCTCCCTCCACGAACGTCACCAACAACTCACAAAGCACTCCAGGTGAGAAGAATACACACTGTCACTACGAGAAAAAGTCAAAAATATAAACTGCAACAATGCACTTTTTAAACAAGTCTAGATATTTGAGGAAGACTGAAATTAGAACTAGTACAACAGCAGGTTATTTTCAGGCGACAGGTTGTTTTGTTGCAGTTAGCAGTTGTAGAGTTTTTTTAATACTGTACTTTTTTTTTTTTTTTTTTTTTTGGATCATGGTCACATTTTTATACAGCGCTTTTCCACTTTCAAGGCAACAAGGAACCACTCACCCACTCACACACGCACATTCATACACTAGTGCACACAGACACTGGGGATGAGGTGGGTTCAGTGTCTTGCCCAAGGACACAACGCTCTACCAAATGAGCTACTGCCGCCCCACTCTATGGACATGGAATTTACTGTAAAATGCAAAGATCTAGACAAGTTTGGGATCAGATACTTGCACTCAGACCAATGGCACGTGCTGGTTCTGTGAATTTGTTTGACCAACATGCCGGACATCTGTACAATACTCTATCTCTCTCTTTATCTTTCTATCTCTCTATCTCTCTCTCTCTATTTATCTATTTATCTATCTCTCTATCTATCGATCTTCTAAATAAATACAAGACTCCAGCGCATCTGAGAACATGTTTGCAAAGGTCTAAACTAGGGATGGGCATTTGATGAAATTTTATTAATCGATCATTGGGAGAATTAATGATGGATTTCCGGTTAATCATCATTGTTTTTCTATAATAAGTATCATCATTATTATTACTTTTATTAATCTGCATAAACTCAAGTTTACAACATATAAACCATCACCACTCTAGAGCCACATCAGCCTCTTTGACATTAGAGTGTGTTTAATGCAGCTTTGCACAAGTCTCACAGAAATGAAACTTAAAACCGCATGGCTCATTTGCATAAACTAAACGAAGGGGGGGAAAAACACAGCTCTTGTGCGCTGATGCGGTTCAACTTCTGTCAGACTAAAGGACACGAGTCAGTGGAATATGAGTGTTTTTCTGTGACAGAGGATGTTGATGCTGAAAGTGAGTCAGTTCTGTGTGTGTGTCGTGATGTTTTCAAAGATCGTACGTGTGCAGGTTTAGTGCAGCTCTTTATGTTGCAGTAACCGGGATACTGCGTTTACATGCACCATGATGAAACCGAGACACTGATGTGCATGTAAACACACTCACTGTGTGGTACAGTGATCTCCAAGGAGGTGCCAGAGCCCAAACGTGGGACTGTGATGCCGCAACTCCAGTGTTTGCGCTGTCAGACGCAGCTTCGTATCTACGCACAGAAACCTACATTCAGTTTGTCGATTAGAAATGAACATAACTGACGAAAGTCTTAATGATCAATTATCGATTAGTTGACTGATCATGCCCATCCTTAGTCTAAACTACAGTGTCTTGACATAATTAGACCAGATATTATGTTGAGGACATTTTATTCATGTGTGTCACTTTTCTGATATGTTAATAATGAACATAACATTTGTAATTTCAACTCAATTTGTTTTAGTTATGACACTGGTACAAACAAGGACACTTTTTTCTTACAGAATAAGAAAAAGTTATTAAAATCATAATCAAAAACTAAATTACCATTTACAAATTGATTTTAAAATAGCAGATAGAAGATACAATCACAACTGAACAGAAATGAGGACATAGTTTTCTCATTAAATATGTGTGTTTTCAGAGTCCACCAGATCCACTCGCGCTCACACCGCCTCATCCTCATCCACTCCAGCCGTGAACGACAGAGTCACACCTTCACCTGCCGCCGAGAACAGCGGAGGAAGCACCCGGCGCAAACTCAGGACCCCCGTGAAACACAATCCAGGTAAAATCATAAAACTTAAATAATTCCTTAATAATAAATAGCCTAACTTTGCAACACTCACAAACTGTATCTCAGATGTGCCTGTCCTTCTTGGGACTCATCTAGAACTTGGAGTAGACTTTGGCAGCAGCTTGACTTGTTACACTAAAGTCCTCTCCCAACCTGTACTCTATATTCTTTGTTTGTTTAAGTCCAGTGATGAGACGAATACTTGAAAATGTATTTAGTTATAAAATACTGAATATATTTTATAACATATTCTGATCCCTGGTCCAATCAGAGTTCTGTGTTCTGAATACTTTTACACTGAGTTGCATTTAAATTATTGTGTGATAAACATGATAAATAATTATAAATGTAGTTACAGCTTTTTTTTTGTTGTTTTGCATTAACTTATGTCTAATTAGAGAAGGAAAAAGTCACACGTACACATCACAAAAGCTATGTTTTCGTTTTTTTCTCACCTATACCATGCAAGTCTAAAGCCAAAATTGCATGATCAATTATAGGGGTGTGCAAAAATATCAAAATACAGTATCAATATCGTGGGCTGCTGTATCGATATATCACCAGGAGTTGTTTTTTTTTATATTTTACTAAATTATTTTGTTACAGTGCTACAGTTTTATTGTTTGTTGTGAACTTTGCACAAGAAGTGGTTTAACAAGACTTTTAGTATCGACATGATTTAGCCTTTATTTTTATTGAACCGTATCGAATCGAAAGTGCACTGTATCGAGGTCTGTATCGTATCGACAAATTCTTAATGATACCCAGCCGTAATTAATTATGTATTCCTTGTATGCATGTATTCCTTTTTATTTATAAGACCACCAAATAAAAAAGTAACTGTACCGAAATACAGTTTTCAGAACATGTATTCTCATTATATTAGTATGTATCAAATTACTCCCAACACAGTTTGAGTCAAGTTTTAACAACAACACTACTTTATTTTCATGACTTGAACTTGTTCATCAAGGATTTGACTCGGACAGAGAAGGAGAGGGGGAAAAACACTTTTAAAAGCTTCCATACTTAAAAATGGCTAACCCTATTGTAATGCATTTCTCTCATAGAAACTCCTACCAATGCGTCCACTCCCAACACCGCTCACCTGAACGGCCACAACAGTCATGTGACTCTGGGCGTGGGGAGGCGGAGTCGCAGGACGGGGGCGGAGCCTCCAGTTACCCCACCAGAGGACACGCCCACCACTCCAGAGAGCCCCTCCAGAACCCGCGGAAGACCTCCTGCTTCAGCCAAGAAGAAAGGCAAAACCAAACAGGAGACGGAGGAGGAGATCAACCAATCACCCGGCGACGAGGGCGGGGCTGCCCCTGCTCTGCCCGATTCTGTTGTGTCAACACCACGGCGACGAGGAAGACCAAAAGCAACAATTAAAGATAAAGAGGACACGCCTCCTCCGAAAGACTCGCAAACAGAGCCTTTAAGAAGAAGCAGCAGACACACGGCCGAGGAGACCACGCCCCCTCCTCAAACAACATCACAGCGGACCAATCGGAAAGAGCCTCCCGTAGAGAGCCCTGACGACGGGGCGGGGTCGATGCGCACGCGTAACCAAGGGCGACGGTCAGCCTGGTACATGGAAGAGGACTCGGAGGAGGAGCAGAGACAGCTACTTTTCGAAGACTCCTCCATCACTTTTGGCACTTCGTCAAAGGGCCGAGTGAGGAAGCTGACGGAGAAGGCCAAAGCCAATCTCATAGGCTGGTAGTAGACTTTTTTTGTTTTTTTTAAATCGATGAACCGATGCATAAAATGGTTCAGAGGAGTGAAGCAAGGCAATATGCGTATATATTATTGGTCCATGTTGGATCTTCACAGAATGGAGTTAATGTCCAAACCCCATCACTTTATATGACTTTAAACATCTGAGCGAAACAGCAAGGGCGAGCATGGAGGAAGTACTGCAGAAGAACTGGTAGATAGGTCCAAGTAGTCTGATCCAGTCCCTGCAGATAGAGCTCATGTTTGGTCTTTGATGGACTACAGACCACTGGCCTGGAACCATCTTTTTTTACCCCTCTGCTTTTGTAAGATTTGTACATGTGACTGGCTCTATCACTAAAACATATATGTGTCCGTGTGCTACAAACCAAATGGCGTACCTCCTGCGGGTACTGTAGATACCAGTTCTGTTTACGATTCAAGTGAGTGGGTGAGATTTACTGCATGTTGCTGAGTAGGAAGTTATAATGTTTTAAATCCTTTTACTTTGAGTGAGCGCGAGGTGACGAATGAGTGGAAGAATATATGTTGATATGAATTCGAAAACATACACGGACACTGTAAAGGTAAACACAAAGACGCATTGATTTGCAAAGTCTTTTCTGTGTTAGACTTGGACTTAGACAAACTTTATTGATCCACAAGGGAAATTATTTGGACACAGCAGCTCACACGTCGTAATATAATATAATAACGAAGAGCAAAAATATAAATGGTGATAATAAATTCTAAATCTGTAGCAAAAATAGCAAGAGACTTGTGTTAAATAAGTCATCGCTATATACAAAAGTAATAGAAATTGTAAGATATTTACAAGGGTTAAATTATTACATTATTACAAAACTGCCAATCAAGGACTTAAATTAATTTCTTGGACTAGTAAAGTCTCTTAAAGCTCTACACTGTGGTTTTTATTCCATCACGTCACAGGTAGTGGCATAGACTGTATAGATAAATGGACCCGGTAGCCATGGCGTTCCAAACAGGAAGTGAGGATGGAGGCGCTTCCGGCTCCATCGACTCTGGCTCCAAATGACTTTAAATTGAAAAATTCTCACGTCTCTTTCTGTAATTGCTACAGTGAGCCTCGTTATTTTGGTCTTGAATCCTGGTGTTTTTATTTCACTATTTTGTCCTTGAATAAATTTCTATTCCCAATATCAAACTCTGCTCCAAATTCGTCCTTATAACTGATAGCCTCGTGAGCTTCATTTGACAGGAGCCAAACGCAATGGCTGACGTCACACTCCCTTAAATCGGGCGTACACTGTGCAATTTTTGGCACCTTTTGAAGGCCGTTTAAAAAATTTTCACTCATGCAACTGTTTTTGGGATTGGGCCAACTTTTGGCTTAATGGTGTCGTGCTTTGTGTAGTAAAGATGGGGTAACGAGAACAGATTAATGCATCATGACCAACTCCTGATCAGCAATCATCGGTCGCAAGAATATCAAACCTGTTTGAAATCCAGTCGCCTCTCGTGAGGCTTTTGCACTGTTGAAGTAGTTCCACAAACTGTGAACTTTTAAATCCAGCAATTTGGTCGTACAGTTTGAGCTGAGTGAAACGATCTAAAATATGGCACAGTGTATGTCTGGCATTAGTCCACTTGTTTATACAGTCTATGGGTGTTTGTGAGCCACTGTAGCCACAGCTGCCCTGGGGTAGACTGACAGAAGCCAGAATGCCCATTGGCCCATCATGCCACACTAGGAAAAGTGGGTCAAGTGTCTTGCCTAAGGACACAACCAAATGGAACTGGGAATCGATTCTCAGATTAACAATGGTCTAACTTAAAAAAATTAAATAAAAAACCTAAATTGCTTTTTTGTAGCATGAGAAGAGGATTAAACTTACCTATACTATATTTAATAAAGAAGTACAACAGTAGAACATAGACACAAATAAAATGAAGACATTTATGATTGAACACTCTGAGAAGAAATTAGTTTTGGGGATTTTCCAGATCAATGCTCATTTATTACACATTTACAGTGTCACAATTTTAATGAAAACAAACGTATTCTATTTCAGTGCGTCCGTCATTAGCAACACCTTGTGCCTTTTGTGTGTGCATTCTGCAAAGTACATGTGCCTGTCTGGGTGTGTGTGTTTTTATAACTGTGTATGAATGAGGTTTAAAGGTACACTGTAACTTTTCTGATGAGAGACTTGCTGCCGCTACCTGGAATGTTCCACACTATGGCATTAAAGGTCCGATATTACGCAAAATTGATTGTCTGACCAGCCAGTCCCTTCTACATTCTGTCTGAATCCAAAAGCGTCTGGAATTGAGCCATAGAACGTGAAAAACTTGAGATGATCCAACCACAGCTGCTAATGTGTCTCTCAAAGCCAGAAAACATCTCCTCTTGAAAGTTCCCATAACATTCAGAACACAAAAAAAAAAAACCTTCTTTTGTGTTTCTCAGTCCTTTATGTAGTTTTCTCATTCGTTCTTTACTTCTAAGCAGTCATGTTTGTTTGACGCAAACAGAGCATACTTCTCTCTGATTGGTTAACCCACCTGTCAATCACACCCTCTGAAATCAGGGATATGGGCCATAGCTCCAGATCCACTCGTGTTTGTAAAGTCTTGTCCAAGCGTGCAATTCTGGCTGGACAGGTGACTATACCGACCTTTGTGAGATGGATCGGTTTAATGCCATACTGTGGAACATTCTAGGCTAAGCAGTAGCACCTCCATGGAGAAATCGGAAAAGTTACGTAGCGCACCTAGAACTTTCAGCGTATCAACAGTGGCAGAGACTTGATCATTGTGAAATCTCCGGAACAAAACGATTTCAAAAGGATTTAGTTGTTGTTGATCTACCATACCATCACTTATGTCATAGCTAGAGATCGATCGATATGGGGTTATTTTTAGAGCCGATACCGATACCAACTGAATAAAATACAGTGCAACCGACGGCTGATAAGCTCTGCCGATATTTTGGACTGATTTTTGATTATTTTCTCCAAATTATGTCATTTAAATTTCAACAAACTCCTCAAAAGCCTTTACGAGAGTTATGAAACAGTTATCTCTTTGTATTAAAGTGTTAATATAAAGGTTTGTGTGGTTTTTTTAGACATCACATTGACCAAAACAAAAGATCGATCTGTGCTGGAGAATTAAAACCTATAGCTGATACGCAAAAAAGTCCAAATATCTGCACCAAATATCTCGACCAACCCATATATCGGTCAATCTCTAGTCATAACTATTGTCGATTACGCAGTTCATGTAATAATAACTTTAGGTACAGGTTTGGAGCTTTGGGTGACTAGCTTTCAAATGCACTTACCACAGACACGCTTTCAATGCAGTGAAATCTTCAAATATATACAGTTCTTCTTCTATACAGTCGTGTGTCGCATGTTAAAGCACTTTCTCAACCCGGACTTTGCATCATAATCAAATCATGTTTCTGATCGCGTGCCTTGGCTGCTCTGGCATTTTACACTGCACAAAGTCCAGAGTTTCCAGGTTAAAATAACTTTAATTAAGAAAATGTTAGTTTGATGAGAGGAGATTTCACTAGACAAGAAAAACTACTAATGGAATGACTTTTTTGTGCTTAAAATATAAAAACTCATCACTATTTTCTGATCATCTGTTCTAATGTTGTTTCCTCATCACAAACAGACCTGGAGTTGTGTTTTCTTTTATTTGTTTCACACGTTTAACACCCTGCGAGTTCTTCTCTCAAACTGAAAACACTACAGGTCATACAGGAAATGCTCCACTGTGTTTTTAAACTCTACACACCTTCACTAGAATCATTTGGATGATTTCTACTGAAGGTAAAAGGTACCTGTTCACTTGAAAACTACCACTACATGACATCACGAGGTGGATCTGAGCATTTTGAGCTTTGGAGAAGTAGACAGACTAATAATAAAGGGTTACTAAAACATATGAATGAAACAAAACACAACTCCAGGTCTGTTTGTGATGAAGTAAATACATTAAAACACGACTTAAAGCTCACAAGAGACAATTTTGCGTAACATAGAACCTTTAAAAATAAGAAAAACAACACTTAAAATAAGAAACTAAATCTTATGTTTGAATCGAGAAAGAAATAGTCCATTTGTAGATCATGTCACTTAGTCAAATCTACTCAAATCAAGTTAAATGTTCTTAATCCGAGTAATGGAAATGCACCTAGATGTGACTTTTTGCAGTGTAAGTCCTCATTTCTCCCATTTGGGGCCTTTTAAACAGAACAAACCTTTTGTCAGTTAAAAAAAAAAAGCTGGACAGTTGAAAATACAAGGCTGTGTTGAAGGTAACTGGATGACGGATACAATAAGCTCTGTGCAAAAACGCTGTTAGCATCACGATTTCTATGTTGTTTTTTTTGCTAAATTTAATACATATTTAAACATAAAGTAGTGGACAAGGAGCTGTGGGTGGATATAACTGACAACATGTTAAAAAGTACACAAATAAAATGAATACTTGAGCGGAGAATACTTCTGTGTTTAGATAGAAATGTTTATGTCTCAATGCTAACGCTAATGCTAATTTTGAGACATAAAATCAATATTAAAACAAACTGAATTAGTCTACATATACAAATAACTGGGTAGCCTTTAGTTTCTTTAATTTTATATGTATTTTTAATAGTCTTTTTAGTTTATACTTCGCAATTTTAATAAAAGCGACCGTTAGCTTCCAAACACAGTGAGCTAACTAGCATGCTTCAGTGCACAGAGCCTATTGACAAAGTTGTTTTTTACTCCACATAACTTTAAAATAACTTTAAACAATGGGAATTACGAGACTATTTCTTCACAGATGATCATGTTTAGGATATTTCTGGTTGTCAGTTGGATATAAATGTCTTTTAATTGTAACTGTCAATGCCAAAATTCTGTCCCGGGGCACTGAAGTTTGGGTTGATCGATTTTGAATGTTTTTATTTTTCATGTCCAAGTTTTTGTCTGTGAAAAATACATACACCTGTTTTTGTGAATCTGCCATAAAGGACAATATATATGTGGGGTTAGCATTTCTGTTAGTTTTTAATGTTTTTTAGTGTTTCATATAATAGTTCTCAAAGATTTTTTTCGCAAGAGCCGGAAGTGTCTCGCCGTAGGTTTGCGGAACTTTCGGTTAATGGTTTTCTTTGGCAAAATGTGTGTGTAAATGTCTCACGTATTCTCCAGCAGCTTCATAAATCTGCCCCATCACCAAATCTTCAACCAACATTCTTCCATGAACAATTTATCAACAACTATCAAGGGAAGAAAGATGAACGCTTAAAGTAGAACAAAGACAACTAGAGATGTCTCGCATTCGAATCACACAAATCTATCTATCTATCTGTGCTAATATTTGTTTGTTTATTTCGTTCATAAAGTATAAAAAGACTTTAACGGTGTCACATCATCAAGCAGACAAGAAATGAATGAAAAGGAGCAGAAAGAAAAGTACGATAATCTTCTGTTTTCTGCCCCTTTTTCCCTTTTGCAGACAAAACATCAACACTTACTTTTCCTTTGTTTCATTCATAAATAAAACAACTCAACACAAGCTCATCTTTGCATTAACTCTGTTATCCAGACCATAACCATGAGCTCCTTTAGCTCAGGATGTTCCTTATTTCAATAGATTCATGTTATTATCCAGCAGTAAGGAGCTCTGAGGTTTCCCACAATCCACTGCAGATCAAACCCAACGTTTCCAAACACTTTTGTACAAGTTACACTGCAACAGATTATTCATTAAAATCTTCTGCATAAATAGAATTTACATTACTATACTTTATAAGATATATAGCATAACGACTCAAGAGCCACATCAGCCCGTTTGAGATTATAGTGTTAATTTTTTTATTTTTATTTTTTTGCAGCTTTGCGCAGACTTGTTTATGTTTTACAGAAACGAAACTTAAAAAGCGCATGGCTAATTTGCATAAACAGCGCACTCCACGTGCCGCTCATGCGGTTCAACTTCTTTTGGACTAAAGGACACGACTCGGTGGAATATGAGGATGTGCTGCTGATAGCCTTGGCTGTAAATGGTGGAAAAGTTTCGTGGTGCTTGAAGCTTTTCACTGGCAGCAACTTTCGGCGTTCACGGCGATAGTGACGAGTGAAGGAGACACGAGCGAACAAAATCAGGGAGGCGGGGGCGCGCGGGCGGCGACAGAGAAGACAAACAAGTGAAGAGGCGAAATCAAAATTGAATATAAGCATTATATCGATATATACGATATGTCAGAATTCATATCGAGTTTTTAAAAAATCTCGATATATTAAAAATATCGAGATATCGCCCACCCCTAATCATGCTATCATTGTATTTGATTCTTTTATATCTTTGTCAAGACTATTCCATAAACTAACTCTAAATTAAATTTGTATCAACATCATTAAATCGATTTTTAATTTGAGTTGTTGAATCAGTCTGAGTGAAAAAGTTACTCATATTTTATTCATGACAGTAACATTAGTTTTGTTCAGTATTTCACTAATGCATCGTCATTGTTCGCCTTTAAGCTTTCATCTTTCTTTCTTTTCTCTCTGTGGACCTTGTTGGTTGAAGATTTGGTGATGGAGCAGATTTATGAAGCTGGTGAAGAATACGCCAGACATTTCCAGACATTTTACCACAGAAAACCATTAACCAGACTAGTAAAAGGCAGGACTTCGGGCCATTGTGAAAAAGTTCTATGGCAACAGAAGGATTGTGTACTTTATAATTGAAAACAAATGATATAACATTTTAACACTATTAGAATATAGGCAAATCTAGGCAATATCGGAGCTTCAAAGAAAATAGGAACTTATCAGCATGAGAATTATACATAATATTATTAATATATGAACCAATATAAAACTATATACACCAAAACTACCTTTGGAAAAATAGTCAACCATATACAGAGATCACATTTATTTATGATTGTCTTTTCAATATTAGTTCAATTTTAAAGGTGCACTGCGCAACTTTTCTTGTGGAAGACCTGTCACCCGCTTGTTTCCACGGAGATGTTATTGATTTGGCTAGAATGTTCCACGGTATGACTTTAAACATTACGGGTGTTTCTGTTGCTCAAAAACACAATAATTCCTTCTGTGAATAGGGGCGACTCTCCACAGATCTGACCTGTAATGTAGCGTAGTGTTGCTTATCTCTTTTGTGGCAGGTTTAATCTATACTGTGGAACATTCTAGACAAAGCAATAACATCGCCATGGAGACAAGCAGGTGGCAGTGTACCCTCCACTAGAAATATTACGCAGTGCACCTTTAAGTCAGTTCCAGCGTTTCAAAAGTCAAATGTTTTTAGTCAGACTTTTCAAACATGAGTCCATGAAGATGTCGTTTACTCAGAATCATGTATTGTGTTTTTTGTGATCTGAGATTTCTCCGAGCTGTGCCAAAGGGTGGGAGAGTTGTGCACGTGGGTCTGAGGAGTTTGGAAGATTGAAATGGGAAAACTGCACGATCTGATGAGGAGCTGTGTTTGTTCGTTTGGATACTTTTATATACTGTACAAAGGAAATAATGCAAAAAGAAGCTTCATGCTAGAATGTGTAGGGGTGTACTGCTGTCCTGTTAGTTCATACCAATATTTTAAATAAAATGTTGTGTTTTCATATTTGGGATCGTTCTGGTCTTTGGGTCAATTCTGAATAAAAGTTGTCGGAAAAGTGTGGCTGCAAATCTGAGCAACACCAAATCACTCAGACATTTGACTCAGACAGTCTGGAGCTCATTTTGAGGGTTTGTTCACTAATCTGAAAGTCTGTGGTTCAAATCCTGCAAAAACAGAACAAAGAAAACTAAAAATAAAAGTAGTATCTACACTACCAGTCAAAAGTTTTAGAACACCCTAATTTTTCCAGTTATTTTTTACAATTCAAGTCGTGCAAGTCCAATGAAGAGCTTGAAATGGTACAAAGGTAAAAACTGAACAGACAGAGGTTAAAAAAAAAAGTCCAAGCTTTGCCAAAACTAGCTCAGGAAAAAAGAACAAGATGGTAAAATGTGAAAACCTGGAGTGTCCAGCAGCAGCACAGTGTCCAGACTTAAACCTTATGGAGCTGGTTTGGGATGAACTGGACAGAAGAGTGAAGCAACCTACAAGTGCCACACATTTATGGAAACTTCTGCAACAGACTTGGGAAGAACTTTCTAAAGAATATTTGATTTGTATTGTAAAAAAGAACGAGCCACGAGTGTGTTCAACTGTTCTATCTGCCAAAGGTGAACACACACGTCAATCAGAAGTTTAGAATATGTTTTGGTCAAACAGGAAACAGAAAAAAAAATGGAAAAAGTGTGGTGTTGTTAAACATTAGACCTGTAATGTATATATATATATATATAGACATATACACACATATACATATATACATACACACACACACAAATACATACATACACATACATACACACACACACATACATACATACACACACACACAAATACATACATACACATACATACACACACACATACATACATACATACAAACATACATACACGCACACACACATACATACACATACATACATACATACATACACATACATACATACATACACACATACACACACACACACACACACACACATACATACATACATATGGGAGGACAACTAATATTATCAACAGACTGTGCATTCAAATCAAATCAAACTTTATTTCATACAAAAATGTAACACAAAGTGCTTTACAGTGATTAAAAACAAGCCCATATTTCCTTCCACCAACCCACCCATCCCCCACACCGGCCCGACCCCACACAACCAAACAACCCAGACACGCACACACATGAACACACACACTAACACGCTAAAATACATAAAACCACACATAGTAAACTGTGAGGCTGAATCCAGGCAAACCAGTTGAGAAAGCACCATCAGAGGAGCCGTCTACACCAGGAGCAGAGAGACGTCCACCACCACCACCAGGAACCACCACAGGGTCCAGGGGAGAGATGAAGCCCAAAGCACCACCACCTCCACCAGGAGCCCACGGGACAGACCCGACAGCCACAGCCGACCTCTGCTCCTGATGCAGAGGCTCCTACAGAGGAAACACTGCATATCCTAAAAATATGCCTAAAATAAATAAATATAATAAAATGTGTACAATAGAAACAAGTAAAAGTATAAGATTTCATTCAAAAGTTAAGCTAAACAGGTGAGTCATGGGGCATTATCTACCATTCTTTTTTTTTAAACTCCTTTTCTTCTTTTTCTTTCCTTTTCACTTGTACTACGGCACTTATAGTTTATAAACTATATATTGCTCTTTTTCTTTTTTCTTTTCAAATCCTGTTCTCAATATAAACATCATTGGTAGATCCACAGATTCCAGCTTCCATAGATGAGAGCTGATGTGGTGTCCTTGGGCAAGACACACACACAGGCACTGGGGATGAGGTGAGTTAAGTGTGTGTGTGTGTGCATGCGTGTGTGTGTGTGACCATTTACCATTTGACCACACATGGGCAAGGTAGGTGAAGTGTATTGCCCAAGGACACAACAACAATATGCACAGGTTGGAAATGAAACTGGACAGACTGTTTCAACTAAGATTCTTCCTTTTGGAACAAGAACATATCTGATTTGATCTAACCACCGCAATACAGGATGTTGGAACACGAGTGGTTGAAAGTGTACTACTGAAATAAAAATACAGTTACATGGGTAAAAAAGTACTCCAAACTACTTCAATTATCAAACAGATCTACTCAGTTATAGTACCACGAGTAATTAGTTATACGTTTTTCCCTTTTTCTTTTTTTTAAATCGATCACAAACGCAGAGACTTGCTTTAAATGAAAAAGGTACGAGTATATTTATTATCGTAAGTGCGTAAGGGCGCCCCCTGGTGGTGACTCGGTGTACGCTCGGCCCCAGTCCCGGATCACGCTTGTCCCTGACGTGGCGCGCCGCTAAAGGTGCGCTGCCTCCTCGTGGGGCGTCACGATTGGGCAGATTAAACAAGTTTGACGAGTTCGCTCCAAATCCATGTAAATTTAAAGCTGGTTGCGGCATGGACAAAAACAGCGCGGACACTGCTCTGTGGAAATAACACCAGATTTACTTCGCTTCACACGAGTTTGAACTAATGCTTGTGTGATAAAAGAGAAGATCTGAACACGGTGAGTTTCACGCAACAGATTTCACTTTGAGCAAACGAATGACGCAATGCAACTAAACATTATAACATAATATTTATGTGTTTTGTGCCTGTGCGTTTCTGTGCGTCTCAAACTTTTTCCTGTGTCCTCATGGGTAGTCGTGGGTGCACCTGACGCACGTCTACAGGTGCGAGCGCGCGCGGACATGCCTCGGGTGTCGGCCACGGCGCTGCTGCAGCTCGCGCTCATCCTGTCCGCCGTGCCCGCGCAGTACGTCATCTCCCGCTGGTACGGCTCCACGGCCGCGCAGCGCTTCCACGCGACCACCAGGTACCGGACATGCAACCATACAGACACTTGACTGACAGGTGCACTTTGGCATAAGATATATACATGTTTGCAGTTTGGCAAGTTCTAAACGATTATAATAGGCCTATAGACAAATAAAGGATTGTCTGTTTACATTTATTGAATTACTAAATTAATAATAACATATAATAACAAAGAACAAAAATATAAATGGAATAATAAGTCCAAAATAAGTAACAAAAAAGAGCAAAAAGAGCAAGAGACGTGTGTGAAATAAGACATAATTATAAGGAAAACGGAAAAAGGAAAGCAGTACAAAAATTATGATTGACAGGACACACGGTTATCTTACATAAGGGTGAGTTGTTGTACAGTTGTAGGGAGTATTATCTGTTACATTAAACTGAGTTATTGTGCAGTTGTAGGGAGTATTATCTGTTCCATAAAGGTGAGTTATACAGTTGTAGGGAGTATTATCTGTTCCATAAAGGTGAGTTATACAGTTGTAGGGAGTATTATCTGTTCCATAAGGGTGAGTTGTTGTACAGTTGTAGGGAGTATTATCTGTTACATTAAAGTGAGTTGTTGTACAGTTGTAGGGAGTATTATCTGTTACAGTAAAGTGAGTTGTTGTACTGTTGTAGGGAGTATTATCTGTTACAGTAAAGTGAGTTGTTGTACTGTTGTAGGGAGTATTATCTGTTACATTAAAGTGAGTTGTTGTACAGTTGTAGGGAGTATTATCTGTTACAGTAAAGTGAGTTGTTGTACAGTTGTAGGGAGTATTATCTGTTACATTAAAGTGAGTTGTTGTACAGTTGTAGGGAGTATTATCTTATAAACCTTTAAAATATTGTGATTGTAGGATGAGGCTGAATGAGACAGATACTAACGTCACTGTCACAGAGGATGATTCCAAACGCTCTTTTTTAGTTTATTTTATAATGATCAGCACAGCGCAGTAGGTGTTTCAAAGAAAACCATTTGTCTCAGGTTTTGATACAGATCAGAGAGTCAGACCATAACAAAATCAGGAAATGTAAAAGTTCTCTATTCAAATGAGGATCTAGTTTCAGTAGCAGTTTTTTTCTGTAGCGTACTAGTATTGACAAAAGCAAAAGTATTAAAGTACCTGTTTGCAAATGTATGTAAGGAGTAAAAAGTCAAAGTATTTCACACTAATTTTGAGATCTAATAAAGCTTCAAATCTAGTCATTTTGAGACAGATTTGTGCTGATTTTTATTTTTTTGTAGCTGCTTTTATTTGTATATTTGCGGTTGGTAAAACTCTGATCCTGACAAAAACATATAAACCCTCAGATTTTTCAGCAGGTCTCAAACTATCATAAAAAGCACTTTTATTTTCAGAGCAATTCAAACATGTAGTGAAGTAAAAGTAATGTACAGACACCTTTTTTTTTTAAGTACAGTACTTTATTACTCTCACTTCGTTACGTTCCACTGCTGGCTAGTATCAGAGTATCAGTACTACTGGAAGCTCTGCAGTACAATACAGAAGAGGCTGATGTTGCTGTTTGGAGACAGGTTGCTCCGGATCTGGAGAGACTGGAGGTCCTCGTACCTGAACAGCACGGCGTGGATGGAGTGGAGCAGTGAGCAGGTCTCCAAAGTGATGTGAGAACAAGTTCAGAAGAGAAATGAAATTAGCTTCAGCTTTAAGACTTTTCTACAGCTCAACAGTTTTGATTTTCTTCAGGTCTTATTTGGGTTCTGAAACAGCGACAGAAGAAACTCCAAAGGAAATGCCAATGGAACAAATGCTGTTCGACAATGACCAAGGATATTTTGGAGGTATGTTTGTGTGCTCATTTTATAAAAACATTATAGATGTTTATAGGTACACGGTGCTACTTTTCTGATGGAGGGTCCATCACCTGCTTGTCTCCATGGAGATGATATTGCTTTGCCTGGAATGTTCCATGGTATGACTTTAAACACATCCATGTAGCATTTATTTATTTATTCAGGTGTTTCTGTTGCTCAAAAATACAATAATTCTGTGAATAGGAGCGCCTCTCCACAGATCTGAACTGTAATGTATTGTAGTGCTGTTACCTGCTCGTCTCACTTGTGATAGACGGGTTTAATTTATACTGTGGAACATTCTAGACAAAGCAGTAACATTACTAGATGAAAGAAGAGATCTGGGTCACTCCGATATGCTCAGCTATAATTTAATTTCATGTCAAACACCAACACGTTTTGACATGTGTCTTGCTCAGGGCACATGAACTCCACAGGTGCATACATGACGACACTGTCATGTGACAAAGCTCCCACACAATAATATATACATATTTTATAAAGAAAAAGTGATGCATCACATCAGAGCATGTACCAGTCTGGACACAGATCACTGTGGGCATGGCCTGTGCTGCATGTTCATTTACAGAAAATCTGTCAGGACACATCTGCACATGAACAGCTCTACACAAGTGAATATGAAATAAACAAAGGCAGAGACACAAATATGAAAACAAGCAACCCAGATGTTACAGATAATAGAAGAGATCCATTTCCTCCTGGATAAGTTGTGGCTCTTAGTTCATGGATCCAGTGAGACTCATGTTGTAAAAGGTGCTTAAGTTGATCTCCTCTAAGCTTGTGTGGTACATACTCAGTCACCATTAATCACCATTGTCTTTCATCATAATGTCTGTATGTTTTTGTGTGGGTGCTTTGTCACATGACAGTGTTGTCATGTGACTTGTACATTTAAATACAATCTGTATAAACCTGTGAATTTTACATGCCCTGATGAAGACACAAGTCAAAATGTGTTGGCGTTTAACATGAAATAAGTAAATAAATCATGTGATTGTTACTTGACTTAGCGGTGATTCAGCGAGCGCTCCAACCACAGATTCATTGCAAAGCAATAAGATTTCTGGAAAAGCACTACATGAGACTAATGTATTATTTTTACAATTATTGAATGTCCTGTTGCTCATAACCACAGCCTCAAAGACAGTCCGTAAACCACGGCCTCCGTATGTGTTCCTGCGCGTGGGAGAGGTCGTCATAGAGACCAGGGGTCACATGGTCGGGGTGGTGGTCAGCTGGGACCCTGAGCTCCGAGCCCCTGCAGAATGGGTGGACCGCATGTACTCTGACTTTGAGGTAAAGACTCATAACTTTTTACAACAGATGCAGTTTATATACGGCATGTTAAATAATATTCAAATCTCAAAGTAGCATATTTTAATGGGATAAAATAAAGTTTGAATTTTGTAACTTTTCTGGTGGAGGGTCTGTCAAACACTTTTCTCTGTGATGTTACCACTTTGTCTAGAATGTTCCGCAGTATGGTATTAGACATTTCTATTTTCATGGAGACCAAACCAGACCAAGTTACAGGTCAGATCTGTGGAAAGACGACTCCGCTCACAGTCAGAATGTCTGTTTTTCTAGGTATTTTTGAGCAATAAAACTACCTACAATTGATTAAATGTAAATTAGAGCAGTTTAATGTCACGCTGTGGAACATTGCAGGCAGAGCAGTGACATCTCCGTAGAAACAAGGAGATGACAGACCCCCAACTAAAAAGTTACACAGTGCACCTTTAGAATAGACTGAAACAGAACCAGTTTGAGATTGGTTCTGATGTAGATTTGGTTTGGTCCTGGTCTGATCCAGGTTTAATATCAGCTTTAATATCAGGTGTAATATCAGGTTTAATATCAGGTTTAATATCAGGTTTAGTCCCAGTTTAGATGTGGTGCCTGTGAATGTTCCTGAAAATTCACTGTCAACTGTGACTGTTGAGAAATCTAAATATCTAACCTCACTGATTGTTTTGACTCTTGTCCAGGGCATTAAAGCAGAGAAGACTCCTCATTACAAAGTGTTATTTAACGGCCCTGCAGGCTCGTCTCTGCTGGTGGCCTACCTCCCCCAGACTCAACTGGAGAGAATCACAGGCCTGAGGGTGAGTCTCTGTGTTTTTATCACATTTTCATCACGTGTAATTAACCTGCTTCCACATTCTCATCATTTTTGCTTCTAACTAATGGTTGGTGTTTCTATTTCAATATTTCCATGGGGGCACTGCTTCCTGGGCACAAAACTAAAAAGAAAAATCCATAATCTGTCAAATTTACACAGTAACTAATTCAGGTGCTCACTAATATGGACCATTACTATTGAATAAAAAACAATTACCATATTTTTCAGACTATTAGTCACTCCTGAGTATAAGTTGCACCAACCAAAAATGCAGAATGAAGAAGAAAAAAACATGTATAAGTCGCACTTTTGGGGAAAATTTATTTTATAAAATCAGAAACCAGGAACTGACATTTCCTGTTGAAAGTCAAGTTGTAGTAATAACAATGGAATAGAGAACAACAGACTGTTAACGTCACATATGAACAGTTCTTCAGATAAACTATAACATAAACAACAGAACAAGTTTAACCAAACTCTCCATCTCACTCCAAATCACTAAATCCATTCAATTCTTCATCCTCTGTGTCACTTCTGAGCGACTCGGCCTCGACCTCCGGAGGTAAACTGAGACACAGCATCGGTTCCAGTTAGGATTCAGAAAGACCGAAATAATTCTGACAGGATGGTTTCGATGTCATTGAAGTCCAGGCTTTGTCCATCCATCCAGTGACTTCAGGAAAGTTTCATGGTGCATCCTCCCGGTGTCATAAGTTTCTCTCTCACTCCAAACTTTCTTTCTGCTGCTCGATTATCATTTTCAGCTGCAGATTTTCACAACTTGCAGTTTGTAATCTGCAAAATCTGATTTTCTTTTTGGGGCCATTTGTGTTCCATCGCCTTTATAAGTTTATTTAAATTGGTACAGAAGTAATGGTGCGATCGACTGACATGATACTGACAGGACAGAGGCTCTTTCTGCAGGAGACATGTGCAGTAGAGTGAAGTGACAGTGGTACAGGAGGAACAGGAGCAGCAGATACTGACACACAAGACTAGAGCCTCTCACCGCTTCAATGAGTGTGTATACATGCACATGAGTGTCCCGGTTATGATCAGGTTTTTTGAGTATCCCGGTTTCTTGATCGTGCATGTATACACAGTAACCCGGTTTCAGTATCCTGTTATTAGAAACCAGGTTACTGTAGCTGGTTTATTCTGATAGTAACTGGGATACTTGTGGCATGTAAACACAGTATCCCAGTTACTGCAACATAAAGTTGAGTGCGCATGCGTCCAAAAGACACTTTCACCACAACAGTAGTGACATAAATAAATTGACCAACATAAATAAATTGACCAACATAAATAAATTGACCAACATAAATAAAGTGACCACACGAGTAAAATGACTGTAAAATTAAATTAAGAGCTGCGCTAAACCGTACCGTAAACTGTACTGCACAAGTACAGTCTGCACTTGTGTGACCTGCACTCGTGTGATCGCTGAAAAAGTTAAAACATGAACTATCTCCTATACTGTATACACACAGAACAGACTCACCATCATCAGAACCTCTTCTGTCACAAAAAGAACACACATAATCCACAGAGTCGTGTTCTTTAGTCCAAAAGAAGCTGATCGCATCAGCGGCACAAGGAGCGAGCAGTTTTTTATCACCACTAACAGTTTGTGCTGATTAGCCATGTGGTCTTAAGTTTTGTTTCTGTAAAACGTAAACAAATGTGATCAGAGCTGAATTATATTATCAAACGGGCTCATGTGGTTCACTTAATATATAAGTCGCAGGAAACACTCAAACCATGAAAAAAAGTGACTTATAGTCTGAAAAATACAGTAATTTAATAAAGGGCTGTACCTATAAAATTGTGTCTGAACCTTTGCATTTGAGACTACAGTGTTGTTCGACTTTTAAAGGCCAGTTTATAGTTCTGTGTTGGGCCCCGCTCAGCTGAGAGCTCACATGTTGACACACCCGCACCATATGAGCTATTTCATTTGAATTATTATATTTTCATTCACTGTGACAATAAACAAATCTTATTAGGCTCAGATGCAAACATTTCTGTGCCAAACTTTTTAATCAGTCGTTGGGAAGACCAAAAGTATCTCACTGGACTAACAAAGCGTGTAAGTGTAATTTATTTTATTTTTTTACATTTCCAGCCGAACATTCCCACTTTGGACAACTATTTCACTCATTTTGACGGAGAGCGGTTTGTGATGCAGCCATGGCTCAGAGCGATCTTTCCTGAAGACGAGGAAACTGACAAAGATTTTATAGAATGAATCTATCGCTGAAGAGGTCAAAATGAAGAACAATCAAACAATCAAAGACTCACGAGGCTGCAGTTACAGGAGCGAATTTGGAGCCGGGTTACCTTTGGAACAGGAATTTATTTACGGACAAAACAGTGAAATAAAAACAGCAGCATCATCTAGAGCGGGATAATATGAACATTTTAAGACCAAAATGACAAGGCTCACAGCAGCAGTTACAGAGAGTGGGGAGATAATTTTTAAATGTAAAGTCAATCGAATCCAGAGTCAGTGAAACCGGAAGTGCCCCCATGCTCACTTCCTTACCGGGTTAGCTATTTCAATTTATATAATACAGCCAAACAATAAATGAAACTAATCTGTAATGTGTCTCTCTGTAATTTAAGATTTATTTGTCCTTTGTGCAAAACTGTGACAATAAATGCACTTTAATTCTTAAGGAGTCCTTTTTATTTTTATTTTGTTGTGATTACAGTTGATTAGGCCTGTTACAATAATCACGATATCGACTTTAGCGTTCAATATATGAAAGCTGGAGCTGGGGCAATTTTTCTGGGGCCATTGCTGCAATAGGTACGTGTCTGGAAGATCATTTGGTTCATCAGATTTAAAAAATTTTAACTCTGAAAAAACATGTTTGAATTATTTTTGTTATGAATTTTACCTTCTGAAATTTTAAGTGTACATTTTCAAAGTGTATGAAAACCTTTTAAATATTCAGCACAAATATTTCCAAGCCCTCAAATTCAACAGTCAAAATTCAGAGTGTAAAATTCGCAGTGAAAAAAATTCACAGTAAAGAGCCAAGATGCCAAGGCAGAAGCAATCGATCCAAAGTGATCCGATCTAACTTAGTAACAAACAGGAAATGGTGCAGTGAAGTGATCTCATTGGTCAGAATTAGCCTCATTAAAACATCATTGCTTTGATTTGTTAAGCGTAAACCCCGCCCACAGATGAGAACAGCCAATAGGAAACAGCCTCGGTCCTCCTCTGTCACATGATCGATTGCTTCTGCCTTGGCATCTTGGATCTTTGCTGTCTAATTTTTCACTGCGAATTTTACATTCTGAATTTCTACAGTTTAATTTAAGGGCTTGAAAATATGTGATTTTTTTTGTTTATTGAAAGTACACTTCAAATTTCAGTCACTAAAATTCAAAATAAAAATTATTCAAACATCTTTTTTCAGAGTTAAAAAAAGTCAAAGTGAGAAATTCAGTGATGTTTAAAATTCAAAATCATATACGTGCACAACAGCGCCTGACAACCACACTTTTCGCCTCACTACTTCCTTTTCAATTCTGAAACTATGGGGTTTTTGCCGAGTCGAGCTAAAATGAATAAATATTTAAAGATCTGGCAAAGAACAGGGAGTTGTGTGTGGATATGACTGACAACAAGTTAAAAAGTACACAAATAAAAATGAATAGTTGAGCGGAGGACACTTCTGCGTTTAGAACGAGAAGTTTGTGTTTCAATTTTGAGGCATCGTAAATATTAAAACAAAGCTACAACCTCAAGTATTTTACACATAAAAACAATTGAGTATGCAAGACCTTAAATAATTTGAATTTGAATGCAATTTTAATAAAAGTGATTGTTTGCTTTGAGACAGTGAGCGAGCGTCAAGCTTAGACTTAGACAAACGTTATTGATCCACAAGGGAAATTATTTGGCTCACACATCACAATATAAAAAGGTAAAACATATAGAAATGGTAATAATACATTCTAAATAAGTAGCAGTAAAAATAGCCTTATCCTTAGCTTGGTTCTATCAGCTTCCATGCCAGAGTAATAAGAGGTTTCAACTTTTTATACTCGGAAAATGGTGTCAAATAAGGCATAATTCTATAAATATATATATTTAACTACCGTTCAAAAGTTTGGGGTCACCCAGACAATTTTGTGTTTTCCATGAAAAGTCACACTTTTATTTACCACCATGAATTGTAAAATGAATAGAAAATATATATATAGAAATAATGATTTGTATTTGAAATAATTTTTTTCCTTCAAACTTTCCTTTCGTCGAAGAATCCTCAATTTGCAGCAATAACAGCATTTCAGACCTTTGACATTCTAGCTGTTCATTTGTTGAGGTAATCTGGAGAAATTTCACCCCACGCTTCAAGAATCCCCTCCCACAAGTTGGATTGGCTGGATGGGCACTTGTTGCGTACCGTACGGTCAAGCTGCCCACTTTTCTTTCTACTCTGCTTAGAGCCTTTTTGTGCTGTTCTCTGAAGGGAGTAGTTCACACCGTTGTAGGAAATCTTCAGTTTCTTGGCAATTTCTCGTATGGAATAGCCTTCATTTCTAAGACCAAGAATAGACTGTCGAGTTTCACATGAAAGTTCTCTTTTTCTGGCCATTTTGAGCGTTTAATTGACCCCACAAATATGATGCTCCAGATACTCAACCTGCTCAAAGAAAGGTCAGTTTTATAGCTTCTCTAACCAGCTCAACTGTTTTCACCTGTTCTAATATGATGCACAAAGGTTTTCTAATCATCCATTAGCCTTCTGACACAATGAGCAAACACACTGTACCATTAAAACACTGGAGTGACAGTTGCTGGAAATGGGCCTCTATACACCTATGTAGATATTGAATGAAAAACCAGACATTTGCAGCTAGAATAGTCATTTACCACATTAGCAATGTATAGAGTGTATTTCTGATTAGTTTAAAGTTATATTCATTGAAAAAAACAGTGCTTTTCTTTCAAAAATAAGGAAATTTCTAAGTGACCCCAAACTTTTGAACGGTAGTGTATATGTACAAGTAAGTCAAAAACAAAAATATAGTAGTATAAATACAGTATATCAGCAAGACGTCGTAAGGAAAATGCTGTTGTGCACAGGGCTAACACTGAGGCGGTTTCTGCTATTTTTTATTTTTTTTTGCAATACAGTGAGATTTGAGCTGTAAAAGGATGAAAAAGTAGCTTCCAGGACAAACTCTTGATTCTTTCTGCTATTTGTTTGTTGTAGCTCATGCTTTTATAAAGATACTGTATTTCAAAAAAATGGTGTACTGGGATTATCCTGGTTTACTTTTTATTGTGTCAGTGGTATAAAGCTCTTTCAATTAGGGCCCAACCGATATATCGGTTAGCGATCTTGCCGAAAATCTTGCCGATATTTCACGTGGGCATATTATACGTCGTTATAAAGCTTAGACTCTCTACATTATGTTCATTTAATCCAATTTACAGACAGATAAATGTTCTAATATGTGGCTCTACATGTGGAGTCATTTCGTCTGTGTGTGTCCGTACTGTCCCTGAACACACTTTCACTGACATCACGCCACGTCACTCACGTGCTCTTGTTTACACCTACAGGCACAGATCCAAACACTTAGATTATATTCTTTTTACAGACAATCGGTTTGAGTTTGGATTAAAAGGACATTTATTAGTGCAGACTTGTGATGTGAGGAGGAGTCTGTGTGAGCAGTGAGTGTTGGAAATACGTCGACTTTGAAGCTAGTTTTGGTTATTTGTTATTGATTAGTGATTATCTGCTGTAGGTCCCACACATACACAGACTGTTTTCTGTTGGTCTATTGTAAAGTGACTATACTGGTCATATATTTGTTACTGAACCAGCATTAATATGTAAATGAGCTGTGAATAGAGGTGTGAATGATCCACATTTACGCATATAATTATTACTGTCTGTAAATATGACACAAAGAGTCAGAATAACAATAAATGTAGACTAAATAAACCCAATTTAAAATCCACTAGAGCCAAACCTAAGTTTTTTAAACAATTCAAGATTTACAGTGAATTTTTACATCACTAAATATATCGGTGATTATATCGGCAGCTCCAACTCCCATTTGATCAGTATCATATCAGCCACAGCACAATCCATATCAGTCGGGCCCTAGTTTCAATATTATCTTTTATATCTCTAGTAATATACGGTGTTTCATTTTGTTATGGTGACAGGCCTAGAGTGTCTTTCCAGTTCTGTCTCTGATGTTGAAAGTGATGGACACACGTGAAAAAGCAGTGCTAGAGGGAATCGAGGGGAGAGGTGTTAAAGATCCATGTTCACTTGCGTTGTTTTCGTTGTGGACTTCTCTCATCTCTTCTTCCACGATCAGAAGAGGAGATCCAAGCGTCTGTCCCAAGATCTGACCCATGTCACTGGCCTTCTGTTTAGCGTTCTCCACCGCAGAGGCACAAACACGTCTCCTGGACACACAAAGGGACAGTGACAGTACAGGTGAAATGTCTTTATTTAGTTATAATTACACAATATTGATACTTTGCTCTAGTTAGACTTGAATCTGCGCTTTATTTTAAAAGTGCAACTTTGCTGGTGGAAAAAAAAAATGGAAATGGAAAAAAACTTGCTGGTGGAGGATCCATGGAGGTGTTATTGCTTTTCCTAGAATGTTCCATTATATGTTCCATGACCTTAAACACATCCATCCAGCATTTATTCATGGTGTTTCTGTTGCTCAAAAATAAAATCATTCTCTCAGTGAATAGGGTTGCCTCTCCACAGATGTGACTGGTAATGTAGCCTATACTGCCATACAAAGGCAAAAGACCTTAACTTGAGTGTGAAACTGAGGAAAATTACTTCCAAATTTCTGCTTTCTCCAAACAAAAGTAGAATTGGTAGTTATGAAGAAATATTTGTATGTGAAAAATAAACTATCACAAACAAAAAAATACTGTTACTGCTTTTTGTCTTTGCATGACTCCTTATTTTTAGCTCTTGATACAAAGACAGAGAACAGGAACTGACAAATAAGGGTCCAAGGTCAATTTTGAGCTCAATATTTTTCATATTTATTCACATAAAGGAGGTCTCAAAATGACATGAACTCATTTTTGGCCAAACATGATGTTACGGCGTTCTGCCTTTGTAGGAGAGTATAGGTGTCTCCCTTGAGATACACAGGTTTAATCTCTATCATAGAACATTCCAGACAAAGAAGTAACATCTCCATGGAGACGAGCATGTGACAGACCCTCCTTTAACACAACCTGACCACAAAGAGCTGACCTAGTTGGAACTACAACAAGTGAGCTGACTTGTGCACTTCGAGAAGCCTCTCAAACATAAATTCAGTCTCTAGGAGGGGTGTGCCAAATTCTAAAAATATCGATATATTGAATTTTTGAATGTGATGATACAGTATCAATATCGTGGGCTGCTGTATCCCTACATTGCTAAGAGTATTTTTTGGTTTATTTTACAAAATTATTTTGTTCCAGCTACAGTTTTGTTGTTTGTTTAGAGGAAGGAAACTTGTTTGTGCAACACATTTGACATTTTCACTGTTTTGATGATTAAAATGTTTGTGTTTCATATGAACTTTGCACAAGAAGTGGTTTAACAAAGACTTTTAGTGTCACAATCATGATTTAGCTTTTATATTTTATTGGAATTGTATCAAATCAATTTGAAATATATAGTTTTGAATTGTATCAAATAGAAAGCTCACTGTATTGAGGTCTGTATCGAATCTGCAACTTCTTAATGATACCCAGTCTTAGTCTCAAATTAGCTAGATGTTTGTGTTGAGAGTGGGATTCAAACTGGCAACCTTCTTATCAGTGGGCACACAACCTACTGAGCCACTGTCGCCTCAATAACATCTCCATGGAGACAGGCAGGTGGCAGCCCTCCCATTCCCAGAATATAAACAGTGCAGCTTTATATCAATGACAGTTTTGTCCTCTGGTATTTGAATATACTGTGATAAAGTTCAACCCAGACAACAGCACGTTCTGACAGTGGTTTACCTGAGATGGTTGAGGCATTCTGGGCTGTAGAAGTATTGAGGTAATCCAACTATGACGCTCTTATCCAGTTTCTCCAGCAGCAGTCTACAAACCAGCTCCATCTTTGTGAAGTCAGAGAACGTCACTGTCACCTGCACAAACAAACACAACAACAGCTTAAAGGTCCTACATTACACAACACGGACTCTTATGAGCTTGAAGCCATGTTAGAATGTTGTTCCCTCTTCAAAAAAATATCTGGAGTTGTGTTTTGTTTCATTTACATGTTTGAGTAACACTTTATTATTAGTCTGTGTGTATCTGTAGTATCTGTAGTAATCTGTAGTTTTACAGAGGCAATTCCAGGTCTGAAATTATGCAAATGAAGGTGTATGGCAGGGATGTCCAAACTTTTTTCATCAAGGGCCACATATCTAAACACACGGCTGATCGAGGGCCATAGACTGGTGCTCAGAACAGTGAATAATTGAAATATGTGCATGTTGAACACGTTAGAATGAGCCAACAGTCTTTATTCATGCTAAGATCCTTAAAACCACACACTAAATATTCAATATTAGCTTTATCAAGGTAGATTTTCAAAAACCTTGCAGTAGAAAGTTAATTTTTAATTGATACCAGGTAATTTGGGCCAATTCACCTGGAAGCCTGAGGGCCAAAAAATATTTGTCTGAGGGCCACATTTGGCTCACAACACATAGCTCTCTCATAGTTTGGACGTGCCTAGTGTACGGAGTTTAAAGACACACAGAGAGAAGCACTCAGTGTAAAAAGGTTTGTTTATTAAACATGTATGAATGAAACAAAACACAATTCCAGGTCTGTTTGTGATGAGGAAACTACATTAGAACATAAAATGTAATATGAGACCTTAAAATGTAAATATAATTGGTCATAAACTTACCTCTGCGTTCATATGATACTGGTCCTCTTCTCTGTGGAGGAACTTGCGCACCAATACGTCTTCATTATTAATTCCATGTGTCCTGGAAATAAAGAGTTTAATTTTAATATATTAATATATATTTTTACTCTTTGTTATTATATTATATTGTCATGTGTGAGCTACTATATCTAAATAATTTCACTTGTGCATCAATAAAGTTTGTCTAAGTTAAGGTGACCAAATTTTCAAAATAAAAAACTGGGACAGCCCCAGTTTTTGGTGGTTGGTATGTATAAAATAATAATTAATAAAATTGTGAAAGGAGTGTGTAACTAAGGAGAAATTTTATGGACTTAGTCCATTCATGACTAACATGTGAGCAAGTTTAGTCACATTTTCTTTATGTTTTGGTCATTTTAAAGCAGCTTTTCTGTATTTTACCTAAACAAATGATAATTTATGTCTTTTTACTGTTGGCAAGGATCAGATTGGTCAAAAATAGGGACACGTGGGACATTTCTTGTATAAAACTGGAACAAATCACTGGTTTTATATAAATCTGCTGGGACAGAGGACACAGGGCTCAAAACTGGGACTGTTCCGAGTAAATAGAGACGTCTGGTCACACTAGTCTAAGTCTAACTCTAAGTCCCATTGAAAAATAAAAAGTTTAAAAACACTGGAACTCGAGGCTTCCGTAATGCAGTGTTTGTTTTTAGCACAGTGGCTAACAGCAGGTTAGCTACATGTATCTTGTACAACATAAACTTTGAGTAAACCACATGAATTCTCTTAAATACCTGACACATTGTAAAATATAATCAATCCTCCGTGAGACGCTGTCGGTCGCCTCGTTTACAGACTCTTTGCTGCTGCTCACACAGACCCGCACAGAGGCTCGGTCCGCCGGGGACCGGAGCTCCGCGGTGCCCGTCACCTGGAGCTCTCTGGCCCGGGGAGCGACGTGAGGAGTCCGCCGGTCGGTCACCAGGCGCTTCTCCTTCAGGTCGGGGTCTGGAGCCGGTAAAACAGTGGCAAAAACACAGGTCGGCTGGTCCATGGCGGCGGCACAAACGAACTTCCCGCAGCTATGGTGATGCAGGGCGCAATGCATGTCGGGATTTGCAGTCCACGTGATTTGAAGTGGACAACTTTTTTTGTTCTTTCCATCAGGCATCAACAAGTCAGTACACACAGAGAAAGACAAGATAAGCGAACTAAAACAAAGAAAATAAGAATAACATCATTTTAAAGCAAATAATAAATTAACATAAATAAATAAAACTGAACTGAATTAGCGTGAGCATCATCTCTTTTTGTGGGACTACTTCTTATTTTTATTTTTTTATTGATTTCAACATATTTTAAATTTGCACATAGTACCAGTGTTGCTGTTGTTGAAAGCCAAATTCAGCCATTCATTCTTGAAATAATTTACATTCATTATCTTTAAATAAGTCGTCCTGTGTTAAGATGCCTTTTTTCAGCCATTCACCCCAACAAAAGTGCTTTTTGCCCATGCACCAAGAACTGGCTGATGTAATTGAATTGGCCATCTTGACTTTTTCAGACAGTTCAGATTGAAAATGTTGAAAATATATCCTGTTATTTTATTATATAATACTTACAAGAGTTGGCATACTCAAAGTATAAAATGAAGTTCAGCAAGTGGATTAGTAAATTGTTTATTTCATGCTGATCCTAAATTAAGGGTGGGCTATAAGGCAAAAATAATAGGCCTATCTTCTACAAGCCAGATCAGGGTTTTGATCACAATCATCCGTTTACAAAATGTACTTTTGTATTCTCTTTTAATTTAAACTCCTCTGAAAGTTCACACTTCTCTGTGATTGGTTTAATGAACCAATCACTCGCTAGCTAGAGTGACCCAACACCCCCCGGGACAGTCCCAGTTTTGAGCCTGTGTCTCTGGTCCCAGCAGATTTATACAAAACCACTGAACCCAGTTTTATTTTTAAAAAAATCTCCCAGGTGTCCCTATTTTGACCAAGTATGATCCCTGCAACAGTAAAGAAGGGAATATATTGCCATTTATGTAGCTAAAATACAGAAAACCAGGTTTGAAAATGAGAATAAGGGAAAAGGAAGCACTGACAAAAGTCCCTCAGATTATGACTGACACAAATGTATGGAGAATGAATAATGTTACGTGCGTTTTTAACAATTTTATTTAAACCAACCATCCCAGGTTTGCCCCAGTTTTGAATTCTGAAAATCTGTTCACACTAATCACAATTTATTTACACATTGTTTTTCTGTAATACCTTGTAACACTTCGCTGTGGTTGGTTAAATGAAGCTGTCACTCACTCAGAGCTGTAGAGGTGAATCTACTGAAGAAGTGTGTGAGGAAAAAGTGTCTGTGTTTGAGCACAGAGAAGAGCTGCATTACCTTGAGAAGAGTGAATCATGAAAGAACACGTCACAGTTCAGTTTTTATCTCCATATTCCCAAAGCCTACCCTATAGGATTTATTTGCGAGCAGACATATTTCATATTTATGCATTTTAGAATGTTGTTGTGTAGTTTTGCTTTTATTTATGATTCAAGATTCAGGAAATGTATTTACCATCTGTGCACATATAAAAGTTTGGGACACACATTGGAATTAGACTTAGACAAACTTTATTGATCCACAAGGGAAATGACTTGGACACAGGAGCTCACACATCACAATATATTCTGTAATAACAAAGAGTAAGAACATATTTAAAAAAGGTAATAAACTTCTAAATAAATAGAAAAAAATAAAATAAAATAAATTGCAAGAGACTGGTATCAATAAGACATAAACAAATGTTTGTGCAGGGCTCTTGGGCCGAAACAGAACAGGTAAAACAAGGATCTCCAACCTTTAGCCTCTGGTGAGTTACCTTTACAAAACGAAAATGTCAGAGAGCTCCTAATTTTCGCAGTTGCAAGAAATGGAGAGGGTAAGCCTTAGATGGTGTACAGTTAGATGTCTATAAAACATGAAAGTTAGATGCCTATAACACAGTGTTTCATATTCTTTTTTTTCTGGGAACCATATTTTAAAAGTCACAAACCTTCATGACCCAAGTCAATAGACATTATTCATGAATCACAAAATAAAGGTGGATTTGAGCATTATTGAACATTAATGAGGATATTTTATTGTTGACTGAGTGATTGTGTCTCTGAACTATAAGTATTACTCAAGTTTAAACAATGAAAAACAGTCACTGAAGCAACAATAAAAGGATCCAGAAGTTGCCTATTTGGACATTAAATGTAGAACTTTTTTTTTTTTTTTTCAGCATTCAGTGGAACCAGCAATAGCAATGGAACAAAATAGTCAATAAAATAAAAACAAAAAGATTAGAAATTATACAAAACATGTTTTAACATTTCTGGTGAGATAGTTTGGCCTGTGTGTGTTTTTGTAGTGTGTTTGTTCAGTCCGGGTGCAGGAGGAGACGCAGCAGCAGATCAGGAGCAGTGTTCAGTCTGTTTCTGTGTTTTGTCTTCATTTTTGTGAACACAGAAAATCCCAATTCACACAAATATGTAGAAGTGGAAAGAATAAACACTGAAATACTGGTCCTACTGAGGACAGGAGATTCTGAACAAATGTTGATCCAGAAAGAAGATAAGGCCAAAGATTCATGTACACAACTGTATACTGCAGATCAAATCCAATTTGAGTTATTCAGTACAATACATATAATTCAAAAATTCCTTTGCGGAGCTGCTTGTAAAGGGCTTTAGAGCTCCCGGAAGCTCCTGAGCTACAGGTTTGAGACTCTTGATGTAAAAAGTACATTTTTTGTGATCAAGTTTTTATTCAAGTGTTATTATTATTTGCAGTTATACATATTCCAGTTAGCATTGCATTTTTCTCCCTTTTAAACCCCCCCACCCCCCACCCTTGTACTCCCTATTGATGGGCATCAACATACATATGTCCACACACATATACATATATAACACATATCTACAGCATCTAAATAAACACACATACCCATATACACATATTATAGTATATATGTTAGATATACATACACATGTATATACACATTCACATACACGTACACACACACACCCACACACACAAAAAACAAACAAACAAAAAACCCCACACATATCCAGGTTTATATTCCCTCTATACAAAACATGGCCAATTTCCTCTGTCAAAAGACATCAGCAGAAATTGCGTTATACATACTTGTTATGTACCATACATAGAAAGTTAACTGAGTGTACACAACATGTATACTTTCTAAGAACATATATTATAATGAAAAATCTCCAGGTAACAACTATACAATAGATTCAGATCTCAGTTTGATCAATAGATTGGACCAGCAAGAAATGTTTTTGGTTTTTGCTCCGTGCATTCGAGCAGCAGAAAGCTTCAGCTGAACGATTTCTCAGAAAGATAGGAGCCAGTCTCTCAGTCAGAGGTCGAACTGATTTCCACCAGCATATTACTATTTTTTTTGGCAGCTGTAAGACCTGCTAGTAATATGCGTAAAAAGTACATTTGAAAAAAAAAAAAAAACCAACAAAAAAAACAAAAAAGAAAACAAAAAAACAAAACAAAAAACAATCACATACATTCAGTTTAAAAAAAATCAAAAAAACCCACATGTGTAAAAGCAGCAGTGAGGCAGACCCCTGTGAATAATAAACACTGTGTATTGCACATAGTAATGAAGTACCTAGTAACAATCAGTAATACTCAGTACTTTCCTTTGACCGCCAGTCTGACCCTTATGGAAGTGTGTGGTGTCTTTATGCTGTGTGCTCGTCTGTTTCTCAGTCTGTATGTGCAGTGGGCGGCTCCAGTCCTTCATGATCCTGCTCAAATTAAATAAAAGAAAACAATAAAATGTTTTAAACTGTCATATTGTATGTAAACTTACAGTCCATGCTATTAACATTTACGTGATACTACAAATTGCAACCAGCAGGTGGCAGCAAAGTACAGCAATTCCAACAAAAGAATCCTCTGGGAAGTTGGTGCAGTGACTGTAAAGAGCAGGAAGTGTAAATAAATACACACTGTTCAGATCAGATGGAAGATTGGAATAATAATGCAAATAACCTTTCAAATCATGTGTACTGTTTATTTTGTCAGGGAGTAATAATAGATTGGATTTTTTTTAATCACAAAAACACAGCCGTTTTTAGTTAATTTTATGAGTGCCCAAAATCCCCCATTGTGTTTATAGTTTTAGTTTCTGCAAGTATGTTGTTAAAGAGCCCATATTACTCTATTTTTTTTTTAAATCTCTTATCTCACTTACAATGTTTCCTCATCGCAAACAGACCTGGAAATGTGGTTTGTTTCATTTACACATGTTTAACACACAAAACCTGCACATTTAGGCTGAGTAGTTGTCTAAAACAAAACAAAAAACTCTGTTCCACTTTGTGATGTCATGCGGTAATACTCCACAATGTGTTTTAAACTCCACACACCTTCACTGGAATCACTTGGATGATTTCAGTCCTGTAATTGTTAATCCCTACTGAAGTAAAGGTAAAAGGTGAACAGATTAATTTGTAAACTATCTCTTCATGACATCACAAGGTGGAATAGAGCATTTAGAGTTTTGGAGATGTAGACAGACTAATAATGAAGAGTCACTCAAACATATGAATGAACCAAAACACAGCTCCAGGTCTGTTTTTGAGGAGGTAAAAACATTATAACACACAGAGGCGGTGCTACCATTAGGCAACAGTAGTCGGCTGTGTAGGGCCCCCAAACCTGGAGGGGCCCCCAACCAACTTACCATCAGTGCCACTAATGACCTCAGAGCAAGTAGATTTTCTGTCAGTATGGCATTAAATGAGAGCAGTTTACTTTGAAACAATAATCATAAGAAAAATAATAATCATAATCTTATGTAATGGATGTAAACAAAAATGTAATTGTACCAGAAAAAAAAAAACAAAAAAAAAAACTTCAGTTCTGGTTTTCTAGTAGGCGACCGAACTAATAAGACTAATAAGTTTCCAGTCCACCATAATTCAAATTTTCTTATTTTTTAATTATTTCTTATTTTATTTATTTGCAAAGGGACAGCACATATTAATGAA